AGGGGTGGGGGTTTAGAAGGAACATTCAAATTTTGGGATGATTTTTGGTTTTTGAAGAATTTAAAAAAAATTGATATTGAGGTGTTGAAATAATCTTTGAGATTGTTCTTTGAATAATGCGGAAGTCAGGTTTGAAGTTTATTTATTCTATTTAAGTTTATTCAATGTCAATGGTCAATGAACTCGTAAAAAAAATTTTATTGAAAATATTTGATTCAATTAGAAAATTTCGCCATTTATCACAATTTGTAATGGAAAATATTTTATAGAAAAAGTTGTGTGATTTTTTTCCATACAAAAGTTTCTATTATAGAATCGGCAAAAAACAACTGGTGAACTTATGTCTAAAAAATAACGTTTAAAAAATTTACAATTGATAATTCTTATGCAATATCGGCAACAAGTGACACATAATTGCCTGGAGAGTATCATTGACGTCAGTTATATCCAAAGTCTCACAAACTTCTCTTCTAAAATCCTCGTTAACCGATTGCAGTACAACAGTCTCAAGTGCTGAACTCAATATTTCGCACTTTGCATAGTCATCGTCGAACTCGGTGAAATTGTTGTAGAATGTCTCCCTGTCGGAGCGGAGGGTGTACTTCGTCTGGGGGTAGAGTGTTTGGAAGTTGTTGAGATATTCTACGACTTTGTCCACCAGGAGTTGGACCTCTCTAACTTGAATGGGATGCTGAGGGGAAAAGGAAGTTTCGTATCCAAGTGTTGTCATATTAATAAAAAATTCACTTACAAAAAAAATTACTAAAAATGAATTAATAAATTAATTAACAACAATAAATGATTAATTATTAGTGGAAAAATCTGGCGAACTTGTACCTCAATTTTGATTGACAGATAGTCCTTCAGGTGCGAAAATTTATCAACCCCTGGGATTCCCCCATCTGCCCTCAATTCTATTAGATTCCCATCGAAATGTGTCTTGTAGATCTTCTGGGCTTTAGACTCCTTCATTATTACCTCGCCCAATAGCTTCCCATTCAGAGTGGGATCACTAAATTCTAGGGTCAGTAACTCCTTCAGAGAAAACTTGGCCTCACCGTTATTTGTTATTTGCACCCAGCAGTATTTTTCTTGGGGAATTAGCTCGATGTCAATGTGGCAATAGTGTTTGGCTCTCTTCGATGGCCTCTTTGTTGTGTATTGGGAGAGGTTTGACAGAATCTAATGGGGGAAAAATTCGTTGGATAAAGGGTACACATGAGGGAAATGTGTTGATTAATTTCCGATTGATAATTAATGAATTCTAGAGGAATTGGACTCGTGAAAAATGTGGCTACTTCGTCGTTTCTGGTTTTAATTCACAATAGTAGTTATAGAATTGAGTTTTTACGTTTTTGTTCTAATAATTCTAAGAAACAATGAAATGTATTATGACGTCACGAAGTTTAGTGCAATCTGGAGAGGGAGAATTTGAAGATGGATGGAATGTGTTAATTAATGTTTCATAGAAAATAGAAACCTTTGTCACGATGTTGATACAGGTGGAGACGTCAATTGTGGGTAAATCCATTTTTCTGGGGTGTTTCAATGCTCCTTCGAGGAAGATTAACAACGACAGGAAGGAAGAACCAACAAGTTGGAATTTGACTCATGAAAAATGTGGCTACTTTGTCATTTCCGGTTTTGATTCAAAGGAGAAATTAGAGAATTTGTTTGGTGCATAAATTCCTCTGGTTCGTTTTAAATACAGTTATTAAAGATAAACATATCCTTTTATTTAAAAAAATAATGCAAAATCAACAAGTTACAGCCGATTAAAAAAATATCTTCGTTATGACATCATCCTTCAGACGTTTTTAATCGCCTACACTCCATTAATTTCTCATTATTTATCGAAATAAAGAAGAACATTTCTAATATTTCTCCAATTGAATTTTTATACCAAGCGATAAAAAGACAATTATGTTAAACCCATTCGATCGATTTCGAGAATTGTCTCGATTATTCCCCCAACTGAATGTGATTTAGACAACTTCAGTAGCGAAATGGCCTGTTTTCAATAAATATTTCGGAATCTGACGAAACTAGCAAAATTTTTGTCACCATCTTGTTGACAAAAGGTCATTACGAAAATTTCATTATCTCCCCTACATTCGGAGATATTGAAGGGATACATACTATATATTAATGAAATTAATATACAAGATATATATTTAAAAAATTAAGCCCCAGTACAATGACTGAATAGACCCCAATACTATCAGACTGGACATTCAACTGAAACTGAACAGCACAATTATCCATCCAAAAACATGTATTCTTTAACAAGTGACTCAGTGAGGACACGAATGTATCAAATGAAAAGAGGTAAAAGCACATTACAATTTATGAAAAACTGAATAGTTGAATCAGAGAATAATTTCAGATATTATACCGTATAATTTAAGTATTAATACACATTGTTGGATTACTTAAAGCCTACACTGTTAAAAAATTCCCTGGAAACTTGCAGGAACTGCGCGATGCAGTAATTGCTGAAATACACTTGGTCTCAGGTATCAGAGACGTCTTAAATTCCCCCAGTCATCGAAAAAATGTCACATTTTACAATGTTCTAGATAATTCTGATGTGAATATTTCAAGTGTTACGCAATTTTGATCGTCAGTTTTTCAGCTAGAAATTTCCCTGGAATTTCCCAGATAATTTTCAACATTGTACAATCTAAATTTTTTATCAGGTTAAGCATTGGGCTTAATCATTTAATTAAAGAGTTTTTCCTTAATTTTACATCTTCTCTCATGACGACGATGAATTATCTCGACTCTCACGCGGGATTTATCCTTATAAAAGAGAAAGTAACTTTAAAAGAGTTGAAAGGTAACTCAGCGGCCATTGAATCCTAAAGTTTGCCCTAATAAAAATCAAACGTGTTTTTTCAACTTCCTGAGATGATCTTCAGTTTAAACTTTGAGAGTGATCTCAAGGAACTCGTTAAACGTCCCTCAACGAAACAAAAAAGATGAGAAAAGTTGCTGTTGAATCTTAATTTGAGGGAGTGATCTACTTCTCCTCGCACCACTCGTTCTCTTTGCGAACCTGCTCTTCCTCGGCAGCTGTGAAGTCATTCTTGATGTTGAATGTCTTGCGAATTTCCTCTGGGGTCTTGCCCTTGATCATGTTGGCGACTGTCTTGCAGGTGACGTCGAGGAGACCTTTGATGTCGAGGTAGTTGGCTGAGAGAATCAGCTCGAAGAGTGTACCCTGGTCAACCTGGAGATTAAAACAGAGATTTTTATCGGAGTTGATGGATTCTTAAATGTAAATTTATACTTTTATTTAGTCTAGTACATTGAGTTATTTCCGAATCTTTACGGTAAAATCCTTCACGTAAATAATTGTTGACGCAAAAAAGATGCCATAGTTGATGAATAATTTTTAATTTAAAAGAAATGTCAATAATCTCAACAATTAATAAACACCAAAAAAGATTTTTTATGGATTCAAAAAAATTGAATATTCAATTGTATTTATTCAATTTGGCTGAATATGTCAAGACAAATTTTCTTCTGAAAGTCAAAAATCCCAAAAATGAATAAACAAAATTGTATTCCTCAGGTATTTCCTTAAAAAAACCTCACAATTCCTCAGAAAGAGACCACCCAATCAATCCCCCCCTCACTTTCTTTCGTGTTTACAAACATTCTCAAATCCTACAGGCCACTGGCGAAATTCCCAGAACCGATCCCGCCCCTCTCCATTGATTGTTTACCTTGAGGAAATCGGCGTCCCAAGAGCTGATGTCGTCCGTCCTCTTCTCTTTGTTCTCGTCGTCATCTGGTGGTGGTGGGTCATCCTTGTGATACGTAGCCCACTGTATGACCTTCTTGAGGATAGCTGAGTTGACGTTGGGCAGGGGAACGACCTCCTCCTCGTCTTCGTCCATGCCAAGGTCTTCGAGCATAGTCTTGATCGTCACCGAGCACTTGGCGATTTCAACGTCAACCTCGAATATCTCGCCGTCTGAGCTCTGAAGCTTGATGTTGGGCATCTGAAACATCGGAGGTAAAACAAAAACCCTTTTGGAATATTCTGGAGACAATAAGGTTATGCACGACAAGAAATAAGACGCAATTCTTTTTCCAAAATGTTTCTCTTGGCATTTCCGCGAAATTTACCTTTTCTCTCTAAAATTTCCCCTCCAAAGAACCGAATGCTTTGGATTTTTGTCAACAATTGGAGAAAAAAAAATGTGATTTCAGGAAAATTTCGTAAAACTGTCATGGCCACAACTGAAACAGTTGCATTTCGCCAATTGCCCCCTCGAAATATTGAAAAATGTTCAGGTTTCGTGGGAAATGAGGAAAATGATTTCGTGTCAAGTTGCAAAGTCAATTTTCCTATGAGGTACGTGAAATTGTCATGGCCACAACCACAATAGACGCTTTTCGTCTGTTCTTTGTGGCTCAAAAATCCATGACTCGTGTTGTGGTAGATTTGATTAATGGGCATCTTACCTTGGATTGGTTTATTTGCCTGAACAATCGAGAGTGACGAGCTGTTCTAGCTGCTGGATTTTATGAGAGTTGGATTCACCCACGACGAATAATGCTGGCTCGGACTGACTCACGGAAATGTGTTTCGCGTTTTAACCTTTGCAGGCTTGCACAGGCTTGTGCTCTTCGTTCTCTCGGGGTTCTTGGGTCTTCTCCGTCTCTTGTTCTCCTCGTTTCTCCCCCGCTGCCCCCTTCCGGTGTTGCCAGCGCGGGGTTGTCGGTTTGTGTGATGGCGACACAACAACACCGCCGGAATTTAAACATGTCAAATTCAGGAATGAAGCTTTTGTTGATTAAGCTTTAAGTACTAAATTTTTCCATTCAATAATTAATTTTCGAAATTTGAGGTATATTTTAGTTTTGCATAAATATCCTCGAATCTAAAGGAGTTAAAAAGGTTCTGCGAGGTTCGGGATTAGAGAAAATTCAGTAGTTTTTTTTTTTACTTCCAGGGAATACCTGAAGATCAACATCTGAATGAATTATTCAATCCTAAAAAACCAGGGAATTGCAATGAAAAAAACAGTCCACATTCCTCTGAATTTATTTATTATATATCTTGCAATTCTCCACAAAAAAAATTACTCCTACAAAAACCTGAATTAAATGCTTCACTGCCCGCGCGATATAATGAATAGTTCGTTAATCAGTATCAATCACTTAAAAATTGATAATCCAACACTTGGAGTGTCTGCTATATCTTCGCGTGTTGTTTGCACTCATGCCACATTTCAATGTGAATCCAATTCAACATTTCTCTCACATTTTCGATTGCAATTATTCTCTATCACATAATAGTAACGTAATGTTCACTTCTATCATTTAGGAAAGGAACGGGCCAAGCGTACGAGAGTCATCTGCCCCTGTGGGCCAGACACATCTCATTAAACCTTCAAATTTCTATTATTTATATTTCCAAATTTAAGAGCCCACGGGAGGGAAAAAAAATATTGAAATGCGGGGAGAGCGTTGCGCCATGATTTTGGCGGAAATTTCCGCTACATTTCTCGGAAATTTTCATCACATTGAAGTTTCACACTGAGGAGAATTCAGAGAAAAAACCCAGGAAAATTGTTAATCTTAATTAAATTATTCCATAAAAATTAATAGAAATCTGGAAAATTCATGTTTTTTATTAGTACTGAATATTCATTTTGTCGTTGAAAATGCAAAGAATTTGAGGAATTATCGTCTCTCTACTGCTCAAAATTTGAAATTTAATTGAATTTTCACTGAAATTCAATATTTAATTTCATTTATTCTCCTAAATCAACTGCAAGTCATTCTCCTGAAAATCCCTAGTCCATGAAATAATTTACAACAGTGAGGAAAAATCCTAAAGATTGCTAAAAGAATTCATTTATTTGATAAAAATCGAGTTAATTTTATAACATAGTTGAGGGTGATGTGAAGAAGATAAAAAATTACAAAAAAAGTTTAAAAACACGAGGTGCTGGCGCCGCCATTTTAACTCCCATTTCCAAAATAGCGGCACCCACAGGAGCCCACCACTTGGTATTTTTGAACATTTCTTGAATTGATTTATCCTCTTCGGATCACCTCCAGCTCCTAAAAAAGAACAAATTTTTCAAGCAATCGTTCAGAATTTTTCATCCCCTTTTGTCTGAGAATTCACGACGCAAAGTTTTCCCCGCACTTGAGTAGTTTTTCCTCACCCCTGAGGCCCCTTAAAATCAGCCAGTCATTCTCCATCCCTCACACTTTCACGATTAATCAAATTAATTTACTTTTCTTGGAAAAAATTTTCTTTTCTCAAGATTATCCTCGAAATATCGCACATAAAAATCGTCGATTAACCGTATTACGTGCCTCTGTGAATTCTCTGCAGATTGACTATCAATTGTTGTAAAGACAGGTAAATAAAATATACATTTGTCATTTTTTCAATTATCATTTTATCTTTCATTCGTGTTCTTCCATGTTTTTATCTGAATAATTTCATGAATTCCTTACTGAGGCAGCACGACCATTAGAAAATTCGACAGATATTGATATTTAAAAAAATGAAAATAAAATTATTGATCTTCATCGCCAAGCTCCTGCTTGACCTTATTGAAATCAAAGTCCTCGCCAGTGGCGCGTTTGAATATATCGAGAACATCGAGACAAGTTGTCTCGAAGTGAGTTGTTGCATCGTAACTCGTCGATATGAACAATTGGCTGTTTATGCCATCATCCGTTGGCTCGTAGTAATCGGAGACTGATACGAATCTCCGGGCAATTGGGCCCAGAAGATCGAGACCAGGCTTTATCTCCAATTCAGGATTACGTGTCTCAACTGTTGTCGATACCATGGCTATGAACCAGCCTTTTGCTGCTACCTGGTGGGTGTAGGACACCAGTGAGACGTATATGTCGGACTTACGATTCACTTGTTTCTGGGGAATGATTATTTGAGTCGAGAGGGAGTCGTTTGTGTGGGGAAGTGGATGATTCAGCAGACAAATTGCACGAACTACTTGGCCGACTTTTTTTACTTTGTCGGGGAAGTAGGTGGGGTCGCAGAACACCTGCTTGCAGGAGGCTATCTCCTCGCCTGAACGAACCCCAACTACCTGTAATTATGGGACAAGTGCACAGGGGAGAATCAGTTTATCATTCCACCATTTGTTTTTTCAAAATAATGAATGTTTAATTATTTCGAAATATTTTCTCAAGATGATTACGTCAGTTAACTCGAGTTTTTGTCACATACTTGACATCAGCAGGAAAATTATAAATTATCTCTTTTTTTAAATCTAGATAGAGAAAATTCAAAAGGGAATATTCGTTGTATTGTTTTCCAAAATCAAAAAAATTTCAAACAAAAACATTTAGCTCGTAATATTTATTTACCTTTTTATCCTTCATGACAATTTCATCAATAGGTTTATCAAGCATGTAGGTACCCCCATAGATTGCACTCAACCTGGCGAATCCCTGAGGCAGCTCACCAAGACCATACATGGGGTAGAGATATGGTGATTTACCGTAACGTGCTAAACTGTCGCTGTACAGCTTGATACGTTTGACGGTGTTAATTGCAGGTTGAGAGATGTATTCATCATTTCTGCAAAACAGACAATTCCGTCAATTTCAAAATCCTAAAGCATCGAGACAAAACAGGGCCATCTCAAATTTCTCGACATTATAAAATTTCAAATTTTATTTGAATAGTATTTCCTGTAGTAATTTCAAAAGAATGACTTGTGACAAATTTATACCATTAAATTATTATTAATGTCTCATTAAATCATCTCTCAATAATTATTAACAATTTAACCATCATTCGTTAACAATTTTCTCAATATTACAAAAAGCAATGACTAGTGCTATCCCTGATAATATTAAGAATATTCATTTAATTGACTATTGAAAAATAAATGTGATTCATACCTGTGAAGTGCAAGTGCATGCCCAGTAAAATCCTGAGTATTAGCTTCAAGGCTGAATTTGCTGTAGAGTGCGCTCATAGGATTGTTAAAAGGATCGAATCCATCCCAGGTCTTGGGATCGTCCTCCTGCATATTTTGCACCCAAGTGAGGAAATTACGGAATCGTCGTTTCTCAAACAGTCCCATGAGGTCACTGGAGAGTGCCTCCTGATGGTCAATCGGTACTTTAGAAATTTTCCCCGATTTGTAAACATAGGAACCCTCGATTGACTTGAATTCCAGGTAACGGGTGACTCCAGTATGAATTAGAAGTTTCACAAGGAGGCCATTTGCCATGAGAAACTTGGGGATGAGATCGACATTCCAGTCACGGCCACGTCCGTACATTTTATCGGGTGGCGGTGCTTTGAAGTTGCTGAAATAAAAGTAGAGGTTTTATTGTTTCAGAGGAAAAAGTTCCCCATTGGCGGAGCTATTGTCAGGGTGTCAAGGTCTCTCGTTTCTTCGACAGGACGTTTTATACAAATTAAAAGTTTATTTTCATTTATTCATTTATTCATTTGTTCATTCATTCATCTTTGATTTTGATATCCAGAGACTCTTAAAGTTCTCAGTTTTCAATAAAGTACTTGATCAATTATTTACTGATGAAAGAGAATTAGTTTATCCAAACTCCACGTAAAGTAAAATAAATTTGAAATGTCCAGAAAAAAACATTATTCACCTTCCAGAAATTCCAGCAATGTCTCCTTTATTAAAATATTTTATTACTTCTGGAAGGAAAAGTTCTCCATTGGGAGAAAAATTGTCAGGGTGTCAAGGTCTCTCGTTTCTCCGACAGAACATTTCACTTTGAACCAGAATAGTTTGTCGTTACTTCATTGTCGTCCTTCCAACACGAGAGGCTTTTCCTCTCTCATTTCTCATCGAGAAAATTACTTTCCACCCCATCTCCTTCTTTGAGAAATCATTTCATACAAATTAAAAGTTTCGCTTCATTCATTCCTTCATTCATTCATTCTTCTTTGAAATTGATATCCAGAGCCTTTTGAAGTTCCTCAGTCTCCAACAAAAGTACTTCAGGAATTAGTGGTAAAAGAGGATTAGTGGGGATTCCCCTCAAAAATAAATTCCTCGTAAATGACTCGTGATTCAACAGAACTCAAAATTCTTAGAAAAATCTTTTGTATTTTAGAAAATTACCCTAAAGTCGAGTTATTTTTTATTAAAATCGATGAAAAGTATAATTGGAGAAGTTAATCTATGTGTTTTTCCACTCGCAGAGTTAGTGACCATTCGAAAAATCGATCCATTCCCCGTAGGAAATAACGACCATCATGGGTCAGCCACGCAAGACGCCCACAGTTGCAACTCGAGCGCAATGTGACATCTCGACGCCACGCTGTCTGGTTTTCCCATTTACATCGTATTTTATATTGCTGAATTTTTTACAACAGCAATTAGTGCAGCCAATGTTAATAATTCACTGAAATGTTGACGAAATAGGATAATTTTTTCAGACTGAGCCGAATTAATGACGTTATTTCTGAATGATGAACTTGAAAAAAAAATCCAAGTGTCCATTTTACCCCCACCCCCCCCTTTTTTTGCAGTGTATAATAAAATGCATTCTATCTATCTATGTATCGAAGTTCCCTCAGATTTAAAATTAATGACATCTTTATTTTTTTTCTCATTTAAGACACGAAGAAATCAATTTCAATGGAAAAATAATGAGCATCGACGTTGTCCCTCACGTATTGTCAATCATAAATCGACACACATATCCTCAAATGGTCGAGACCCCACTAACCTATAAAAACAAGCTTAATACTCCATTCGTGTGCTTCCGCAACATGTAATTGAGCGCTCAAGAGCGGAAGAAACCATTCCAGGGCGGTTCCCCATAATCCCGACATCCCCATACCTCCCGAGCCGCGAGCCAACGTCAATTAACCCTCGATTCCTTCCTCCCGTGAATCTCATCACCACTAGACTACTTTTTCCATTCCCTCATCCTGATTACCCTGAATCCAACTCTCCACATTCCGCAAATCTGATACGAGAGTAATAGCGGAGAGACATGTGTTTTTCCATGCGCCACTCGAGCCGCCGATTGGAATATCTCAATGGCACGTAGTTTTTTTCTTTATTCAACACGAACGTCAGGCAGAAACAAACAATTTCAATTACGTATGCAACAAAGAGAGGTGATGATAATCCAACAGACGGATAAAATTGTTCGGAGAGCAGTGGGGAATGTTGAGTATTTAAGTTACTGATGATAAATCAATAAATTCACTCTGGAGTTTATGCTCTAGAGTCCAGCAGAACAAATGGTGGAGTTGAAGCCAGTCAGGCGAGTCTGGGGGTCTCCACAAATTTTTAAGTCATGTGTTAACTAGTTTGGAGTTGAAAAAATATCGCACATGTTATTGTTTGGCCCCTGCACCCCTAAAAATCCTTCAAATTAAATCTCCTGAGCTTCATGGAAATCACTCATTGTCGTCTCTCTATTTATTTATTCATTTATGTGCTTCATTTTGTTTCGTTCTGTTGAACTCTGTTTTTTTGTTCTGGTCTACTCTGCTCTGTACTTATCAACAAGAGGGATTGATTGATTGATTGATTGATTGAGATTTATTCATTGTACATTATGTTGTACAAAAATTAAGGAATGACAAAGTCATAAAGCGGACAAACAAGCGCAGATAACTAAAAACTAAAAAAGGCTGTAAATAGCATGAGTAATACAGTAAGAGATTGCAAATAATATGAACTAAGGGCCCACAACAAGAAAAAGAAGGAAGAAAAATAGGGGCAGGCAGCATGAAATGAGGATTGAGAAAAGGGAGTGAGACAGGTGAAATTACTCTGAGGGCAGTGGGGAATATCGAGCCCCGTATTTAAATTCCTGATGAAAAATCAATAAATTCACTCTGGAGTTTATACTTTAGACTCCAGCAGCAGAACAAATGGGGGAATCAGGTGAAATTGGAGCCATTCAGGCGAGTTTAGTGGTCTCCAAAAATTTTCAAGTCATGTGTCAACTACTTTGCAGTTGAAAAAATATCCCACATGTTATTGTTGGTCCTTGCACCCTTAACAATTCCCCAAATTAAATCCTCTGAGCCTAATGAAAATCATTCATTCGCTTCATTTTGTTTCGTTCCGTTGAATTCTTCTGATTTTTTCTTTTCTGGTCTACTCTGCTCTGCGCTCATCAGCGAGAGGGAGGGGTGGCAGGAATACATATTGCGGGGTCTAGGTCATGATAAGTAATAATCCTGATACTCACGCAAAAAAATCCTCGAGTGGTGTTATTGATGCCGATTCACCCCCATAATACTTGTTGCGATCAACGTGTAACACTTTTTTACCACTAACGGATAACATACCCGATAAAATGCACTCTTTGAGACCGGTGCCAAGTACTATCGCGTCGTATTCTTCATCCATCGTGTATATAACTCTGGTGTCTAGCGGATTTTATTGTTGACGCACCAGCCGTTGGTTTTGTTCAGGGGTTAAATGCACTGGTGAGGGCCTTGGGGACGCGATTTTTTGGGCTTTCGACGGGTTTCAATCGCGGATTCTGGGAGATTGTAACGCAGATCGGGTGCAGACGATTCTGCCAACTCGGACAACTATTATGTCGGAACGGAAAGGCGCTTCTCGGCCTCTGAATCTGCTGGCTACGTCAATTCGTGAACGTTCGCTCTGTAGTGGGCACCCCGCACATCCCCGCGAGGAGTTTTCGTGTCAGACCAAGTCATTCTGCTAGTGGAGTGAGGGGGTTTCGACCAATTGCGGGAGCTTAGGATACTCAGGGACCAATGGCAGGGCGAGACCAGCGGGTTGACAAGATGGCGGAGCCAGGGGGACGCTCATTGGACGGGCTTGGGACCAGTGTCAGCCAGAAATTGGAATTTCAGGAACACGACTTTTTTTTTAATGTTCAGGATGTGTTGAATTGTTGATCGAATGAAATCATTTTACTTTTCAATTGAAAGAAGAGTTTTTCGTCTTTGTTCTATTATCAATCTGTTTCTGAGTTATGCGGTCTGCACCAAATTGTAAAAAATCCTTGGATATCCTTTAAATACGTAAAAAAATCATAAATATTCATAAGCAGTCAATATCATTCACATTTGAACAAACAACAATTTGTTCAACATTCCTTTTTCATAATTTAAAAAAAAACAATAAAAATTGTTCAAACCCTTGCAAAAATTAATCGTTCATAAATTATTCCAGCCAAAAAATTCGAATCGATCGCCTCTTTCTATTTTACCAACAGTCACTCTCTTGGCCAGCGAAGAGTGGTGCCCCCTACCCATTCCGCGAGTGTACAGATGCGCACGCACTGTGCGAGGTATATACCACAGACCTGAAAAAAGAGGAGAAAAAAAAGCTGCCGCCAGCTGCCCGAAATTGCAGCGAGTGTGTGTGGTAACTGGTAAACGTCGCAGTGATGTCAGTGCGCGAACGACGAGTGGAGCATTGGTGTTGTGGTTCGTTGACTACAATCGCCTCAACACTCTGCTCGTTCCAACTCTCAACTTATTTTTGGCATTACAGCCCATACAACCATTACTCCAGTTTAATTGTTGAGCAATTGGTGGTTCGCTCGTAACGGTAAACAGAGTGTGTGTTTTTTTTCCATGTTTTAAACTGCTCGGGTTAATTTTTTTCCCGGGGGGAAAGCCGAGTGCGTTGAGCGAGCAACAAAAAGAGGAGAGAAAACTTGGAATCATAAATAAATCGAAAATTGAGGCCTTTGTGATTGTTGAATCGAGTGCTCAGACTCAGTGCTGTGAATTCCGGTGAAGTTTTTTTTTATCGTGGCGAATGCAGTTAATGCAGTTGAACTCGTGAACTCAGAGTGGATAACTGTTGCTTCAAATATGTGGATTCATGTGCATCCAGTGATGTAACGGGTCTTGTCGTTGGCTGACTCAAGGACCAGAAGGACTCTCTTGTTGAGGACCAAGTGAGGGCCACGTGGACGCGTTGCTAGCTCCCGGAAAAATGTAGGTGAATGACATCCAACGAATTATAGATCTCAACTAACTGTACAGTTACAGTTGTTTCGATTTATTGGTATCCCACTCGGCTCGCTAGACACCAATTGCAGTGGTTTTTTTTTATCTCGGAAGGAGATTGAATTCATTCTGGCCATTTTTTTTTGCGGAGAATTTTTACTTCGCAATTTTTTATTGCAAAGGGAATTTCAAATTTTTGGTAATTGCTCTTTCATCTCCATATTTTTGTTTTTATGGTTTTTATGTTTCTTTTTTATTCGTATTAATTTATTTTTCATTGTTTTCCATGTTTTTTTTTCCAATGTTCAACATCCATCGAGACGCAACAAATCGAATTGTTTTTTTAACGTTCCGTCAGGAAGCTATCAGTTTGCACTCACGATACAACTAATTTTGACGTTTTTCGATATATTTTTAGCGCCCGAGTGGTTTTATTGAAGTTATTGATTCAGTAGTGAAATGAAATGAAATTTTTTTCATTTTGATTGAGGATTTTGTTAATTGTCTATTTATATCAAGAAACTGAAGGGAATTCCAAATTTTTGGTAATTGCTCTTCCCTCTTCATATTTTTGTTTTTTATTTCATTGAAATTTTCAATTCAGTAGTACATCAGATGGATTTCACTATCAAATATGTTTATCCATTTTCTAAAACTCGATTTTTTTTTACAAAAAAATGTGCTATATTTTGGGCTCATGAGGGAAAATTGAGAAAAAGTCATTACAACAGTTGTGGCAAAATGAAAAAACCAAACAACAATTTCCAATGTCTCTACGCTTGAAAAATAAAAAAATTGTTGAGTGCGTCCTTAAACCATCAACTTTCATCCATTTATAATAAACACATTTCACTCCATACTCAATGACATAAAACTAGCAAAAAGAAAGACACGAAGATGGATTTCCGAGGACGGGACACGGTCTATTAAAAATTTCCCAAGATTTCAGAGGCGAATGAGAACAAGAATTGCATCACAGTCGGACGCACGCGAATTTCCTCCTGCTTCCTGTGACCCTGCCATCATTTTCCTCCTCAAGCCCGGAAAAAAAATTGCTCAATAATTAATTCTCGGTCCCATTCACTCTAAAGCACGCGGAATTAATCCCGATTAGTTGATCTAGTGAGCGAGCAATTTACTCACCATTTCACCAGATGGTGGCACGCAATTCCTTTTAATAATGGAACACAACAAAATCCATATGGCTTTGTGTCACGCTCACGGGTCATTTGAGAACCACCTGGTGCCCATGACCCCTGAACTGGCTGATTTGACGTAACTGGGTCATTCCAGCGAATCCACTCCATTTTATCCTCGATTTTTAGTTCACGTTTACGGTTCCATTGGGTAATGAGCTTCCCCAGCTATGAAAATACACGGTTTAAACGGTTGTGGGCGATCGGAAGATTGTGGTAATGCAGGGGGCCATGTTTTTTGATAACTATCGCATAGATAAATGTTTAAATCACGTTGTTAACACTTCAGAGTGACGATTGTGAAAATAAAAAATAATACAACTAGTTGAGTTATGAGTGAGACCGTCCCGACAATGGAATTCGATAAAATATTGTCTGGATTTTCAAAAAAATATTCTATTTATTTATTTATTGTCGACGATATTCAAGTACTTAAGATATTTTTAAAGAATAAAATTACTTCAAATATTTCTCGTTAAACATTAAAAATTCAATTTATGCTTAAACATTGTGCAATTACTTTATTATTCAAAGTTTCAATTACGAGAAAATTGATTTAAAAAAATGATTTTTCTGGGAAATACTTGTTAACAATTTCCGGCAATTGATATCGAAAATTCAGCCAAAAATTTCAATATCGTCGCACAAAAGCCATGATTGCTGATATCAATAATGTAGATAACATTGCGAATCACTGACGCTATTAACCCTTACCTTGAAAACAACCATTCAACCAAACCAAATGTCCGATTATTCACTCAAAAGTGACTCCCCAATTTGTCAGAATGTCAACCAAAGGCCCCATAAATCATCCGTTTTATTTTAGAACAATTTGCTTCCGGAATTCAAACGTCAGCACAATGACCCAACATTTTTAGCTCTCGACCCCGTTATTTATACGTTTTACAAGGTTGGCGATTGATTGAATCGTGCAGTGAATCCCAAAACAATCTCTCATATCTATTTTTCCCCATTTTCCCTGAGAAATGTCGAGTGACCTTGAGTCCTGACGTTCTTTCTTTGGCCCTGACAGTCGACTCGAGGTATTAATCAAGTACGTCGGGCACCACCCACTCCATTCCACGTGTAAAAATGTGTGTGATTAAAAGATAAAAATGTCAATCTTCGACAATTGTCGCGAGTGCCACTTTCTGGCTGACTCTGGGTTGGGGCGAGGGGTCAAGAGAACACTCTGATGCCTCAGCCTCAAGCACTATTCACTGGCCAATTAAACTCTAATGAGATCATTTAATTATCGTTTCGTTTCGTATGCAGGGAAATCTTCCACACAGAGGAGGAAAGTTTCTGAAAGTTAGAAAAACTCGATAGATTATAGAAATGCGGCGGCGGAGTCTTAACAAGCATTATTCGGTAGATGAGAAACACTGTTGAATATTTTTGCATGAAATTTCGGCGTTTTTCCGCTGTTTTTTTAGTTTTTGCAATTTCTTATCAAGTGTTAGTTCCACTAAAATTCAAATTTAATAACTTTTTCTCTTTTTTTACAACTTGTTGAATGTTGAATTATCTAAGTTAACTACTGTGAAACAATTTGGGCTGAAATTTCTAGAATAATTCTACTACACTTCTTCCACATTCTTATCAAGTGATAGTTTCACTAAAATTTCAGACAGGTTCTTCATCACAAAATCATAATTTAATGAAAAAATTAGTGAAAATAGTAAATTTGGGTTCAATTATTTAATAAAAATTGATAGAAATCAGAAATATTTAAAAACTTAGTTTTCTCTGTGCATCATTAATAATTCAAGACTGGCAGACTAAAACTCCATAAATTTGGGGTCATCTCCAAGGTCTCTTCATGCTCTCCGAAATGAGATCACATTCACACAAATTGCATGGCCCATTTTTCTGCATAAAGCCTCGGTGGGGATGGATTCATGGTTCCTCGCCCGAGTCGAATAATTGGACCTGACAAGTTCTACTTATAGGTCGTTCCGTTCGGAACTGGATAGGTCTTGGGAAGCCTCTTCACAAGTGCTTCCGAGACCTTTCTACCTCTGGTTATGTCCCATTTCAGCACTTGTTAGGTGTAAGCAGGACTTGTATTCAGACTTTTCAAATCCTTGCCGGTCCCCGTAATTCTATGGGCCTATATTAAATCTGCGTTCATATCCCTGTTTACTCATGCGTTATTGAAATAAAAAATGCAATTATTGTTTTTTTTTTAATCTCGAAAATCGACATTTCACGAGAGGGTGGAGGGGAGATGCATGTATGCGGAGGCTTGAAATTTTTACCCAACAAGGGGAGAAGGTTGCAGAATCTATTCTAGCCACTCTTGTCCCTATGCTTGCATGCATTATCCAAATAAAAAATAAAAGTGTTAACAAATCTGACCATTGTTCCAAGTAAAAACGGAAAATCTGACCCTGTGGCCCCCGGTGAAAAAATTTTTTTTTCAGTTTTCACTTTTTCCACGTACTTTTGAGAGTTCTGAATAGCCCGTCGCTTAAATAGTTGGAATCAACGTTCACCCGGCTAAAAAATTCGATTTTGGCGAAAGTCGACTTTCCCCCTGGAAAAATCCAAGATCTGACACTTTGGCCCTCGTGACCCTTGCGACCCTTTGACCGACTTTCCCCCTGAAAAAATCCAAGATCTGACCCCTTCGGGTCCGGGTGAAAATTTTTTTTTTTCAGTTTTCACTTTTTCCACACACTTTTGAGAGTTCTGAATAGCCCGTCGCTTAAATAGTTGGAATCAACGTTCACCCGGCTAAAAAGTTCAATTTTGGCGAAAATCGACTTTCCTTCTGGGAAAACCTAAAAATCTAATAATAAATCTTTGGCTTCGGGTGAAAAACAATTTTTTTTAGTTTTCACTTTTCCCACATACTTTTGAGAGTTCTGAATAGCCCGTCGCTTAAATAGTTGGAATCAACGTTCACCCGGCTAAAAAGTTCAATTTTGGCGAAAATCGACTTTCCTTCTGGGAAAACCTAAAAATCTAATAATAAATCTTTGGCTTCGGGTGAAAAACAATTTTTTTTAGTTTTCACTTTTCCCACATACTTTTGAGAGTTCTGAATAGCCCGTCGCTTAAATAGTTGGAATCAACACTCGCCCGACTAAAAAATTCGATTTTGGCGAAAGTCGACTTTCCCTCTGGAAAAACAGAAAATCTGACTCTTTGGCTTGGGGTGAAAAAAAAATTGTATTTCGACTTTTGTCGCGCCTTCGGGGGTTTCATTGGCATCAGAATTGTTAGAAAATACAGAATCAACTTTCACTTGTCGAAAAAATTCAATTTTGGTGAAAATCGACTTTCACCCTTCACCCACGTGAAAATGAAAAATTTTTTTTCCCCTTTTCTGTCACCTCCGAGGGTTTCATTGGCATCAGGGGGTCAATAAATACAGAATCAACGTTCACTATTTTTTATTTAAACACCGCCTGCAAACGGGGAGATGAGGGTGGCTAAAATATATTCTGCAACCCTGTCTCCTCGTTGGCTACAAATTTCAACCCTCCGCATACATGCCTTCCCCTTCACCCGCTCGTAAAATCACGCGTTCTCGGTAGCATCGAGGAGGACTTCTCAGGACCGAAAAGAACTGAGGATTCGAAAGGTCTCTGGAAAAGTACGTCGCAGAACTGATTAGGACTTACCAGGTCCATTTAGGTCTGGAGAGATCTTGAAAGACCTGTGTACGTCCAATCAGAACCAAATTCTCGACTCGGGTCTGACATCACCTGAATCCCATGGTTCGTTGTGATACGTATGGTGAGAGTTACCTTACGTGCATAGGAGTTTTTTTTAATGATTATGTGTACCCCCTTTGGGCATTACGTAAACCTTCCTGAGAGACGGGATTGTGAGGAAAAAAGTGAACGGATTGGGTTAATGCGTGAGTGAGGTCACGGTTTATTGTGTGGTGACACAACCGCATGGACATTATACTATACGGGGGAATATTGGTAATACGGAAATAGAGGTTTTTTCTTTTTTATTGGCTTTACGTTGAGGAAAACTGCACACTGCCTTTGTGCACATGAGGCTAATAGTCATTTTCTTATGTTGATGGTTTATAAAAAAGTCGTATTGGTGAGGAAAGAATAGAAGAAGTTTGTGGATGTCAAGAGAAAAATTTGTTGAAAATTATCCTTGCATTTCTCGGTTTCTCCGTTTCACCGTTTCTCGGTGAAATTTTTACATTTTGTTGTATTTTCACAAAAATCTTTGTGAATAATTCCCAAAAGACTAATACCTGATATACCATTATTAAAATTAACATCTAATTTTCAATAGATTCTACTCTTTCAAATTGTTTTAGTAAAATATATGAAGAAATTGTTAATTGGGAATTGCTTTAGCTAGAGAAAGGTTTCTTGACCTTTTTCCGAAATGATTATCCGTCGAGATGAATAACCATTTAACAAGAAAGTCGAATTACATCATTCTAATTCCCCGAGTATTATCATGTGAAAGGACCGGACGTTAGCCCACCCATTCATATCACGAAAATACTGGCAACATATTTTTTTCACCGTGGCTATTCGCACTACCACACGCAGAAATTAATATATTGGTCGGCCAGAACTACAACACGCAGCGTGTGACAACATTGTCCAGTGGGGTCTAGGAGTCTCTCCTGGTTGGCGATCCTTAAAATCATCGGCGTATTTTTTTACGCAAACTATTTTTGAGTGATCAGCGACAATCTTTGTCGTCTACCTTTGATAAAAATTTTATCAATGGAACCTTGAGTGACAGATAAACGCCGAGGTCAGATGTTTCGGGAAATGATACCACTGATGAATCGAGATGATGCAATGATGCTCGCAAATAGCTCCAAGAAAATTGAAGAATTGCGAGCAGATGTGGGAGTTGCAACGAGCCCCAGATGCTCGTGCATTCCAGCCTACTAGTACGATAAATAAATTATGCAGGTAAAACAGAATGAGTCGAATTTATTTTTGAATGAATCAGTTTCACGAAATTGATGAGTCAATTTTTACATTTTTACCCGGTGAAAAAATTTTTTTTTTCAGTTTTCACTTTTTCCACATACTTTTGAGAGTTCTGAATAGCCCGTCGCTTAAATAGTTGGAATCAACGTTCACCCGGCTAAAAAATTCGATTTTGGCGAAAGTCGACTTTCCCCCTGGAAAAATCTAAGATCTGACACTTTGGCCCTCGTGACTCTTGTGACCCTTTGACCGACTTGTTTACGAACAAACGAGTTCAAAGGAAAATCGTCGAGGGTTTTCCTATTTTTTTAATGAATTAAATAATTCAATTTGAAATGATTCGTAATTCGTGATTATTTTACACAATGTTAGAAATCATTGGCTCAAATTTTAAGTACACTCCTTCGAAATTTCTATCAAGTGTCAGTTTTACCGAAATTATAAGCAATTTGCTGCTCAACAATTCGAAAATACATTCAATTTTCATTGAAATTCGAAATTTCATTTTCTTTTTTTCGCCGTTAAATTAATTTCATTTCACTAATTCACTTCTAAATTAATTGGTGATCATTAATAATTCGAGAAATACCCTGATGCATAATTGATTACATGCATTAACATACTGGTGTCCACATAACGTATTACCGTAATGTGACCTTGGAGGCTGAAACTCGATAGCCGGTTCGTTATGAAAGAGAAAGAGTGATAAAAATTCCTTCGTTGACGAGAAATGTTTTATTTTGCCCAATCAACTGCCTCTAGACTTTTTCCGAAACACTACATAACAAAAAATGCAATCATCTGATTGAGGCAGGAATTGTGGTATTGAGGTATCGAAGGAAGGAAGCGGTGGCTCCGCGCCAAATGAAAGTATTTCATTCAGCCAGCAAGGAATTTTCAGAATTTCTTGCTAAATCGATGCAGTTTTCAACTTGCCGATTTATAGCGGTCGGTTATTGTAATGATCCCGTAAATCGAAAGAGAAATTTCGTGATGTCTTGACGTTTTATGACCTCTAGAAACTTTGTTTCGAAACCTTTGAAACTTTGGGGTTTTTTTTCTGCTAAATGAACAATAAAAGGGAATTCATCGACCAGTTGATGGCTCGACCCCTAATGCACTCGCTCTCGAATCAAAAGAATAATATAATAAATTTATATCTCGAAAGTGTTTGATCAAGAGATTAATGCCAGTACTGCATATGATATTATATGGAAAATTTGGCAAAAGTGTCGGAAAATCTAGTATCTCTCAACGCGAAAAGGTCTATTTCCCTCGGTTTTTCCATTGAATTTTTCCATACGCCTTTCGTGTCTCTACCGAGGGTGTTGAAAGTTTTTTCCATCATTTTATCACTGTATACCCCCCCAAGGGGATCGATGTGTGCTGTTCATACAGGTGTGGATAATTAATGATGACAGCTGTCAAAGTTTCGCATCACGACTGCATATATAGCACACCTCGATATCACCTAGAGAGATCGCCAGACCAAGTGTTCACGTGATTTTGTGTGAAGAGGATTGCCACCTAAATTTAACACCGTTCACTTGATAAACACTTGTAACTGACAAGCCCATAATCCATTCTGCATCTTTCACCGCATCGTCTGAATCAATATTATTATTTTTGACAATGAACGGGAGACTGTAATAAACGAGTCTTCTTTATTCAGAGATATTTTTAATCGCAGCCGTATCATGACTTTTTTATTTGAAAAGGATTGATTGCTCGATAATTTTTGGAGGAGAAAAATAGATTGGAAGGTTTTTATTGATTGAGGAGTCTGTGAAATCATGAGACTTTTACTGCTTTGCTACTGAAATTGTTGTTTTTATGGGAGACTTTTCATTATTACAGGATATTTTATTCTATTATATTTTTTCAGAATTGAAATATCCTGAAAGAATAAGAAAAAATGAAAACGCAATTGTAGAGAAAAATTGATGAAAATAATGATTAAAGCATTTGAAGCATTGATTTGAAGAAAAAATGTCACTGTGTAATTTCAGATGTGCAAGTATGTCGGAGAGGGGGATGCAAGCAGCGTGCGAGGAGCCAGAGAAGAAGACCTCGCTCTATGTATTCCCAGGACCAATACCGCCCCGCGTTCCACCACTGAATCCCCTGCAATCGCCTCCAACGATAACAACGACAAATTTACCATGGTACAAAGACGTTGCAGAGGAATTCACCGAGCTAAACGAAGAGGACATGAAACGTCGGCGTCAAGGTGTACAGAGACACACGAGATCAGCGAGTCATGGGGGTGTCCTGGCGACCTCGTCGACTGGTTGGCAATCGACACTGGGATCACCAGCGAATTTTCCCACCGGGAGCATTGGGGCTGGTCGGCCCTCGGCTCTAAAAAAACCTGGACATCAGAGGGCATTCTCTCAGGGACAAGTGGTGGACGTGCAGGGCCCCGTCACTGGCCACAGCAGAGTTGGCTCCAGGACGGATTTCATTCTACCACCGGGACATCGAGAGGAGACGAGACCTGCCACTGCCAAAACACCGTCCTTTCGAGGGCACTCACGACAGGCGTCGAGGTGAGATGAAATTATTTTTTATTCATTTATTTATTTATTCCTTGAATATTCAACAGTTATGCAGTATTTAGACAAAACAAAATATATATTCACCTGAATTCTGACTTGTATCAATTCTCATAGAATAATTCAAGTGAAATTTACACTTTCCACTGATTTTATTATCAAATTATGAAACTTCAACGCCGGAATTCCCCGAAATTCCAATAAATGCTCAATAATTCAATGTGTATAATGATTATTTACCCTTCGGTGAAGGGTCGATTGACTCGTTACCCCTGCACATTAAATTTTCAGAGCTAAGAGGCTCTTGAATATGCAGGAAGAATATCTAAAATTCATGAACGTCCAATAACCAAGTGAAGAACTATGCGTTCATACATAAATAAGGGATATTAATTCTAGGTCAGAATCAATCTATACAATTCGACGTAGTGCAGCGCCACCCTGGTGGAGGCGTGCGTGGGCGAGGTGCTTCGGGTCACCCCCCGAGGAGCCAAAATTAAGGACCATCATACCAAATCACCTGGTACCACCAAAAACACCAGCGAAGAAGCACCCCAATGGCAGTCATGACAACAGGTAAAATTCGCCAATTCGAAAATTACATTTTACACAAAATTATCATTTTTTTAAAACATTCCTTGTTGATAAATGAATAATTGAAATTTGTTAAACTTTCGGAAACCTAATTTTTTTATGCATGAAATCGATTCCTGGTAAAATTCTGAGGATGAATAAATTTGTTACGATTCCGAACAAATGATTTTTATGGTGGAAAATGGATTATTTATAAATTATTTATAGAAACTGTTCGTAATTATCAAAAAAAACGTGAAAGATTCCGTAAATCGTGACATTCTTCTTTCCTTATTAAATTTAATTATTTTATTTCAAAAATAAAAGTCACTCATTATTTGGACAATGCAGCAAGACATGAAGAATGTCACACACGTCGTGATATTATATTTGTAAAATTCGTGACATTCCCCACAATCCAATTATCCCAATGTCAACAAAAAAGCTTAAAGAAGGTCAAGCCATTTGAAGTTTTAAATATATTTCCCTCGTAACCCTGAACTTCGTGGCTGTCCAGCAACATCTGACATTTACATAATCCCCATTTACCTGTTTATGTTATCTCTGAAGGGTACGCACAACAAAATACACAGCTCTGACTTTCTTACCCCGAAATCTCATGGAGCAATTTCATCGTGTCGCAAATTTGTACTTCATCTTCATTGTCCTGCTGAACTGGGTGCCAGCGATAAATGCATTCGGTAAAGAAATAGCAATGATACCAGTATTATTCGTTCTTGGTGTGACAGCACTGAAGGACTTCTTCGAGGACAGGAGAAGATATGCCAGTGATCAGCGTGTCAATAATTCAACGTGTCGAGTTTATCTCAGGTAAGATTCATTTATCGGTCTATCGACCTGTTTTTTATGTTAGAAAAATAATTGACATTTCGTGGATAGTTCAGTAGTATTATATTTATGTATTTTTATATATTTAAAGGGGGAAAAATCATGACATTTCAAAATTCACTGAAAATTCAAGGGAATGCTCAATTTTTTAGCAGCAGAATGGCGAAAATTGCCTGAATTTTCCCAATCTTCCATCATTTTCAACGTGATAGACCCGAAAATTGCGATTTCATGGAACATTCGTGAAATCAACTAGTTTATCTGTCCCAAAAATCAATATTTTTCACTTAAAATGTCCGGACTAATTTTCCAACAAAGTTAGATGACTGCGATTAAGAAAATATGTATTAAATTTCTGTGCGTGTCCCCCGACCGTTCCACGTTTCCATGAATGATAAAGTCACCATCAGATCTGGTAACATTGCCCATTCCATTATTTATCATTTGTCATCGTTGCAGCGAAAGTAATATCGATCCTGAATCATCCATTACTCGGCAATGGTCAAACGTCATTCTCTATTTTTTTTGGGTCAACAGCAAGTGAAAACGAGTTTTAAAAAACAGTTTATAACTTGTGAATTCTCATTGTCATGGAACTTTTTGCTGTGGTTCGTCAATATTTTGTTATTAAATGATAAGGAGAAACATTTGTCGATTACAAGTTTTTGTGGTGACATAAGGCTAAAGTCTATAATTTTCCCAGGTCAATCGGTATAAAGACATGGGAGGAGGTGTTTTCGTGCACATCCTCAGCCACTATGGCTGTGCAAACACCCTCCGTCGGGCACGTTTTTTTCCCTTTTATTCGACTTTAGCACGTGTAACAATTGGATTTATTCGATCGAGGCGCTGATAGTTTCTCCGTCGTTGAGGTTGCACGAACTCTCTATGTGGGGTGGCAACTGACCACAATACAGGCCTGGTGCTTCGGTATGACCGGCTGTGTCGTAGACTTCATTCATAATGCAATCCAATCGGACGGGGGTTCATGTGTGGGCCCTGACGTGTAATGAAAAAATTTATTGATCGTGAATTCCTTTAATTTCAAGCGGGGGTTCACCTTGCCTCGGCGCAGGCCCTTGAACCTTTCAAGGGTTTTCGTATGTTTTTATTCTCCTAGAGGTGTGAAGATCTTATTGAACAGGTGCTGTAGAAGTATATGGACCTAAACCTTCCTCCCTATTGGGTTTATGTTTGTGGAACATATATAAGACACATATATCCAACATATAGACATATATTGTACATATAAGTGAATATAGATTAAATATATGCGGTATGATTACAATATATGTCACATATATGTCTACCTATATGTTGTTTCCGTTCGGGACGCTTTACGATGATTAGATATCAGTCTCAAAATTGAGCGAAAATGCCTCTTTCCATCGCTAAAACATAATCAGGCCCCTGAACCCAGTAATTCCCAGTTCACTCATTCCCTGACTCATAATTTTTCGACAAGATAACCCAAGCCTTGTTCGCTATTAAACATTCCCTCCGAGTATTCATAATTCACCGGCGATTTGTTTAATTCCCATACAATCACTCACCCAATACCCAAGTGTCTTCGCATTAACAATTCATGGTGTGTATCATTCATTGATAATCTCGATTCCCATCCACCCTATTCACTTATCAACACGTGAGCCCCAACTACCTGTTATATGGAACATTTTCATGATGATAGTACACGTGCGTGAGACATACGTGCAGGAGGAATCGAACAGAGTGACAGAGACCCACTTACCTTTCCTGGCATCTGTGTTATTCGACCTTTACCTACATAACGCATGCAAGGTTCTCCCCTTTCAGTTTTTCCCCTCGCGCAAGTGATTGAAAAATATGTCGTCTAATAGAGCTACTGTCACCCCGACGAATTAATTCGCTCTAATGAATCGAATGAATTTTTCTCAATGTTAAAAAATCGATGAGAATTATTTCTCACACAGGCCTTGATGGAATATGGGTGCAAGTGAATAAATAAATGTGGCAAAGCAATCAGATACTTTATTAAAATCTTTTTATTTGCGCGAGGAAGGCACGTCTGTACTTGAGGACAGTTGTCCTGAGACTGGAGGCGATAACCAAGTGAAAATTCTCACTGGGAGAACGACAATCAAAATAATAAAGTTTTACGACTCAAGAGGACACAGTCCTTCTTCTTCTTCTTCTTCTCTACATTTCCAATTTTCTGTTCTGTTAAGTAAATAATAAATCTTTGTAGAGTAGTTGTTGTATTTTAATAAAAGAGCTGTGCTCTAATATTCCAACAGACCTCGATAGGCTTTTTTTTAATACCGGTGCTGCAGAGCTTCCAGTGACGTCACCAGTTGCATCAGCAGTATCTCCCACCTATCGGTATTACTTCTGTCGCCGCATCACGTTTGACAAACGGGACACGTTTTATTAGAATTCGTCACTGGGGCTCACTACAAATATCATTAACTCTTTTCACACTATCAATTTAATGTTGAATGTTTAATTCATGGGGTGACCTGTGACACTGTTTCCAGTGGTTGTAATTAATGCGGAATCACGTTCTTATGTGGAGTAGGCAAAGAGTCTCATACGAATTAGGGTGCAGGCCTTTTATGAAGAGCTGTAATTTTTCCAGGGGGAAAGGAGTTGGTTTTTAAGGGAAACATGCCACTGATTTTCACGCATACATGCCAGATTATTTTCATGTGAATGGGGGTGGGGTTATCGAAATTATCAGTGAATAATATACACCATGAATTGGTAATGAAGACATGATAAGAGAGAAGGGAGGGACATATTCTCAAGTAATTGTAATTGAATGTGAAATTTCATGGGTTGATGACTAGGAATTTTTCAGGGGGTGACATTGGGGGTGAAATTCCAAATTTTGTAACATCAGGAAGACGAAAATTTCCCAATTCCTTGCATTTTTGGTCACAACACGAATATATAGTACCAAATTACGCTGAATTGTCCATTAATTGAAAATTCTAAAATTTATTTACCTGATTTTTATTCATTTTTATGGAGTAATTAAATTTTAGTTTACATTCCATTGGTTTTTCAATCAAATTGTGAATTTTCGATGACGAAATGCCTAGAAATCTCTAACACTAGGGGTCGAGGGGACAAAATGAATACTTAATTATTTTAAAAAATAATTTTTTTAATGGCATAATTTCTTTTTCCTTGAAAAATATACTTTTTTCGCTTTATAATGAGCCCAGTATGATCTCAATTGTTGAATTTGTTCCCGAGTTACGAATATTTAAAAAATGTCCGAAGTAGGTATTTATTTTGCCCCACCTCCTAAAATGTCATGAAATTTTTTCTAAATTGTATTCATTGTGGCTCGCGACACTATTTCAAGCGCTAGTAATTAATGCAGAATCACGTTCCTGAACGAATCAGACAAAGACTCCCATACAAGACTCAAAGACTCCCATGCTATTGAGATCTCTCATAAAGAACAGTGATTTTTTGTTTCAAACAAAACATCACATAAAATGTTTTTATGCCTTATTTTCCTCTGCTTTGTTTCTTTCTCAGGGGGTTCTGTTATTCCAGCCAAAACATTTGTGTTTGAAATATTTCCACAGAGGTGTCGAAATTGCGTGACAGCCTTCAAATGTCTGCATCAAATGGAAAATGATTTTTTCGTCAATATTTTCATATGATTCCACGTGTGTCACCACCGCTTTCATTACTGTTTACGTGCAATTGAGGCCAAGTTGATGATGAATTTGCATGTCCAAGATTCAGTTTTATCTAAAATTCCATACGGTTCATCATTATTCAGTAATGAAGAACAACAATGCCATCGGCGTTGCTTCATTATCAATCCAATAACAGAATTACTGCAGTCGTTTGATTTTCCACGCTACTGTGGACTGATTCCCTTCAAATATCAAGCCCTCCCGAATAAATCGATAGCTCCTATCATCCATTGGCAAAGGTGATGTACGTAAAATATTGAACAAACATTGGTATCAGCCTGGAAAATAACATTCCCCCCCTTTTTTTCCACTTTGTCAACCGATAGAGCAGACGTAGATACGTCAATTTTATATCTGAACAGGGTTGCATGTTAATTTTGTTGAGCAAACAGAGATAAATCCGATGAAACTATTCACTGTTGGGATTTTACTACTGAAATTTCGAATAAACATGATTTAAAATCGTAAAAATTCCATCGAATTTGATGTTTAAGATGCGCCAAAAGAATTCTCAGCCAAAAGAAGATGGAAAAATGGCTTTAAAAAATTAAACGATGGCTTGAAAAATTTGGTCAATCTTTTCAATTCAAAGTCACATTGTTGAAAATTCAAATGCTGTAAAAAAATTTTTAGCAAATTAATTTGCAATTAATAAAATTTGGATTGTTCAATTCATTCGCAATTGAATGAAGTATTGAGTTCAAGTCACTCGAGATTTTGAAAGCACACACCCATATGCCGCCCGTATGTGTACCCAGTCCCCCTGATGAATCGTTTCTACGTCCTTGAAACACTGATCTATGAGTTGGATACCTATTCTCACCCACATACAATAAAATCACATGATTTTCCATGCTTGATCGGTTTCGATTACTGGAAACGGCCTCCCAAACCCGTTGCAACCGTATAATTCTGTTAAAAAAATAGACCGATAAATCATGACGTAACGTCTTATCCAGAGATTCATTTGAAGCGAATAAAGGATTATTATTAGATGTTAGTTTATTCGTTATCTTCACCATGTAAACAATTTTCATCGCTAAGTGATAAAAACTATTTATTTAATTCAATGTCGACAATATTTGACTGAAATTTGGACGGTTCCATTGAAATTTCAAGGAATTTCGTAATTGAAAATTCACAATTTGCTGAAAAAATTGATGAACCGTTTTTATCAAAAGGTTTTTCTTATTGTTGCATGAAAATTAATAAAAATGAAGGCAATTCACTTAATTCAGACCATTTGAAATAGTTTTTCTTATTTTTCAAATGGAATTATTCAATTCAAATAAACCATTTCTCTGAATTTCTTAAATTACTATTAAAACTTCACCATTAATATATGTCATTAATTTTGATATTAATGCAATGTTCCAAAATAATGTAATTTTTCGTGCAGTAATTGCATTTTCCGCAAAACTCCTGGGAATTTCTACCAGATTTTTCTTCCCAACTTTCCTAAATTGAAATGTTAATAACTAGCATTTACATCTCCACGATAATTTTCATTCTCCCCTGATGTCTCCTTGTTACCTAAAGATGTAGATGTAGAGGCACGCGGAAGTGAACGTGGGATCACCTGAATCCCCCAGGCTTACGTGTTTCAATGATACCTATGTCTTTGCTTACGTACAACCAGAAAAAACAGTTTCGTTAATGTAGGAAATATCACAGGAAGTGGATGCAAAACGTTAAATCATCTTCGATGAGTTTGAGGTCTTGGTCTTGGTCTCGGTAGAGTGCTGCAAGTCGATCAATGGCGCGTGACCCGACTCTGTGACGAGGGACGAGGTGCCAGAGACATTTCACTTCTTGACTTGCCATTATCAGGTAGATTGAATTAAAAAAATGTGGGAAATAACGCTGGGACCGGTTCAGTATCGGTCTCGCTCTGGAGTCGTAACCCTTCTGAGAGCTGCGTCAAAAGTCTCTAGCTCATCGAGTCTAGTTTAATTCAGAAGGAGAAAACAATACGTACGAAATAATTTATAGAAAAAGCGAGCGAATCAGTTCGACTGAAAAAAAATTCTATTTGATTTTTATAGAACTTTTTATTAAACTTTTATTTACTTTTGATATTTCCATACAATTTTTTCTACTGAGACATTTTCCATAGAAATTCCTTGAAATGAATTTTTTTTTACGATTTCATGTTAAATTCAATTCAAAATTGGAAATTGAAATTTCTCATCCTCCTCTTACCTAAATTTCCATAAATTCCCAACAATTATTGATTATCTTGAGAATTGATTACTGAAAAAAAATCGAAAAGAAAGACCAGTCTAGCTGGCGTTGGAACCCTCCTGAGATGATCTGCATTATAATCGAGTCTAGCTCACCCAGTCCAGTTTACTTCGTTACAAGCATTAACGATTCAGTGGTTCTAATAATGAACATCCCCGTGGCTCCTAAATGAAGCAGAGAACCCCTCTGATGGATAAATCATCTAATAACGTTTTCTCGATCATTTATCGGTCTTATAAATACGACCTTTTCCAGTTGATATGAACTCTTCGGGTCGACGTGACGTTTTCTCAGGGGCAATTGTCAATTTGATTGATTCCCAAGTTTTCTTCATGGAACGAACGGAAAAAATATATCTGAACTCTGTTTTTTTCTCCGCGGGCACATGCATCGAGGGAGTTGAGGCTCATTTCATTTTTCCAATGTTTGCACGTGTCCAACTTGGGAACTAGTAGTGCTTCTCTCAGAAATTCATTCAGTGGATGATAAATTTAATTAGAATAGGTTTTGTGGACTTTTTCAATCATTTCAGGGTCATAATTTTTTATCTTCGAGTGGTCCTCAAGGGCCTGACCTGATTAAAGATGATAATATTCTTTTTTATAATAAAATAATTAATAATATTGGTATTTATAATAAATATAAATAATCAATTCATTTGATCCTCGAGTTGAGTTCCTAACGTGATTAAAGATGATAATAATCGATGGTGAGTGGGCAATATTTTTTTTATTCTTTGATTATGGAATTGATGTAGCGAAATTTTTATGAAAAAATCAACTTTCATTTGAAATTGTTACACAGAGGACTTCCCCCTGTGAAAATTATTCTTGTGAATTATTTGATCTATTGATTAAACAATTAATAATCTTAATATTCATAATGAATATAAATAATAATATTACGTAATTAATTAAAAATCTAATTGTTTTGTGTTCTCAGTGAAGTAGATCGTTACGCAAAAGTTCCGTGGAAAGACGTGAAGGTCGGTGATCTCGTTCATCTGTCTAACAATGAAGTAGTGCCAGCTGATATCCTCCTGCTCCGCAGCAGTGATCCCCAGGGATTTGCCCTCCTCGACACGTGCAATCTCGATGGCGAGACTAATCTCAAGCAACGACAGGTGGTGCGCGGTTTTTTGGACCTCCAGGACACCTTCCAACCGTCAAAATTTCGATCGGTCGTCGAAGTTGATCGGCCAAGCACGAAGATCTACAGGTGAGTGATGGTTTCTCAGTGATTTGAGTTCCTTTGTCCTGGCAAATCACTGAATGGGGTATTCAACAGGTTTTACGGCGCAGTTGTGCACCCTAATGGCGCGAGAGTGCCGGTTACCACGGAGAATCTTCTGTTGAGGGAATGCCTATTGAAGAACACCGACTTTGTCGAGGGCATTGTCGTTTATGCCGGTCATGAGACCAAGGCGATGCTCAATAATGGGGGACCGAGGTATAAAGTAGGTATCCGATCATTAAATACTAATTTAGGTATTGTCGAATTTTTTAGTAAAACAAATTATTTTGCAGAGCAAAATGAAAATTTTTTTCGCATCCGGATGGATGGATCAGCCATTCGTTATTAGCGATTTTTAATAATGACAAAATTGCATGCAATTTCTTGAATAGTTAAGGACATTGCAATTGCAATGGTCCATATAATTCTGAAATGATTGAAAATTTTGAGGATTTAGTCGACTATCGTTTTGGATTCTCAATCTTTTGAAAATTCATTTGAATTTAATGTTCGACTTTTAGAATAAAATCTTTTTGGGTAAAATTTCGGACATTGAAATTTCAAATTTCATCATTCTTCCTCCTAAATTGAATTCAGACTACTAAATTGCCCATGACAACGCATTTTTTCCTAATAGCGTATCAAAACCCTGAAAAACATTAAACTTTGATTTCCCAAGCGATCAAGACTGGAGCGACAGATGAATTTGGACATAGTCTGGTGTGTAGTGATCCTAGTGGTCCTCTGCATCGTGGGTGCAGCTGGCACTAAATTCTGGCTCTCGACATTCACAACCGACGCCCCAGTTCCTTTCCTTCCCTCCTTCAAAGAGCCCATTTATGAGGGCATGCTGACATTCTGGACATTCGTGATAATTCTTCAAGTGATGATACCCCTGAGCCTCTACGTGACCATGGAGATGGCCAAGGTGGGGCAGGTATATCACATCGGTCACGATGCGTCACTCTTTGATCCTGAGACTGGACGCAAGGCTGAGTGCAGAGCCCTCAACATTACTGAGGAACTGGGTCAAGTGGGTAACCCAGTGATTAATTAAATTTATCGAACATTCAGACAATTCAAATGATACTCTCATCCACAGATACAGTACGTCTTCTCGGATAAAACTGGAACATTAACGGAGAATAAGATGATATTCCGCAGATGTGCTGTGGGTGGTCAGGATTATGGACATCGCGGTGAGGATGAGAATATCCTTGCCTGCACCAGATTGAAGGAGGATTTATTGATTGGCAATGCACGTCATCGGCTCCAAGAGTTTCTCATACTATTGGCCATTTGTAATACTGTTGTTGTTAATACTCAGCCACATCATGACCTCATGAATTCCAGTGGTGTCATCGAGGAGCCACAGAAGAATGGGGCTGCTATGAGGTAATTTTTATTCCCAGAAATCATTATTTAAATACAATTTCTCATTTTTTATTCACCTAACGTAAATATCAAACTATTCAGAGAGTTATTTCATATGAATTGAGTAAAAATTGTGTTTCAAAATATTTTTCTGTCTAGTTGGTTTGTTTTTTCGTTAATTTAATGAAACCCAGACAATTCCAAGTTTGACCAAGAATTTCTTATATTTCCTCTCTTCAATAAAATATCTATTAGAACAGAAAATTATAATTGAATAATGCAAGCCAAGTGTATAGTTTTGAATATAAATATACGAAAAAAAACAAACAGAATTCTAATAAAACTTCAAATGATGACAATTAATTCCTGAAAAATGTGAATTTAAATTGAATTAAAAATAAAAACTCTATCAATAATTCCTTTAAATTTCAACAGGTATACTCGCCTCTCCGAATCCCGAAGTACCACTCCTCCACCGCCCCCAGCGCCCTCAGCAGCCCCTCCGGCCCAAGAGCCCCTGGAACCCCTGGAGCCCCTAGCAATAAGCGTAGCAAATCTCCCCACAAAGATATCTCGTCCACGTCTCCTCAACGTCCCCACAATTCCCAGTTTGAACATCGGCCTCCTCCGGAAGCACTCGCCGATCGGAGCCCGAGGGAGTCCATCCTCCCCCAATGCTCGTGGAAACACCTCCCTGGGCTCCGAATCACCCCCTCCAATCTACGAAGCAGAGAGCCCTGACGAGCTGGCCCTGGTGTACGCAGCAAAAGCCTACGACGTCAAGCTCATCAAGAGAACAGCTCGCAGCGCTGTCATATCACTGCCCGACAAGTCAACCCTGGCATTCGAAATTCTTCACGTTCTACCTTTTGACTCCAGCAGAAAGTGCATGTCAATAGTCGTCAAACATCCTCACACTGACGAAATAGTTTTGTACACGAAAGGGGCCGACTCAACTCTCCTCTCGTCCCTCACGTCATCGGAGGAAGAGTCACCAGCAACAGTTAAAATTCGCCAGCTCCTTCACTCCTACGCTAGACAAGGGCTGAGAACCCTGGTGATGGCGAGAAGAACCCTGTCATCCACTGAGTTCGAGGCATGGAGACAGAGGCATTCAGAGGCTGAACTGGCTAATGACAATCGTGAGAGGAGGATCAGAGAATCTTTTTCATCTCTGGAGGCCCATTTGACACTTGCTGGAGCCACTGGAATCGAGGACAAGCTCCAGCAGGGGGTGCCAGAGGCAATGGCAGCCCTCGTTGCAGCTGGAATTGTCGTTTGGGTGCTGACTGGGGACAAACCAGAGACTGCTGTCAACATTGCCTACTCTGCCAAGCTTTTCTCACCTGCTATGCAGTTGCTGAGGCTCCAGGCGAGGTCAAAGTCAGTGGCTGAGGGCCTGATTCACGGGTTCCTGGAGGCCATCAGGATGGACACTGGGAGGATCAATGAGGCTGCCTCTGAGACTAGAACTTCTGGGGCTGATGAGGTTGACAGGGTTGCCCACAGGATTGGAGCACCCTGGCAGAGACAGAGGGCTCTTGTTGTTGATGGAAAAACACTGACTTTCATTCTGGATCCAAGGTCTGGGCTCACTGCACCCTTTCTGGAGCTCACCAGGAGTTGCTCGAGTGTTCTTGCCTGCAGAGCTACTCCTCTGCAGAAGGCTTATATCGTCAGGGTTGTCAAGGAACAGTTGGGGATGAGAACTCTCGCCATTGGGGATGGGGCCAACGATGTCAGCATGATTCAGACTGCTGATGTGGGCGTTGGGGTCTCGGGGAGGGAGGGGACACAGGCTGTTATGGCTTCTGATTTCGCTATTGCCAGGTTTCCCATGCTCACTAGGTTACTGCTACTTCATGGACACTGGTGCTATGATAGACTTGCCAGGATGATACTTTATTTTTTTTATAAGAATGCCATGTTTGTCTTCCTGATTTTTTGGTATCAGGTGAGTTTGACTATTTTTCTTTCTAGTTTCTATTAAAAAAATTAATATTATTTTATGAATGAGTGATTGAAAAATTTACAATTTGTTAATCAATCGGTCTTTATAATCAAATAACTTTCATAACAATGGCAATCAATACTAAAAGAGAATTAAATTTGATAAGAATAATTTGAATGAACTTATAATTATTTTCTTTTATTAACTATTAAAGCAGCAATAAAAAAATCTTTAAAATGATAATGAAAAATGAATTTCTTTTTCTAGCTTTATTGCGGATTTTCGGGCACCGTAATGATTGACCAAATGTACCTGATGCTCTACAATCTACTATTTACCTCACTGCCGCCACTGGCGATTGGAATCTACGACAGAATAGCATCACCAAATATTTTACTGACATCACCCGAGCTCTACAGTCGAGGAAGACTTGGGCTTGTTTACAAACCCCATTCGTTTTGGATTACAATGGCTGATGCTTTGTATCAAAGCATCATTATATTCTTTGTCACAGAAGCTGTAAGTTTTTATTTTGAGTTTTTTCTTTACTTCATAAAATTTAATACATTTATAAATTGAAGTTGCAAAAGGTCCTCATAAAAATTTTTCGTTGCCTGTCTACAATTCCAAATGTTCAGGAAAAAAATCCTCGTTGAATTAAATTGTCTTGTTTCTAATTTTCTAATGCTGCTGTATTTCAGGCTTATCATGATTCCGATGTCGACATCTGGGAGTTTGGAACCACAATAACTACCTCCTGTATTTCCGTAATGCTTATTCATGTCTCCCTCGAGATCAGATCATGGGTGAGTTGTAAATTTGAAAACCGACAAGTTCAGTTTATATTAATTAATGTTGAGTTGTGGGAGCCATTAGAACTTATCATTCTGGTTTGAAATTGGGTTACAGACGATTATACATGTCGGCACGATACTGGCATCACTAGGACTATTTTTCGGATTCTGCCTGTTATACAATATAATCTGTGTGAGCTGCATTGGACTACCGGGGTCGTACTGGGTGATGCCAGTGGCTATTTCAAGATGGGTGTATTGGCTTACTGTGTTGCTTGCCTCCGTCCTTGCCACATTACCGAGGTAAATCGATATTTTAATTATTTTATTGTCCATTATCACCTTGACATGATAATCACATGCTTGAAAATGTGAAATAAAAAATGTCGAAATAAAATATTTTAATTGGAGCTAGAAAATAATTTTTACTCGACTTGAAGTAAAAATTATTTTGCTTCATTATTTTGTTTTATTATTTTTCTCAAAAAATGAGGCTTTCATCCATCAATGATTGAGGTTTCATTTATTCCCCTGATAAAATAGAAATATTGAAATAATAAACATTATTTTATTTTTCCAGACTCGTTTACAAGACTGTAAAGAATACAGTGACACCAGACATGATTCAACGTGCGAAATTACACTATCGTATGAAACGTAATCGTGCAACTGATGATTGCCAACAGGGAGTAACAGGAAGAGGTGAGCGTGGTCTAGTCGCTGGTTGGTCGCGTTCCACACAACACGCGACCATAAGGTAACAATTGTGGGTAATTTTTCATGTCGATCATGCTTCTTAATACGCTGAATCGATTACCAGATCAGAGATCGACAATATTTTTGTCAAACATGCGGATTATTCATGCTATTAATGAGTAATAAGAAAAACTACTCGTCATTACATCGTAAATACTCAATTGAGGATATCAATTAAATGCATATTTTTTAATACAATAACAATTGATAATCAAATCTCAAATATTTCCAGTAAATTTTGCGATTAATTAAAAAAATCGATGCCTATGAGATTAATTTGAGAAAATAAAAATAATTAACAGGATTCGGTTGGAGAGACTCGAATGGAAGAAAAGAATTTAATTTGATAGTAATATATAATTAATTGCAATTTGTTGAACAATAGTCCTGATGGACAATTGGTTCACATAATTTGAATGAACTCATCATTTTTAGTTTTTCATTAAACGTTATGATGAGAATGAAAAATTAATTTCACTCGATTATTAATTACAGGAATAATCGCAATATAATTTTTTGTTGACCATCATTATTAGAATAAAAAATAAATAATGGATAATAATGAAAAATAACGCCATGAAAGCATGAAGAACTGAAAAACCGCACATTCTCCCTCTGACACTGAAATTTCACCGATTTTTCTGTTTCACTTCCAGACCTGGAGCTTACGGAAGCAAGGGCAATGTCCTAACGACCATAGTTGCCTGAAAAACTCGACCAAAATGAAACTAGAGTGCAGGAAAAACTGGAGTCGAGAGTCAGGAGAAACTATTTTTCAGTAGGAAAAAACGAAGTTATTATTTTCAAACAAAATGAAATAGAGAAATTAATTTCATGGTTGAAAGCCATGATTTAAAAATGAACATAATGTGCCAGACTGAGTGTCACAGACAAGACTCGCTTTGAAATACTGCATTTAGATTTTTTAATAATTAAAAGTAAATTGAAAATCACATCTGCCTAATTGAAGTGTACGAGAGCAGTCACATGACCTCTGATTATTCTCTTTTATCAGCAAATTTTTCTTGATTATCCTTTGTACTTGTTTATTTGCGAAATGATGTGGCCTTCCAATGCCTCCCCTACATGGGACTGCTGTTCGTTGCATTTGGCTGTGACTATTAAAGGGGACCAAGTCTTTAAATTAATTAATGAGGGAGTGAAATACGTGTCAACGTTGAGTGATTGAGGAGAGATGAGGCAAACAGGGAAATGTCGATTTATTGATACATTTTGAAAATGAGTAAACAGTAGTCAATATTACGGTGTGAGAAGTTCTCTCCCACTGGGATGATGCATTTTTTATCCTTATTTTCTCGCTTTTTTGTACATTGAATCATGCTGTTTTAGATTAGAGGAGAGTGGGGGCTTGCTAAAATCGATTTAATTAAATTTACACTATCTTTCGAGCAAATGATGTGATTCAGGTGAATTTAGTGTCATTTTAGTAAGCAAAATATTAGTGATCACTTGCTATTTCTGAGGCATTAAACGTGACAAGTGAAATTAATTTAAGAAAAAAATCTTTTATTAAAATTGTAAAAGTGAATAGTCGACACTTCTTCATTTTTAATCAGCTAAAATTAAATTGGAAATATCTGTTGTAATTTTGCTGAAAAGGGAAAATTAATTAACAGTATTTAGGCGTGAGAAGTAATTATTAAAAATAGTAATGACGCTAATTCGTTAAATTTCAATCTATCAATATCAAATTAATGCTGATTAAGCGTCTATTATCCCCTGCTCTCCCTATTTTCTCCACAACGCGCGTCTGGGTTTTAGTTTAAAATTTAGTTTACTTGTCTGAAGTATTTCTTTTTCTCCAATGAATGCATGTGTGTTCGAACAATCCTAGATATTTAAAGAAAACAACCACCTAAGCTCTTGGAATCAACGTTCTTTTGATTAATATAGAGGTATAATTAATACATGTTAAGTTTTACATAAACCCGAATTTTAATGTACGTGAATTTTGAAGAAATTAAGTAACGTATTTAAGAAATTGTTACGAACCATTGATAAATGTTACTCATGATGTGGGGAATTAGGGAAATTCTTCATCATCATGATTTTTTGATAACGAAAATTAGACAGACGAGACGAAAATTTTATGGGTCATTGTTCGTTGTAGGAAATATATTCAGGTATAATGTTCAAATTTGGGGAGAACTAACGTTGGCGTTGTTGAAATTTTAAGACAATTGGAGGTAATTGTTGGAGATGAGAGAGGGTGGAAAGCACTGACGTGTACATACATTGTATAGATAAAATAAATATTCATATATATTTTATTCCAGTGTTTACCTATTGATTGGGGCGGTGAACCCATTTGTTAATCAGTGAATATGCAGGAGGTAAACTATTGTGTAACTCTTGTTCTCATAGCTCATTCAGTAATTCAAATTAATTCAAAACCATTCGAGCGAAATAATTCTCAGTTTATGGCAATTGCAGTTCACATTTGAGTGAAAATTTATTCATGATTTTCTATTCAACATTTTTTGTGATTTTGACTGATGGTCAGTTTCTCGGTATCTAAGACAGATAGCAAATTTTTTGCTGTCAACTTTTTTTGTGGAGCGGATGAAAAATGTCTGTAGAAAATATCTCACTAGAAAAAGTGTATCGAAAGATGAAGTTCTACAAATTTTTCCTGTAATTTAATTTCGATTGGATATTGTCTTTGAAAAACGGCGCAATATTTCGCTACTAAATTAAAGGATGGTAAGTAGCTGTTGAATTCCGATTTGGGAGTAATTTTCCTAAACTCTAAATGCTCCAATTCCCCTATCAAATGTCCGGAATGTGAATTGAAAAAACGCTTATCAACCACTCAAGTGGAGGGGGGACGAGGGTCCAAGGAGAGGGGATGCGTTCATCAGGCGTGTATAACGTAAGCCCCGCCAGTTGTAAACTCAGTGCTCACTGCTCAGTGCCTTCTCGTTCTACGTGCAGTGCGGGCATTTGGTTCAACGTACTCCCGACACTGCCATTCTCCAATGGAATAGGGCACAAAAAACAACACGTGTTGCCTGTCATTCACCTCGGGTAAGTCTCGAACACTCGTAAAAACCGGATAATTAATCTCGGGACTGGCCTCTGGCTCTCGGATAAAAAATCCCCTGCAATCCCCTGCATCACAGAGTCCTTCCCCTCTCTCCGTTGCCGAGACGACCCCACCATCCTTCCTCCGCATTCCACGTACCCCTCACCCAAACCGGAGAGTAACAAAGAGGAAAACATTGCGACGTGAATTTTCAATTTAGTAGCGATGTGGTTTGCACAGTTCAAGACGATTTTCACTATTGACCAGTTTTCATTGAATATCTCGGAATCGAAGGGGGAGGGGATAGCAATATTTTTGTCATAACTTTTTTGTAACTCTCGATGCGCTCTACGAAAATTTCGCTATTTCCCTGAGATTCGGAGATATTTCTCGAAAACTCAACTATGGGCAAAGGTGATTTGAACGGTTTTACCTCGAATTCATCCATCGGTTCTCCGCGTGAACATTTATATTTATTCGGGAATGGTACTCAACCCTCGCTTCGTACAATCAGCTGACAACCCCGAGACCGCGCCAAACTGTCTCCCAAGAGGTGTCACGAGGTCTTGAGTTTATTTTAGCAACAACACCACGTGATGCACCAGGGATTATCGCTGGTGAATCGGATGAAACTCAATTGTCGTGCCACTGAATATTCTATTGTGTTGGAGGAAGGCCCAATTCTGTAGAAATTCTATGGGGGTTTTATTAAAATTCTAGAGAATTCTTGTTAAAATTCGGTTTGTTTTTTGCGCCGATTCTGTTTGATAGGAAAAAATCTATAGACTTCGATTTCACAGAAAAACATATTCATTTATTAATTTTTCATTTCTTCATCTTTCTTTATTTCAATTGGAAATTTAGATTATCAATTATTTTACCATTTTTTAATTTCGATTACTATATTTAAATTAAATTAATCAAAGTAAATGTAAAATTGATTGAATTTTCAATAAAAGTCGAATAGAAATCCAATAAATTAATTTTCTATCGAATTCGCAAGGTTTTTCTTTCGTCTGTGTTAATCTACTAATTACAAATTTATCTGGACTTAAATTCTCAAAGTGCTCACAGCTTTCTCATACATTATTTGAACGATTCGCGATTGTTTAACGACAATGGTTCCGTGGTGTGCAGCGTCTAATCACCCAATTGGCGATGAGCATTTCAATCTATCCCTTATTCACTCATTTGAGTCGGTGCCAGCGATGAGGTCGACACGGTTTCCTGGTAACCGAACGTGTTTACATCGACCCAGTGGGATGAAATAATGTATAGCAGGTCAATGTGAGAAATGCAGGGGACACGCGAGGAGGATATACTCGTACAACCCATGCGAGGGAGTTGTGCAACTAGAACCGCTGATGGCTGTTGTGATTAGCGGGCACTGAATACAAATGTGGTGAATGCAAGGAAGCGATTGTTGGGGGTCAGACCTGCATTGACAATCAGTCTTTGGAAATATGAATTTTCACCATTCAGAATGCATTTTTTATGTTTGAAGATGGAGAATCGGCCTAGTTTTGTCTGAATATTTGCGGGATATACTTTATTTAGAAGATTATTTCCTGGGATATTTCATTCAAAATTCATCCCTAAATTCTTGCAATTGAAATTCTCAAAATTGCAGGAATTTTTAACAGAACTTTGGTGAAAGATAATCTTTTAAACCATAAAGATTAAAATAACTACCATATGACGAAGCCTATGGACTCTTTAATTTTTATTCTAAACTATTTTATTTTAATTCTGCTAGAATAAAATGGCAAAATAATCATCTCCCAATATTGTAAGAAAGATATTTATTACTCTCACTAAAAAATGCAACATAATTATTCCCAGCAGTATTGCATTGCGTAAAATCATTCCATTTTCATTTTCATAAATTAAAAATGTCATCTCAAAACTCATCCTCAAGTGGACTTGACACATCTCATTTGACAATTTCGTCACTACATTTCCTCCAGAAAAATTTCCAATTTCAATGCAAATGGATTATTCAAATGGAAACTGCAGGAATTGAAGAATGACGAGGAATTTTTATTTGACTAACGAATAAAAATAAACGACCTCGAGCTAACGACTTTTTCATTTGCTTTTTTTCCAGAATGAGAATATGAGCGTGAAAGTAAATGCACCGGAAGTTCAAGCCAAGTCGAAAGAGAATATTCATGATGTTTTGTGATACTAACTGTGATCGGGTGAACTTTTTACGGCCTAAATAATTGATAAATCATGGAATCCAAGGCGATTGAATTATTTATCAATGCACATATGCAATGAATCATGGGAATTCCGTCTTACCGAGTACCAGAAGGCCAACAAACTTCCTGGATCCTGAACGTGTTATCCAATAGACCTGAGTACAGCAGGATAAATAATCAATCATTTGATGAAAGAATTAACTGTGATACAAGAATAACGGAGACAATAAAAATCGTCGGGATGCTCGGAAGAATGAGACGATTCAATGTTAAATAAGTGAAATCATTTTTTAGCGCAAATAGCACAGGTGTCCCTGAGTGGACAATAATGTGGACCCGTCATTCAGCACCTAGTGTCATTTATCTCATGATAAACATATGTTTTGAAAGTGACTTTGGAGTCTGTGATGTAAGAACCCAGTCGGAGTACTTCAGGAATAAGAAAAAAGTGATTCTTCCTTGAAAGATTGGAAACAAGTGAATAATACGTGTGAAGTGTGATAGAGTTTTTTTATTGGTTTTCTTGGTGTTTATTGATTTATCAAAATGACTGTTACATATACTGCGGAAGTGGCCACTTGTCGGGGCTTGGGGTGCTTCTTCAAACTTCTTCTGAGGTATGATTGATGATTTTTATTTTCGTTTTTATTTCGGGGGAAAATACATAGCATGGGCCAATTGCAGGGACAAATTCACTTCACGAAACGTTCAACAATGAATTTAACTATTACATGGCGTTATTTAGACATTAATTGTTCATTTAATTGTGTGAAGCTTCATTTGTTCATTCAGATTTTAAGTGCATTAAATGCATTGAAAAAAATCACAATCAATAGTAAAGATGAATGACAAGTGATAAATTAATGAATAATTTTGAATCCTCGATCAATTCCCTTTTACTTTTCAAAGTGATCCGCTCAATACCAGTAATTGTTGAAACATAAGGGAAATATTGTGAATATGACCGGAGACTTCATTTAATAAAAAAGTATGATAACAAAATTGCTAGGCAACTGTGTATGGGTTGCTTATCAATTTTGTTACCAGACCATTTACTGAATGAAGTCATGAATCATGAAGTTGCTGAATAATAAAGTCATAAAATTACCAAGTTTTGAATTGTTGTGGAAACGTTAAAAAATCCCTCGATCTTGGAAAAAAATCAAGACTGTTTGCAATTTTGATTATTGTCAACCACTTGAAAATAAAAATTCCCATCTTCATCGGAGACTTTTGCATTACAAGCGACATAATTGCGACCACTGATAGACTCTGGTCGATTAATTCCCTCCATTGTGCCAATGCCACTAGTAAATGAAAATCCACACGACAAGTTGGAAGACTCCAGCTCGATAATTGATTACGTGTGTGCGTCAAGCAGATGGATTTCGCGCGAAAGATAAGATAGAGTTGTCGTTCGAGGTCGTCGCATTAGCACCTTTCCAAAACCCGCAGAAACCCGCTACTATTTCTAAATTCCGCGCAGGTTGAATTCCCTCGTAAAAAAAACCTGCGGCAACTGAAAAATCATCATCCAAACAGTTTCAAGCCGTTTTTGATGAAACTGTCGTGAACAATGATCTCATTTTTCCACTAATCATCGCCAACATTTACGTCATCAGAGAGCTAGCAAGGTTGGCACACCCGTCTCGCGAAAATAGACCGGATCAAACAATCTGAGACAGTAGTTCATTATCATTATAATTCTAAAAAAACATGTGTAAATATGAAATGATGGAATGAATGAATAAAATGAAGGAAAAATTGCAATAAATGGAAGGAAATTCTGGCGGAATTTCTTTCTTTATGGAATTCTATTGATTAATTCTGTTCATTTTTTTTTCCAAAATTCCTATTAAAAATTCTGCAATTTTACTGTGAAAGTCGATAAATTGGGAGTTTTTTTTACATAAATTTTGCTCGTGGGCTCATATAAAATACAAGAAACAAAACGTAAAAATCATGCGCACGAATTCTGCACCAAAAAATTCTAGTAGTGTAAATAGAATAGAAATTGCCATCCATAAAAAAATGTGCATAGGAACTCTAATACAGTTTTTAGAGGTCAAATAATTTAAAAAATCATTAAAACATTAAATCGTTGAACAATTCTCTCATTCTGATCCTCAGAAAAATTAACAGATGAGATAAAAATAGTTAAATTCCACTTTCGGAGAACTTTAAGTCGATTAATTTTCCTCCACTCACAGATCATAATTGATAATGATTTTACATAAACTGTAACTAGCAAGGTCACTAGGTCTGTAGGCCACAGCATACCCAGTGTTTTGCATTATTTTTCCCCATTTCGTATTGATTACCAGTGTCATTACATTCAAACACGCCATAAAATGTGCTGACGGTAGCGAGTCATGGCCATTAGTGGATTATCGTTCTCAATTACCTAGATTCCATAGATCCACTCAATAGTCATATTTTTGGCGTAACAAAGGGACGAACGATGCAGCAGACGCATTGTTCGGCCTCCTCTCCATTACGTGAGTCAAGTTGGAATCTCTAAGAATTCTCGATGAAATAATGAATGAGGCAATCTATTTTTTAAGCATGATGTGAGGATATTTCAGCTTATCATGAACATGTGTTCCCCGACCCCCCTTTCACATTTGGTCCCACGGTTTTAGTTCGACTGAGATTCCTGTCTTTTCGATAAATTCAGGGAAAAAAATCACCGGAAAAATTCCAGATGAAATTCCTCTCGACTAATAAACAAAATCCAACCGTTTCTATAGAAAATATCGAAATTGGGAAAATTCTAGAGAAACATTAAAACATTAAAAAAATATTTAAAAAATACAGTTAATATATAAATTTTTCTCATGTGTGGTGAAAATGAAAGAGAATGCAAAACTAAAAAACTCAATTGTTTTGATAGACAACAATGTTGATAATTATTCCAAATATAGTGGATGAAAAAAAATATTCCAGATGGCGAGCGAGTGTTTACAAACTAGTCTGGCTGGATCTCGCCCTCTTCCTATTCATTTACTACAGTCTATCAGCTCTCTATCGCTTCGGTCTTGATGCAGAACAGAAGAAGACATTCGAGGGCATTGTTGCATACTGCAAGGAGTACAGTGATCTTATACCATTGTCATTTGTACTTGGTTTTTATGTCAGTATTGTTATGACACGATGGTGGAACCAATACACTGCTATTCCGTGGCCTGATTCCATCGCTGTTTTTGTTTCGGCTACTATTCATGGTAATGATGAGAGGGGGAGACTAATGAGACGTACTATTGTCAGGTAAATTTATTGCTATTTTATTGCCTTTTCGAATTAATGGTGTTTTTTTTTACTAATTAAGTGTTCCATTTACGTTAATTTTATAATTAAACTAAAAATGTTTCAAGGGGAAGAGGGAATTTCATTTTAAAATGGATGCATTTTAATAGAATATCGCAAAATGTAATAGAGATTTAATGAGATTTAATTTTTACTAGTACTCTGCAAAAAACAAAATTTGCTGGTGTTCTTTCATCGAACACATCTATCAAAACATGAAGTGTAAAAAACAATAAAATCATTCCGTTAAAAAAAAATTAGCAGAAGTATTTAATAGAATTCCAACATTAATTCTATCAATTTTTTTCATACGTGTAGTTCAAATGAATAATTGATAGAACTCTTGAAATACTCCTATTTCATTCAATATAATTTTTCCTCTTCGACAGAAAATACAGAACAAGTTAATAATGATCTTTGAAAATAGCAACATTTGATGAATAATTTAAAGTCATTGAAAACAATGCAAGAGCTTTACAATAATATTCAAGATATAATTTTATTGAGTATTCCACTATATTGATGAAATAGTCAATATCATTTCTTTTTTTTACTCCAATAAAATCAATAAAGTAAAATGGAGTTGAAAACTGATAATGAAGTATTTGAAAATGTCTTCCCTTAATTTAAATAATCGACAGTTGGCTCTAATTCCCGTAGGTACGTCTGTGTTTGTTTGACTTTAGTCCTGGCGAACGTGTCTCCCCGCGTGAAAAAACGTTTTCCAACTCTCGATCACTACGTGGACGCTGGTCTCCTCCTCGAGAACGAACTTGCCATATTCCAGAGTCTCAACGCAAAGTTCCCCAAGCCGAGTAAGCACTGGCTGCCGATTGTCTGGGCCTCCAGCATCGTCACTCGAGCTCGCAAGGAGGGCAGAATTCGCGATGATTTCGCTGTTAAGACACTGATCGACGAGTTGAATAAATTCAGGGGCAACTGCGGGAGCTTGATTCACTACGACACCATCTCTGTACCCCTGGTGTACACCCAAGTCGTCACACTGGCGGTGTACACGTACTTCTTGACTAGTGTCATGGGGAGACAGTGGGTCCACACCACTGAAACAGCCAACGTCGATCTGTATTTTCCAGTATTCGCGACTCTTCAATTTTTCTTCTATATGGGTTGGCTCAAGGTTGCTGAGACTCTGATCAATCCTTTTGGGGAGGATGATGATGACTTTGAGGTGAATTGGATTGTTGACAGAAATCTTCAGGTGAGATACACATCATTTATTATTTATTTAAGAATAAGTTCCTTGTTTTATTCACTTATTTATTTTTCTAAACATTAAAATTAGGTTTCTCTTTCATTCATTTCATTCCTGTCGTCCAATGATAATAATCTTCCCCAGGTGTCTTACTTGATCGTCGACGAGATGCACCACGATCACCCAGAGTTGATCCGCGACCAGTACTGGGACGAGGTATTCCCAGTGGAACTCCCGTACACCGCAGCAGCCCAGGCCTTCAGAGAGGAGCACCCAGTGGCGTCGACGGCTGGTATCCAACTGTCAGCAGCTCAGCAGGAGCTCCAGCCCTCCTCAGTGAGGATAGACGAGATGAACCCGGAGTCCTACCCGAGTATGAAGTTCCGGAGTGACATAGCCGACGACGCAGCCTCCGGCATCCACTTCATGGCTGGTGGTAAGATCTCGAGGAGTGGGAGTAGAGTCAGCAACAGGGACAGGCCGTTCACGGCGGGCTCCACCCCCAGCAACATCGGGGGGTCCCTGACGAGGGTCAACAGTGTCACAAGTGTCTTGAAGAGGCTCTTCAGCAAAGAGGACAGGCCTGACGGCAGTGGGACCAAGACCCCAGGAAGACTGCCAAACTCGAGCTCAGCTGCTTCCCTCCAGAATCGCCCTGGGGTGAATGCCAGTGGCTCCATGAGGATCGGAGTGATCGAGGAAGTCGACGAGCAGATGACGATAAATTCAATGCGCCCAGAGCATCGGCCCCACGTACAGAGTATCTTCCCTACGAACGGGGCGCCACCCCCAACAGCTCCCATGGATGTCCCCATTAAACCGAGAAATGGGCATTTGTACTCTGCAAGTGCACCTGTTGGCCCTGGCCCCTTTGGCGGAGGCAAGTATCAGACTAGGGCTCAGGTCTCCTCGGACTCTGCGAGACTCAGTGAGGCATTCGACTTCGGGGAGGAGGATAACGTCAGCATCAGGTCGTCCACGACGTCGGGGAGCTCTGATGACGAGTTCACTAGGCTCAAGCTGGAGAGGGACAAGCAGAGGAGGGACAGAGCCATAAGAAAACTTGCCAGGAGTATCAGTGGAAATCAACCGGATCCTCCCTCGTCCATGGATCTTGATGAAACTCTACTGTTGACGGAGATGGCAGAGGCTTCTAGGGCCTCGATGCGTCCTTCTGACGCATCGAGGGGGAGGAAGGATAATGAGACGGATAATGTGTAGGGGTGAACATCGACTTAACTTTTATGAAAACTTAATTTTGAGCTCAGGAATACTCATAGAAATATTATTCTGAAGTTGATTTATTTTACAATCGTTTCTTCATATCCTTGGGGAAATGACGAAGTCATCGAAGAAACACTTTTTCTAGCCTTTATTTGACGATAAAATAACACATCCTTGAGCAAATGGGGAGGTATTCTCCTTGGATCTACAATTTTTATTTGAAATCCATCCTAAAGTTCATTTAGTCTCTATTTTCTGTTTTATAGTCTGTTTTTATGAGATGACGATATTTTCTTTCGCTCTTCATTCGTTGTAAAGGAAAATTTTCTAGTTTTTCTCGCTGTTGTTTTTTTTTCTCATTTAAAAATTGAAACAAAAAAGTTGAATAAAAGGGAATCTTAATTTTTTATACAGAATACTTTCTATTGAACATTTCTGTTCAAATAAAAATCAAATAAAAAATGCACCGATAGAACTCTCAATTAAATTTAAACATAAATGGAATACAATTTCCTAGCAAATGCATTAAAGTCTCTACTAAATTTTTTCGAAATCTGACCTCAAAGTTAAGTCGATGCGTCTCATTCCCCGAATTATCTCTAAACTTCTCAAGTTTTTCATTCGTCCATTACTTCATTTGTAATTCAAACATGAGAGCAAGTGTTGAATACAAAGTGACATATTGTGCGACAGTGCTGTGAGTTTAACGTGAGTGATACCTAGAACAACTGCCTAATTCATCACGTTTTCTATCGGTTTTTATAAGGAAGACGCTTTAATATTATTAGACAAATTTCTGGGTCACTCCAGTTCTTGATTAGGGATTCAAGTATTGATAGGATGAGCACCAGTGGACCAGAAGGTAGGAGATTGTTATGTACTTACGAGGGCAAGTCTACGGATGAATTTATATAATCGTTGAGTCATTTATCTTATCATTTTCGTCGGAAATATCAATCAACACTCTTTACCACTTGCATCACTGTTATGTAAAGCTCAAGAAGGCCTTCGTGAATATTTTATATCGCTTATATCGTGTAAATAGACGAACTGTTGGGTCGCTGAATTTACTGGCTTTCGAGGCGAAGTAATAATGCAAATGTGATTTTTCTACTCGTTTTTATCGCGCTTTTTACGGCTCCTCGTCTGCGAGCGATGCTTAGAAAAGCTAATTCATGTAATTATAGGGAATTTAAGTCAATTGACGGGTGAAAAAATTTTTAATGCACATATGTTGATTCATTTTCCTCTGGAGACGGGTGGAGAGGCGTATTTTAACACTGACACAGCATTTTCTCCACAGAACGATACCACCAGCGAAGCGGTAAAACGGTTCTAGTCGATTTTGACTATTGATCAGTTTTCAATAAATATATCTCAGAATTTAAAGGAGATAGCAAAATTTTTGTTTATGACTTTTTTCACATGGCCAGTTGAGGGCTAAAAAAAAGGTAATTGCGAAAATTTTGCCATCTTCCTTGGATTCGGAGGTATTTGCTCTAAAAGTCAGCTGAGGCCACTGATATGTTGGTGCTAAAGTACGCCACGGAGATGATTACAATGTAGTATTACGAGTTAGGGATAAACTAGATAATATGAAGTAACATTCCAGTGGTGAATGGTAAGTTCATATGGTGCTCTGACCCGAGGAACTATTGTGACTGGGCCACAATTGTTTTTAACAGTATTACAGTTGAAATAAACGGTAATTCAACTTTCTTTGGATTTTTAATTATTCTTGTTGCATAGTTTAACCGAATAGCGATGAGTCGTTTGATGAGTTTTTTTTTTTATTGTGAGAGGATAATTATTGATCAGTTGATTCAGTACTTCATGTAAATTTGTACAATTATTATTTATTCAGTTTAATCAGTTCAGTTTGGTTATTTCAATAAACCTGTCGTTGTTACAGTAATCCTTGTAAATGTGGCCGAATTTCAGGTTTAGGTCGGTGAATTTTTCGGTGAAAAATTTGATGTATTCGCCGTGGGATGAGTCGACTTCTAGGAATAAATGACCGCCTGGTTTCAGCGATGTTGAGGCATACCTCATGATAGGCTTTATCAGTTTTAGACCATCCGGCCCACCGTCCAGTGCTCTGATATCTTCGAAACTACGGTGGATACGTAACATTCTTTGTTAACATTTGTTGAGAATTAATCTTGAAATTCAAAAAAACGATATCTCGAAATTCTTAAGGAAAACAAATTCCAATTTTTAGAATCCGTATGACAACAAAAATTATTGAAAATTGTGAGAATTGAGATAATTTTTATTTTGAATTCTCAATCTACTGAAAACTTAATTTAATTTAATTTGCAGAATACAACTTTTCTTTGAGCATTCTCTCCTTAGGGATGAATAATGGATATCTTTTAAACTTTCAAAACTTTGTTTTTTTCCATAAAATTGATTTCTGTTAAAAAATGTTGTAACTAAATTAAAAATCATCTTACACTTTAATCTCCGGTTCCAACTCCATAATTTTCTTAGTAGGAATATACGGTGGATTGCTAACGATGAAATCGAATTTTTCCTCTTCGAAATCAATACCGCAGTCTCCACTCACATCTGTGATCCTCCCTGGAGCCTCCAGGGCAGCATTGACGATCGAAATTCGATCCTCGAGCTTCAAGTTCCGACAGTTTTCCCTCGCAAGGTCACAGGCATGTGGATTTTGATCGATGGCTATACATCGCACCTGAAATTCACGTTTTCCTTGAGGAGATTCGAGGGTATTCTGTTACGAGGAAATGCGAGAACAACCTTATCACAAGCATGAGCCAGCGCTAGGGAAATAGCACCAGAGCCTGTTCCAATTTCTAGGACACGTAATGTCTCATCGGGGGACTCGGAGAGTCGTTTCAGGATGAAGTCGATGAAGAATTCGGTTTCAGGACGGGGTATGAAGATTGGGGGAACTAGTTTCAGAGTGATGTCTCGGAAGTCCCATTCACCGATTATATATTGAACGGGCATTCTAAGCAAATTGATTTGTTTGATTAATTAATTAATAAGTTGAATTGATTAATTTATGTGCAGAAAAATGAGGAAATTGATGTCAAAGAATCCCTGTAGAGTGTCTCAAAAGGAATAGTTGTATAAAAACATGAACTTTTACTAATTTTTTACTAAAAATGATTCTAATAGAATTTTCTACCGAATTCGTCAAGTTTTTTTATGGAATTACTGAATTTTTTTTTTTGTTACTGAATTTAATAAAATTCTTTATTCAAATGAATAATAAATAAATGAAAATAGAGAAAAAAATCGACTTAAGCGCTTAATTAATTTTTTTTTCATTGGAAAATCAATCAATATATCACCGTAGTACACAAAAAATGTTGTAAATTAATTAAATTTATACGAGTTATTATATTCAATACCCAAATAAATGATTAATTTTTCGATGATTCACCTTGATAATCTGCATTCACAAAGTGACTCCAGCCTCTGCACCTCATCCGCAGTCATCCTCCTATCAAAAGAATTCACCAGATCTATAATCTGCAATGAGAAATTCAAACCAACAACATTGATCTACCGCGCAGGCGCAGCTTCCAAAACCCCCTTATTACCCTTTTTTTTCCTATGACGTGTGCGGCAATGTGTTCGATGGAGCCCACGGGTTCGGGAACTCCTTCCTCCTCGAACCTCTGGCTCCAACGTCTGATGACCCCTCCAAGCGTGTCATCGCTATTGCCCGTGGCATAAACTCCTCCTGTCGAGTGATAACTGCGATTCGCTGAATATTTTACTAGATTCGAGGGCGAAACTTTGAATTTACAGAAATGCTGGAGGAATATTTTACAGGCGGTCATCCTGACCTAGGATAATTATTGCACTCGTCGCTTCACGCAATAAACGAGAGTAAAACGCGGAGGAGAATAAAGCGAGGAACTAGTTCCATCTGCGTCCAGATCACCTCAACATACGTCGAAAATAGCAGAGTTTCCTCTGAAGACATGCCAGACATTCCCAATGTCATCAGTTGAAAGCGCTAATTACTGCATTCTCAACCGTCGATCGGAGTAATCTCTCTCTTACCGTGTTTTCACTCCCCTCGCATTTCAAACGCGAATGGACATTAAGAATTCAAGCATCGATCGGATGCAGGTGGTTATTCTGCAACTGCACCACAACGGATACCCCCTGGTATTTACTGCCAGGTGCCAGGTGGGTGGCATTCCCCACGTGTTTCTATAATACTAATCATAAAAATTGCCATTTCGGTGGGGACTTCCGCTGCTGCTATGGCGACAACTCCATGAGGGGATCTACAGGATCAATAAACTGTTTCGCTGCAATCGGGGAATTGTCCGGGCTTTTAATGAATTATATTCGTCAGAATGTTGTTTGAAAAATGTTAGGATCGATGAACATTTTGACATTTCTTATGGAAAAAAGAAGTAACGAATTCGATAAACAATTATTTTGAATTTTTATTGAAAACTCCCTTAGTTTCTAACCGATTCTATTAAAAATTTCTGCAGCTTTACAACGCGTTTTATTCTTATTCAACAAAATGTCCAATAGAAACTAGTTGATACCAAAAATCAGTAGAATTTTGTTTTTTTTTATGGAATAAAAATTCTAGAGATCTTGTTATCGAGATGAAATAAAAAATACAGATAACAATTTCGAAATTGCTTCCTGAATCCTCAATGCAACGAATTTCAATAAATAATTAATGTGAAATCGTTCATAGCTGTAGGCTGGCGTGATGAGAAACAATTAAATGCGGACTGAGTGATTTTGATTATTTGAATTTAAAAGTGACTTTCTGGCTCTCTCGTGTGCATCCAGGAAGCTCAGGAATTATTATTTGTATTCATCTGTCTTATTTTGTTCATGCGTGCCTACAACATTGCTGCAATCGATTGATTGCAATCGGCTATTTATTGAAAATTTTTATTGCAAATGCAAAATTTTATGAAAAAGTCAATGAACGCAGCAAAATTCCTACTGCAAATAACACGCAAAAATTTCGATGATATTTCAATTGATGATAGTATACTATGATAAAAAAACTTTATGACAGAATTATTGTATTTCTGTGTTAGCTTTGGTCACAATGTGACTCTCGAGTTTAATCTAATTATTTTATGTTCATTTAATTGAGTAATGACAGTGAATCCTTTCTTTGTGTACGCGGAGCATGCGTAAGATTTCACATTGCGCACAAGTGATTTAAAAGGAAATATAATCGTGTTTGGGAAAAAAAGCAAAAACAAATGTTTTTGCTTGGTTCTCACAAGGAAGTCGAAATTAAAAAAAAAACAAATTATAATCACGTTCGGAAAAAATAATGTAGCACCAGAGCTTGCGCGGGCATGTGGGTGGTAAAGGGAGTCACGGCCAAACAGCGATGTTTCGCGCGCCGGGACGCGACCACGCAACAGTCGCCCGGCGAACGTCGTGCGGAGCGCATCTCAGCGGAGTAAGTCTCGCAGTTTTTCCGGTCAAAACACTTGTTCACCCCCAAAAATCCCCCAGAGAGTGACATTACACGGTTTAGTGAATGAAACAATGCCCGGTGAACGGTAAAAAATCTCGTGAGTCGTCCGAGTTGACGAGGTGAGTGTATTGACCTGCATTACGACGTTTTGCCGCCGAAATAAAGGTGATAAATCACTCGGTGACTTGTCACGGCCCTTTAATATCTCCGCAGCTGCTCCACGATTGCAATTTGCCGGGGATAATCCGGGGTGATAGGATGAGGGGAAAAATGGGGTGTTTAATTCGACCATGATGAGCTCCTTTGTGCGAGCTTTATCACGGCGAGTGGGGCAAAATGGGGTGTTTTTAATGTTCAATACCTTGAGAACGAAGAGGGGAATTCCAGTGAATTTATTTGCATTTTATGAACGCGGAAGTTCATAAAATGAATGTTGCGGATGAAATTGGTCAGTTGTACTCGGTCGATGTCGAGGTATTGACCATTAAAGAGGGTCCATTCTGCCCCACTCTCCCCTATTTTCCGCAAAATCCCGCGGGACCTTCATCAACGGGGGCGCGTTACTCCGGGATTCGTAGAACTGTTTACAAAGAGAATGATGAATAAAAAGAGCTTCGTCTTCATTTTCATTTCATCCCTATATTTTTCCGGGCAAATACTTTTTGTGTTCAATTTGTTGTGTCTCATAAACTATTAGGTCGGAATTGTTTATCTAGGGGTTTTAATTTTTTCAGTTAATGTATTTCGTAGAAATTTTTTTTAGGAATTCTTGCACATGAACTTCTCAACGTTTTTGTCAGACAAATACAGCGGAAACAAGTGGGAAAATTTATGATTATGAATAATTCATGTAAAAAAAAAGGTATTGGCATTTTTCTATGAAATTTCCATTAGAAAATACGATGCGAAAAGTGAGTATTTTGCATCGGAAAATACAATATTAAAAATTTTTATCTGAAATTTCAAGCTTTGTTCTCACTATTCTCTTTCCGGTCTCACGAAATATTAGCTGGAAATTATTGATTTAGAGGGATAGATTAGCGAAGGACCGGTTCAGGGTTCAGGATGAGAACTGAGAATAGGAGAAACGATGACAAATTTCCGAGGGAAAAAATAAAGAACCCCCGTGCCCTCAATTTTTTTGTGACCTTCTGGATTCATCGATCCGTACATGTACCACTCTGTTCCCTAGCCCCCAACGCTCCATTTTTTTGTACTTCTCAATTGTCATGTAATATTTAGAGTGATTTATTTCCCTTCTTCATTCAATTTTCCACAATTTTTTCATATCTATTTCCCCATTTTTTTTTGCAAATTGGTTCCACTTGCTGCTAGACGAATATTTTTTGACGAAAAAATGTCATGTATTCACATGATTCATTATTTCAGTTTTTCCTTTGAAACTCATCTACTCATTTTTACTTTTTTGTAATTTTTTACATCCACTTTCTCATTCTACTGCCAATGGAACAGAAAGCAAGCAATTCCCCTCCATTTGGCATTCACAACTATTCATTTTCCTCCGTAAAATTCTCTTAAATTTTCCTATGATGTTACCATGCGGAACGCTCTACGAATAAATGTCAGAACTTCATATTTCCCCCCCCCCATTTCATGAAATTTTTAATTCCCCCTTCCGCTTTGAACTTCGTCTTTCATTTTTTCAATCCATTCACATCCACTTCCTCATTCTATTTCCCATCCAACGGAATAGAAAGGAAAACCACCGGTCCCTTCTTTCAATTCAATTTTAATTCACACCTTTCCCCCGTCTCCCCAACCAGGTGTCCATTAACCTCGCGCAGACGAGTCTCGTCTCCTCTCGGAGGTGAATAGTATCTCACAGTTGTCTGCAGACACCGGGAAATTTTTTTTTAGAACAGACAACATAAAGACCTGGGAAATGCGATAACGTTCTCCACTCGAGTCACTAAAAAGACAAATAACTTCGTGCTCTAGATGATGACCAACGCCTTTCCAATTAACAAAGAAAGCTAGAGCTCGTAAAGGGAATTAATCGAAGCCATCGGGACTGAGTTTAGTCGTAAAATTGAAGGATTACCTCGGGCCATTACTTCTTCGTCTCTAACGGTTTTTCTTGTGCCCCTCTCTCTCCTTCAGCATCCAGGTGCCTCGATGATGTTGCCGATCGGTCCGAGCAAAAACTCCCTCATGCGTGGTACTGCATCTATCTTTACTTCTCAGTTCAGTTCCTCTATTCATTTTATCTTGGATCTACTATTCAGTTTTTCAGGATTTTTTATTCTTGCTTGCACTCGGAAACTATACATGATATAACTTTTCTTCATTGCATTGTGGAATAGAGATGAAAGTATTATTGGTATTGAAAGCTGATCATTATTTTCCTATTTTTAATTTTCATTTCATTTGATAGAAAAAGCCTGCCCTCCCTCTAAGCAATTGAACGTGTGAATAGTTTTGATTTTTCAATTGCATTCAGCATGCTGATTCAATAGACTTCATTTAATTACTCGAAGCGCTGATGACTCACACGTTGATTGCAGATGAAAGCTAAACTCTGATTTGTTTGTGATGAGAATAAATAAAAGTGTCGCGTTTAATGGCACCAGATTCAAAGGGGTCCCCGTATATTTAATTTGATACAGTGCATTTGTCCTCGCTCAATGGCTCTCCACGATTTCTTTTCATTCGAATCCATTGTCACTTTCAACATCCAGAACCCTCTCGCTCGGCCGTTGTGGACGTCTTCCCATTCGTATGGCTATCTTTCCTCCAGCGGAAATAAACACGAAGGGTATTGAAATACATAATTCCTGCAGACCGGTTTTTGTTCTGGTACACAGTCTCCATGAGATTGTGTGAGGTTGAACTCGGCTTTGAAAGAAGTACCGTACACTGGATTATCAATGTCATCTTTCCGTTAATGTTTTGTTCAATTTCACCAGGAGAGGAAGTCGGTTAATTGTTGAAAGGGGGAAAAGTTGGTGCACGGCGTGAAAATACTTTTTGTTTCTAACGATTTTTCATTTTTCACTACATAAAAACATTTAATGTAGAACATCCGGGCAATTCCTTCTAAAAATTCTGTTGAATTGTACTGAAAATTCTATTTGTTTTTGCGTCAATTGTGCATATCAATGTTTTTTTTATAGAAAAAAAGTTTACAGTTGCGGATTTTTGTTTATTCAACTGAATTAATTTTCGATTTTTTGCTTGAATTTAATTTCAAGCAACGGGACATTTTTATTGCTATTTATAATAAATGGAATGAAAGTCACATAGAATTTGTGTCACGAAATATTTGATAAAATTGAGAAGTGGAATATGCCGTCATAATTTGGTCATTTGACAAAATTTGTGACGAGTCACAATTTTTGCACGTCCCTAGTCTTGAATGAAACCAAGATTGACAACCTCGCTCCAGTTGGTCCAATTGACCACCAACCGGTGCATTATTCCCCGCGCCCCCTCCAAAATCGCCCGCAGCATCGCAACACTCGGGCACAGCCGGCCAGCCTGACATTTCCACCAATTCCCGAGTTGTCATCCACTGGAATAGTATTGAAATGACCCTGAAACCTCGCCGGATGAAAATCTCCGAGAGACGTAAACACATTTGAATATTTTTTTGCTCGTCTCGTATCGTGGAGAATAAAGAGCCTCTTCTGCTCGAGTTCGTTCCAATCGAGTCTCAGCAGACTTGATGGCTTTATGGCTCGTCATTTCTCAATTATCACTCTTCGGAGATTCTTTGGGCCCTTTGTTCTCTTCCTATTGAGATTAATTTATTGTTTCTCATATTCAACACATAAAATTAATAGTTTTATTTCAATAAATGAATTGGCTTTATGCCGTTGGATCTGTATACACTAAATGAATATTGAATATTTCTATTTAAAAAATGCATAAAAATTCAACAAATTTTCATCAAAAGCCCAATACATTTTTTCATATTTTCTCTTTAATTAATTGGGTGTAAACATCCTCAACGAAATGGCTTTATGACTCGCCAAATTTCCCAAATATCACTCTTCAGGAATTCTACAAGCCTTTTGCTTCCTATTCCTCCGGGATTAATTGATTACTCCTCATCTTCACACGCAATACGCTGGGTTAACCCAGTTTCAAGACACTCAACTAACACGAGAGATAAATGAAAATTGAAGTAGAGAAAAACCTCTGGTAATGTGTGGCGCACCCAAATTTTTAATCAACAAAGAGACGTTAATTCCCGAAATCGTTACGTGTTGTTCCTCAACAATGAAAATTCCCCGAAATGCGAATACTACATTTAATTACATGTGTAAAATATTTTAGGCCAATCGATTGACGTCAGAGTAAGTACTTCCATACCCCACCTGACCCAATTATGCATCCCCCCGAGGCGTCAGATGCTCCGGAATTACATGGAGCATTCGAGTCCCAGAAATATTTTCACTCGACTCGACCGAACAATTTCACATTGCAATTTCTTTATTTATTCCCTCGTTTTTGTGATACACATGAGTTTTATTTTTAGAGCGTATACACGAGGCTTCGCGGAATCCGAAGGCAACCAGAGTGAGCGGTCGAGAATGAAGTAATTTATGCCACAAAGCGGTCTAGACTGACGTAATTTCCGAAAATGATCGCATTGATGAATTCCGCTTCATAAATGTGTCTTGTGGCTTGACGTTAACCCAGTTTCGACGGTTGCATAAAATTTGCGCTTGAATAAAATAATGAGATACGGAAATTATGCGAACAATATCAGATACTTATTTTTTTTATATTGAAGACAATTTATTTGTGCTTCGTTATTTATGGAATAAAAAAATACGTGCTTTGTATTTCTCATTCTCTCTTCATAGCCAGTAATAAAAAAATCGCATAAAAAAACGCATTTTTTCAGAAGAAAATGTTTTACAGCAAAAATCGATAGATTTTGATTTTTCTGTCGAACTTATTCTATCGAAATGTTTTTTATAGAAAATTCTCCGCATGAGAATGGTTTTCGCTTCGTTATTTTTCTTTTCTGATTGAATAACTTGATAAAAGAAAACTTGAAATAATGAAAAGAAGCATTCAAATGTGTTGTTCCGTGAACTTCGTTAATTCATAATTCGATTCAAAGAGTAATTCTCTAAAAGTAAATTTCCGTACTGAATTATTTGGGACCAATGATCGATTAAGGCTGTTGATTTACTCCCCTCGACGACAGATTAAGTGAGTGCATTCAATAGGCAGTCATCAATTCTATGATTGAATCTAATTCTCAGGATTTACCATGAGTACACGACCCACATGCATTCCAAGCGGTTTTAAAGACGGAATATTTCTTTTAAATCTATTCCTCTTCTACTTCAAGAGTTATTCCGCGTGTTTTTTTATGCCAAAGAACCCACAGGGTTCAGGTGGGTACCGAAGGTGTAGAATTGTAGATAGTCAAGCGAAAAACGTGCCAAGTGTGTCGCGTCGAGTGATCCCTTTGCAAGCACCAATAGCCACGCCACCGCAAACGTACACGTATCAATCGTGCGTTTTAACTCCCATCAATCTACTCTGATATTCTATTTTTTATTCATATATATTTGGAAAGCTTGTGATGGTATTACGTAGTTCGGCAATAATTTTTTTGATTTCTAAATATTAAATTCAAAAATTGAATCAGAAATGTCGATTTTTCTTTACAAAAAATGGATTTTTTTTTAAATGAAAATTCCGCGACTTGAATTTACTCCGAAAAATCGGAAAAATTGTTGAGTTTGCAGAGAATTTCTCCCTGGATTTCGGACAAATGTTAAGAATGAGTAAATTCCATCCCGTCAAATCCCTGAAAAAATAGAATGCAACGACAGAATAAAAGAATGATCCCACAATATTTCAATGAAATAAACCAAATCGACACATTTACGCAGTTTACCTTGATGCGTGCGGAAGGAAAGTGGGTTGCGCACTAGTCACCACAATAAATAAAGCCCAAATGTATGAATTAAACATGAGCGAGCAGGAATTATCCATTTCAAATTCACTGAAAAGTCAGACAAAACATTCAGATTATAATCCAGTAATACCCGCATGGCCTATAACATGGATTACGCAATATTCGGTTGGATGTGTTCGGGGTATTAGCCCGGCGAATTTCGCGTGTCGGGGTTGGGTGCACCCAGATGTGGGCTAACTCACGCTATTCGGTGCGCGTAATTTTCGTGGCGGATATTTATCTATCCGTAACACTCACATTTATTACGTTTTATGGGACTTTGGGGGTTTGAGGTTTTTAACGGACAATCGGTAATGAGTTTTTCTAGGCTCATAACGGGTTTACGAGGCATTCGAATGAGATACTATCACGAAATCAATAAATTTTTTTTTATAATTTTGTTTGATTATAAATTTCAATAAAAATGGGTCAAACAATTGCAATATAAATGAAAGAAATGAAATAAAATAAATAAAATTAAACCATAAATTCAATAGAACCCGTTCTGCCCCCCTCATTTCTAAGAAATCTCCCTGCGACCCAAAACAACAGAAGCAACAGAAAAATCGAGATAACGAGAAATAAACAGAAAAACAGAGCCAACAAAATGAGAAAAAAAAACCTCCCTACACGCTCTCCCCTGATTTTTCTCTCTCCGTCTGTGTATCGCTCCAGATATCATCTCACGCTGAAAATAATTGCCTTCGGCTTCGCGGAGCGGAGCGGACAGAGAGAGGAAGCGTAAATCCGAGTAGGAAAAAAGGTGGAAGGGGTTAATGAACCACCATCGAGAGCGGCAATGTGTCAGGTGCTGGGCAGGTGGATGCGTTGAGTTGTGTCTATGATGGTAGCAGGAAATCTCAATCTGACTTCTATTCAATCAATGTTGTACAACGAACGGAAGAAGCGCTGATAAATAATGGAGCCCTCAAGGCTAAAGGAACATTCTTGAGGAGAAGTAGAGGAGATTGAGGCGCAAAATTGAAATTGATTCGTGAATTTTTTTAAGGCAATTGCAGTTCTATTTTCCCCGGCTCAACTTTCCCAAGTTTTTTTCCTCGATTTTGTATAATCAAAGGAGAAGAAAAATAGAGGAATTCCCGTAGAAAATGTCTCAACAGAAAAAAATTGCATCGACAAATGGAAATCTACTGATTTTTCTATTCACGATTGTTCTCAAAATAAAGAAAAACAAATAAATAAATTAAAATACATAAATTTTTCCCCACCCGTGTATAAAATATCCAAAAATTAATGTAATGAAATTAATACAGTTGACTCATTAGATAACGCATATTGTGCCGTTTGTTCCTTCTTTTTGCATGGTATCAAGAGGAACCAACAACACTCATATCAATCTTCACACCAGACTATCGATTACAGAAGTAAGCGCAAAAAAATCCCCCGAAGACAATATCTTCCTCGAGTTACGCAACTTCCTCCTCGCTGCAGCAGGACGCGTTTATTAGTGGCGCAGTGGCTCGTTGTCCGCCTCAATGGGATAAGACACACTGACATCCGCTCCAAGATCATTATCCCCCATGTAATTTCGAGCCCCCCTTTCAGCTCATTAAAACTCACTTTTCTGTTGCAGGGGCTCGAAGCTCCTCAGGATGATCTTGAGAAGTGGAGCTGAGCTGTAATTGATTGTGAACCTGTGAGAATAGAGAGACGTTCAGAATGTCTATGGCATCGATTGAGACCATGGGATCGATCAAGGATGGCCCGGAGAGGAAGCTTGTGAATCTGAACCTGATATCCCTTAAGTGCCTGCTCTTTCTCTTCTTTGGGGGTGAGTACGTCAATCAGGGCTGATTGCGGGTGAAACTTGAGATATTAATTATGTTTGGTTGAGGATATCCGAGTGGGGGGTCCATACAGTGTAATTAATATTAAATGGAAAAACATCTACCAAGGAGCGCAGTATATAAAACTCTGTATTCGAAATTTTTCCATTCATTTCAGTAAAAATGCTTTAATTTTATGAAGTGAATAATTCAGTTATTTCACATTAAGGATTATTACATGAAATTGGGAAAACAATGATATTCATTATTCATTCTTCTAACGATGGTCAGTAAAAAAAGAATAATTGAGTTCATTCAAATTATCAGAATAAATTGCTCGGCGTAAAAGGTATAATTTCAGTAAAAGGAATGAGCTGTTCATTTCCGTTGAAAGATATTAAATTATAATTATCAATTATTAAAGAACTGGAAATTAAAAAAAAATTGTTCGTTAATACTTTAATGAAATACCGTAAATTTTCATTTACTCATTCATGATCCAGTGAAAAATACTTTCTTCATGTTGATAAATGTTCATCAAATTGATCAAATGAATTTTATTCAGATAAATTGCTCGCCGTAAAACATAATTTTCTCAAAAATCCCTTTTATTGAAGGAATGGGCTGTTTATTTCCGTTCCTACCTCTCCACATGGTCAAGGTTGGACTGACCCTCGAGGAGGCGCGACTCGTCTCCATGATATCCCCAGTGATAGCAATAATTGGTCCCCTGATTGTTGCACCTGTGGCTGATAAACTGGCCAGTCGTCAAGGGAAAAAACCCTCGACAGGTCAATATCTTCGAGTTATGATAGCCATCGTCTGCTTCCTCTCAGCAGTATTCTACTCATTACTTCTACTTGTGCCCATCGTCGAGAGAATAGAATTACCCAAGGAAATGAGACCAACATTGAAGTTTGCTTGTGACAGGGAAGGGGCGACGATCTTTCAGGAGAGGAGCAGCGAGTTCTCCACTTGCTACAATTGGACGAGTGACAGCCGAGTCTGTGGAATTCTACTCAGGAATTGCCATTATGAGTGTCCTCCCACTGTTCCTATTAGACAGAGTATTAGGAATAAGGTCGTTAACCTTAAGGAGAGTAAACTTGGGCTGGATTTGGATGGGACTGGAGATTTGTCGGTTAAACCACTCGATTTAACGAATGACGAGGTTGAATGGAGAAAAAAGGTAAATTGTTGTTACGTATTAAAAACATTATTGAAAATTCTATTGAAGAGAAAAGGCAATAGATGTCGATTTTTCTATTCTATCGGAGTTCTGTTGAAATTATGTTAAATAATTATATTGGTTTTTTGCAATTGTGCAACTTTACCACATCATTTTTTAAAGAAAAAAGTCGATTTTCATTTTTTTCATTTTTACATAAAATTCATGCCCACTAGAATTTCCATTGAAAATAGAACTCGTTCTATTGTGCTGTCAATTTCTTGAAATAGAGAACATAAGTATCACGAAAATATTTATTTGAAGGACCCACACAATGGGCTGGACTCCCCGAAATACCGAAGATACGTGTCAGCTGAGAAATCACCCCCTCACCTGTGCTTCGACAATGGGAAAGAGCGCGTGTGTCACGTGTACACAAACGCCTCAAAGAGCCTGTCCATCCATGCGAGCTTCCAGGTGGCCAGCAACGCACGGCAACGGGACGACTGGTGTGCCTATCCCATCGCCGAGAGCCACTGCAGAATACCGAAGGATTTAGAAACCATCTACAATGGCTCGTGCACAGTCGAGTGCGACCTCCTCGATCCTTCCATGCTGCAAGGTAATTCCTCTTTACTCTCGTGAGGAAATTTCATTAATTATTCAATTAACTGAGAGTTATCTTAATGTTCCTCTTATCCACTTTCTATTACAATGATCTCTTTTTCATTAATTGGTAATTAGCGATTCATTGTTTTTAATGGATAACATTACAACTTGAATTATCAAAATCAAAGAAAACATTTTGATAAAAACGATTTTCATGACTTTTCTTGATATTTTATGCTATTTTCTTGCTATTTTAATTCAGTATAGAGTTGATATTGAAAGCTCATGAAATTTCCGATTTGTTTTCAAAATTTGTTCAAAATTCGAATTTTATTTAAAATTGAAAAACGTGGGGAATTCGCGAGGCAATTCTATTGGAGTCCTATTAAATTATACGAAAAATCATAAGATGTCGATTTTTTCGAACTGATTACCTCTAAAAAATATAAAATTTCCTCCACCCACTACCCCGAAATGAAAAAAACCCTCGATCAACAGGAAGTATAGACACAGAGAATCAGTGCAGCCAGGTTGCAGGTGACCCGGACATGACCTTCTGGATGTACATAATAATCCGTTCGATAGCCGACATGTTCCCCACAGCAGCAGTGGCTCTGATTGACGCAGCAGTAGTGATAGCGACCCGTGAAACCTCCTGTGGACGTGGTGACGTGGGCAGGCAATTGGCCTTTGGTTCACTGGGTTTCGCCATTTTCGGCTCTCTCTCGGGATACTTGAACACCCTGACAAGCCTCAGACCACCCTACCTCCTGCCAATAGTCCTCCACGTCGGTCTGATGATCCTGGCGTCGATGGTGGCCCTGTTCTCCAGGGGAATGCCCCTGAGCCCCCCCGAGTGGTGGTGGCACACGAGATCGGGCATGCTGGCTGTTCCAATGAGTGCAGTCAAGCGATATGGGAGTGAAACAGCTGCTCTCGTCCTCGTGCTGATGGTCCTGGGAACATTCTGGAGTACAATGGACTCGTATCTACCCCTTCATCTGGCTAATCTACGTGCTGATGCTCTCACTATTGGGGTCATCCTCACGATTGGTGCAGTACCTGCGGTATTCTTCCTCTGGAGGTCAGCGGATTACAAAGTTTCTCAAGTTGTAGTGAATTTATGGACGAAAAAATATCTAGAAAAATCTAGGGAATTTCCTCGAAAATTCTGATGCATTTTTATTGAACGCTATTGAAATTACAAAAACTTGACCATAAAAATTTAGAAAAACTTGTCGATTGATCTGAGAATATTTTTGACAATATTTCAAAATATTCTAGACTTCTATCATTTATCAGAGATAGCCATTACCGTTAAATTTTCAACTAGTCAATTTGTTAATATTAATTTACAATTTTCAATTATTTCATACGAAAAATGAAGACTCTTTGCATCGCAATAGGTCAGAGCATCTTGTGGACTACTGTGGCCACAGCAATCTCCTCATCATTGCATTCACCATGTATATCGTGAGATTCACTGGACTCAGTCTCGTCAACGATCCCTGGTGGGCCCTTCCTGCCGAGGCCTTCGAACTATTCACCCTTGGCATCATGTGGATCACTGCCATTCTCTACCTGAGGCACCTCATCCCCAGGCATCTCACTGTCACTGCACAGGCACTACCTGTTGTCGCACATTTCTGCGTGGGACGCAGTCTAGGTGCTCTCATTGGAGCCTACATGGACTTTGGGGAGACTGATGTTGACTCCCTGAAGTTCATGTATCAGTGCATGGCTGTGGCTGCTGCCATCGTAGCTGTCCTCTACTTCGTCGTTTATCATGGGATTCTCAAGCCCAGGTGTCATGCTCAGAATTTACAAGGGGCCAGGAATACACCGTCTGTGGTTCAAGGTAATTTATTTTTTGTCGAGGATTCGAGGGGAAGGGACTCATTTGTTTGGTGATTTTTTTTATTGCAAAGCTGCACTGCAAGAACATGAAAAGTCTTTGAGTGAGTTCTGATGGTTATTTATTAAGTAGTTGTTTGCATGTTTTTTTTCCTTTCCTTGGATGTTGAAACTTTGAGGAAGTGGTAAAATGGGATGTGTTGAGTTTAGAACATGCGTGTGGATGAAAAGAAATATAAATTTCTAAGCTGTTGATGATCCCAGTGAATATTTATTGATAATCCCACATATAGAACTCCAATGTGAAGTGCCAAAATTTTATTAATTTTTACAGATGTTTAATCATCTTGTTTTACCACTTCACATCAAAACTCGCATGCTCACTTGAACTTGAAAATATTTCCAACAATATATTGATAATTCATAATTGTTCTTTTCCAGGTATGAATGGAAATGGGCGTTATACACCACTACGAGTGTATCACAATGGAATGGGAAAAAAGGGACAATTTCGATATTAAGACATGGATAATTGAATGGAATGAATTCTGGGCAGCTTTGAGTGGCCTCGACGAATGTCTCTCTTGCTCCCAGCAAGATTGAGTCACTTTGGAGAGGGATGAAAACTCGAGGGGCCCTAGTATCACTTGGCTCATCCACGGTCGTCCGTTCAATCGTGGATTGAGCGCAAAGGAATGGACTTTGCTAAATTCTCAGAGAGTATCACGTGAATCGTAGATCCCTAAGAAATTATTTATTGTCACATCTCGTGCATTTCTACTATCAATTACGAATGAATATTTTTTTATACCCTACGAAATGTCAATCAACTCCAGAATCTGATGCATGAGGTTGTATTTATTTATTTATGAGGATGAAAAATTTTATTATTCATTTCTGAAAATGAATCATGTCCCCTGTGTGCAGTACCTTTTCTACTTGATATCCCATTTTTACACATTCAGAGTCAATAACGAAAAATTATGTTATTAATGTGTATTTTTTTTTACTGTATAAGGAGTTATGAATAAATTTAAATGGTCTGATGAGAAATAATGGTTTCATTAATTATTAGAGATTACAATTAGAAATTATTTTCTTCGTGTTAAGTTCAATATTTCGCAATTATATCGTTATTCAAACATTTGGATGTTTGAACTTCATTCTCAAACATATTTAAAGTAGACATAAAATGGTAAAATATACAATTGATAAATTCATGCTCTGTCCTACAAATCAATTTTCGAAATTGTTGATTAATTTATTTATATTAAAAATATTCAAAAAATTCATTTCTCCAAATTCTTTAAATACTTTTAATCACTCTGAGCAACTAAAACACTAAAAAAACGTGATTTTTTCAATTTTTTATTTGATTTACTTACACGAGAATCACATTCTCTCTTCGACGTCCGGAAATATTCTCACGAATACATAAAATGAGGAATAACATTTGGCAAAGATATTCTTATTCGAAAATTCTGACCCGTTAGCAAACAGTTTAATGTCGGAGTAAAATAGGAAAATCAACGAGTGATAAACAATGAATTTTTTATCCTATAATAAGTCATTGTTCCAATTTTATCATAAAGTTCTGTAGTTGACACTTGATTACCTAAAATCATTGTGAGTAATTAAAACGTCATGTCTTGATTTTTCAATATGTTCCAGAAAATATTTTCACGTCACACATTAAATGAGAAATGTTTTGCAGTGACGTTTTTATCTGAAACTTCAAGTGTCGAAATGAGATAGAGAAATCTGAAATTAATTTTCCACTTTCCTAAAAAATTTAATGATACAAAATTGTGGATTACACTCAAATAATTCTGACCAACTAAAACGTCTGCTCTTGATTTTTCCGGTATTTCATTTAATTTACATAAGAACCACTCGCTTGAAACTAGGATTCTCTGTTCGACGTTCAGAAAATATCGTCACGACATACGTGAAACGAGGAATGACATTTTGCGATGAAGTTTTTATCTGGTAATTCCCAACTGTTGGGAAACAGATCGAATGTCGAAACGAAATAGGGAAATCTGTGATCTGTAACTAATTTTCTCTCGTCAAATTCAATTGAAAAATTTAATGATACAAAATTGTGGATTATATTCAAATAATTCTGAGCAACTAAAACGCCTGCTCTTGCTGCTTCCAATATTTTATTTGATTTACATGAGAATCACTCACTCGAAGCCATAATTCTCCCCTCGACGTCAAAATACTCTACCGACAAAATACACAAAATGAGGAATTGAGTTTGAATTATTTCTCAGTCCTTGCAGTATACTGTTATTGATATACTTACAAAATATGTCAGCTAACATTCACCCCAATGGCGCAGGTAACAAAGTTGGTATTCCCCCCCCCACAGAAGAAATAGCAACTGCCCTGTACAACTGCGCCAGCATTCCCCCCCCCCATCTCACCAAATCAAATAATATGAAAAATATCATCATATGTACAAACTTAAACTAAATCTGTACGACATCATCGAACGTGACGAAAAATTGTTGAATACGAACTGAAGATAGTGGAATTTATAAAAGTGAAAAAACAGTTGCAGACGATTCTCCAATGATTTCTCTAAAAGCTATGATATTTTGTCTCGAGCACTTTATGAAAGGCAACACTTACACAAATGAAAATCCCCCTCAATCACTCCCCATTTCTCCAGTTTCTTCTCAATAAAAAAAAGGAAAGTTGGATTATGAGAAAATTCACTCCAGGATGGTGCACTCATCGTCGTCCTCAGCACCTTTCCAATTCTCCTTGAACCCCTTGTCTCCACGACCCTCATCCTCGATGAGAGCCCTCACTGCAATCACAGTCGCCTCTTTCCTGGCCTCCTGACTCAGGGCCTTGGCCTGGCCCTTCTCAGGGTCTTTATTACAACTTTCGTTATTGCCATCTGCGTCAATCCCCCCATCAGTTTTCTCCTCTTCAATTTTTTCGTCATCAGGCTTCTCCACATCGTTGGCCTTAGCTGACTCCTCAAGACTCCCATTAGAAACGTCCATCGGTTCATCTCCCTTTCCAGAAGTCTCATCATCTTCCTTCATCTCCCCATTCTCCATCGTCTCATCATCCCCAATATCATTACTCTCACTCCCCATCTCCTCATTTAAAACATCCTCCACATCTGGAGTGACTTCCTCCTCATCAACGTCACCAGGAGTCTTTCTCCCCTTTTGCAACCCCAGCTCCTCCTCAATGATCTCATTCAACGACTTCTCAGGACTAGCATTCTCCTTCTCCTCGTCGTTGCCCTCCTCGAGCCCCTGCAGATAGAAAATAAACTGCTCTTCGTACTTCCCAAAGTAATCATCCTGCACAACAACAGGCTTGAGCATCTCCACCTCCTTATCCCCATCGTAATCAGCCCTCATGAGCAGCGAGTACCCAACAGTCCTGTCGTAATCAACAACAATTTCATCGTAAACCTGAATCCCCTTGTCCTCAGTCTCAGCCCTGGCAGTGCAACCTTGATCCACAGTCTCCTTCTCCCTGAACTCAACGAGTTTATTCGAAAAATCGATGGAGTTGTGCTCCTCCACCTCCTCGTCCTCCTCGTCAGCCTCAGACTCAGAGTCCCTCTCGCACTCCATCTCCAGTGGTATGATCTTGTGACTGGCCTCGCCCTTTCTCAACCGAATTTTTCCAGTGGAATCCTCCACAGGTGTCCCAGTGATGCAGGACGTCTTCCAGGGCTTGTACTGCCTGACCATGGTGTTGTTGAAGCCAGCAAGCTCCGAGACAACTTTACTGATGTTCCTGTTGATGATTTTGAGCTTCATTTTCGCTGAGTTTATGTCAGTCCCCTGGGGAGCCTCGAAACCGCTCATTTCCTGCTTCAGCCGCTTCCTCAGCTTCTTCAGGATGTCGTCGACAGCCCTCATGGGATTGCTAATTGTCTGGTCGAATCTTCGGACTGTTAGTCTTGGATATGTCACGTCTGGAGCCTCTGATTGGCCAGAGGCACCCTCTGACTCTTCGGATTTCTTCTCAGAGCTCTTTGTAGCCTGGACACTTGGGGTTTGAACCACTGGATCGTCCTCCGAGTCACTCTCTATGTCTATGACACTTGGGGGGGCCTTTCCCTTGAGTTTAGGGTCGTTTTTGTCTATTCTTATGTTGGGGTACGAGCGAACTCGTGGTCCCTGTCCTCCAGAGGCTCCAGGGCTTGCTGTTATCAGCACTGGACGTGTGGGGATCGTCACCATTGGCGTTGACGCCCGGAAACCAGGGAGTCGTGTGATCAGCTGGGGAGTGGCCCCTGGAGGCAGTGAGTCGATCCTTCGGAGGGGGCGCACTGGAATCATTCTTCCACCTCGTGGCACTGGAGGTCGCACCAGGGTCTGGGTCGTTATGGGCTGCAGCGCTGGGAGACGAGGGTTGCCTGGGAGAATCACTGACTCGGTGTCACCTTCAACCATCGTCTGCTCGGGGTTCAGCAGGCGCGTTATGTCGTCGTCCTCGATCTTTCGGGGGGCTATTGGGACGTAACGACCGTTTGGGGTATCTGCTGAGTCTCGGGATGTCGCTCGTCGACGCTTCACGGATCTTTTTCGCGTTCGGGAGGACGTCCTCGAGGTCTTCGATGTCACAGACTCGTCGTCAGAACTTGAGAGGGAAGGCCGGCGTTTTCGCTTGGCTTTGCGACCTGGACAGCACTGGGCGTCGTCCAGCTCCATCTTTGAGAGGATCTCCTTTGGCGTCATCACACGATCGGCTGTTAATATCCTGAAAATGTCATTGATTTGTGTTTTTTTTTCTCATTTTTCATAATTAAATCCAAGAAATAAACTTGGAGAAATCCCGCGATTAACTCTTAGAGGCAAAATTTTAACAGAATAAATTGTATAGAAAAGTATAAAAGTACTGGGATATCCTTGAGTGTTGATCAATAATTGTAAGTAATGGTTTCCTCTCAGGGAATTTTACATCTCCAGGTGTAATAAAATGTCTTTAATTCAATTCAATTCAATGTGCAAAAATGCTGGGACTGTGTCATTGTTTTTTACACCTCCACTCCAGAAATAATTTTCATTTGCTTACCTTGAGAGTGTTTTGACGTGCTGGAGGAGAGCCCAGCAGACAGCCCTGTGCGAGTAAAGTGGAGCTGGATGGCACACGAAGCACTTCCACTTCTCATCAGCCTCAATCTGCTTTCGCACAACAGCATCAAAATTTATTCTGATACACTTCTGGCAGAAGGTGTTGCTGCAGTAGGAGCAGCAGTACAGATTACCACCATTGGCGCACCAACGGCAGAACATGTCAGTGGCATCGTCACCTGATTGGTTTTCATTTAGTAGTTTCATCCCGACAATTTTTTTGCGTTTGTCATTTTGTTTTTTTTATTCATCTTTACCTTGCTCGAAGGTCCCATCTCCATAGAACTCACGACAGGCTGCGCACAGGAGTACCTTGAGGACAGGGTGCTCCTGCATGTTGTAGGCCTCAGCAGGAGCTGAACCGATGTGAGTGTCACACGAGGTGCAGTGGAGCTTACGAAATCGCACTTTAGCAATGTCTAAAATTTACAGATGATGATCATTAGGAATATTCAAACACTTTGAGAATTTTTTTGCCATAATTTTTTATTCAAAAATTTTATTTGCAGAGTGAAATTAATTTTGCACTGGAAATGGTCAAAAAATATTTTTAAAATAGGGAGAAGAGATGATGTAGTCTATTTTCTTGGGAAAATTCTTGATAAATCATTTGCATTATTTATTAAACGCAATTAACATTAATTATTGGTTTAAAAAAATTGATATATAGCAAAATGTGATCTGGACACTGCTGATCATATATGAACAACTGCAATTTTTTTTAGGCAATTCAAAGTAAAATTTTAGCTCAATAAATTATAAAATAAAAATTAATATTCTGAATTATTCACAATCTACAAAAAAAATATTCACCAGACTTGATCACTCTCCTAAGAATCAAATCCAGAATCCCTCCATTACCGACTCGCCCACTCGATTCCCCGAAAAAAAAATCCAACAATTGACTATATAAACCCTCTAAAAGCTCACCTTGCCCAAACATAAGTTTCCGAAAGTGTTTCTCCTCCGGAGTAACAGTCTCCGAAGCCCTGAACAGCTTCGCCTCATTCTTTCCATCTCCCGAATCGACTGAAAAAGACCAAATAATCGAGACATTGAGGTTAGTTTCGGTGTGGTCTAGCAACTCCCAACCCCAACAGCGATAAACCAAAGTATTCAAACCTTCTGGAAGCGGTTCCTCATTGACCTGCACCTCGAGTAGACTTGCGATGTCCATTCCAATATGATTATTCATCCCGATCGGCGATACAATTACTAAATTAAGCAATGCGGACGCACGAATCCGTGAAAACACTGACAAAAGCCGCCACCTCCATTTTAACTTAGGCCCACGCTAGCCCGGGCCCAGTTCTTCCCCATAATGGCCCTCACTACACGACTCAAAACACTGGATTGATTGCGACTAGCAAAAAAATGGGGGAAAAAAGTTGATTTTCCCGACTCCTGACAGATTTATTGAGAACGAGGGTTGGGAATAGCGGCTTTCACGAGCCCCGGCAGCTTCCGCCGAAGCATCACGATCGCCTTTCAGCCTATTCTACGCATCACAAAGCGGGAAAATAGTGGGCCCAACATGGCCGACTTCCGGCATCACCAGCTTCTGCTAAATTTCTCTAAATCCGCTAATTTTTCCAATTACTCTTCATCCTCTCCCGCTGGAGCAATAATATCATTTTTTTCGCGAATAAAGAATTATCCTATGGGGGACCCTTCGTGCTCATCGATACGGCAGAGTGCTACTTGATCCCTCGGCGCCATTTTCGATGCGCAGTGGAATACACCGGGAAACCAGGGTTATTTACAAATGGCGTCTCTCCTTCGTCTCGGTGATTATAATCCATTTTAATCGAGTTTAGGGTGGTTTTGAGGGGTAAATCACTCGCCGGGGGGTTCTTCGAGGTGGTAAAAGTGATTTGGGAGGGATGGAGGGACACAATGAGGGCCTCGAGATCGACAAGGCCGCTCAGAAGCTCACCGATGAGATACAGTCTATGAGCAATTATAAAAATCTCTACAATGAAATTCAGGTGGGCGGTTTTTATCGTTTATCTTGTTCTCGGTGAGGTTCATTTCGTCTCTAAATAGGGGACTTGCGTGAATTTTTATCAATTTCCTAACCGCAAGTTTGGGACCTGAATAGTTCATTTTTCATTCACAAACATTCGAAATATTGCTCATTAATTAATAATTAATTGGTAAAAGTGGAAGATTTCAAAGGCTTTGGCATCGCCAGTGATATCACTGAGAAGGTCGAGCGCGTGGCCAATCACAGAATGGCTCCAGCCGATCTAAACCAATCATGTGGGGCGCCTCGGCCAATGGAGGACAACTCCCCACTCTCTTCACACTCAACCAATGAAACGTTACCTGAACGTGCTCGTGACGTCATGACGGCCAAATTGGTCTCGAAAATGACTGATTTTTAATGAATTATCATAAGATATCTGGGCATTATTTTTCTCCATAATTTTCGTCGTTTAGCTATCCATATGTTATGAGGAATGTGTGAATAGGAGAATTGGAAAGAATTGAGCTTCATGCAAGTTCCCCATTCTAAATAATAAATTTATTAAAAACTGATCAATAATCAAAATCGACTTGACCCATTTTTCGGGTTTTCCAGAGACTGGTCGCCTCGTCGGTGGTCAAGAAGGAGAATTTTAAGGGCACGCTGACGGAAGCGCTGAAGAATAATGGACTGGAGACAGAGATCAGAAACACGGTGTTCCACTGGGCGCGTTCTCAAGTGAATATCTCCGTTTTTTTAGCTTTCGCAATTTTCATCGATCTTATCGATTTTTTATCGCTCCGTCTGTTGTTCTGGTGTCTGAGGGCCATCTTCGACCCAAGCCGGAGGTGAGGCCGCCCGAAGCTGACCTCAATTATCTCAGGAAGACGCAGATCCAATGGGAGAGGAGGATTCAGAAATCTTTGAATTCCATGTGCAATGAATTGAATGTTCCGCTTGCCAGGATACGACCTAGTGCTGATAAGGAAGAGCTCGCGGAGAAGTGGAACGAGCTGAGTACTTATGATATCGGTGAGTGACTCGGGTATCAATCGATTTATTGAGGAGTGATCGAGGATTGATCGATCATCCGTCGATTTCCTTTGAACTTTCTATCTTTTGATTGCGTAACTATTTTTCCGTTGGACGGCGCTGGGATTGCTCCATTCCCTTGGAGCCCCCCTACCATTGGCTGGTCGAGTGGTCACGTGGGTCACAGCAGTGACGCCATGACTCATTAAGGCGATACTCAAGGGCGACTCGATGACTCAAATTCAAATTTCATTTTGTTTCATCAGATTTATCTCAGTACAGACCGCTGTACGCGCCCAAGGACTTTCTCGAGGTTCTATTCTCCGTTCGTGATCCCGCATTTAAGAAACAGCCTAGTGAACCCAACTGGGAGTTCAGTCATATTCAGATACGTGTGAAGCAACTCGCGCAATTGGTAGGGTCGTTGTAGGGAACCTTCATGAAGCTTGTTTAATTTCCTAATTAGAGATTCATATGCGACCTCTATCACAACCTCCCTCCCCCCTCTATGATCGTCAAGAAAAAATTGCCAAGAAAAAATGACCGTCATTTTTTTAATTTATGACTTTATTATTTTTTAAATTTATATTAAAGTTATTTATATTAGCTTAGTTAAATTTCGTTAATGATATTCATTGACACTATTGTTATTTCAATATATATGAATGTTTTATATTCCGAAAAGTGGGAGATTCCAAACGCTTCAGAATCGCTAATGGTGGCCAAGCGAATTAGGAAGAATTGAGCTCCATGCGGGTTCCCTATTAAATTACCCCTGAAATAACGATAGTGCAGGATTTAATAGAGATATTTGCAGAGGGAAACTTACGCTGAATTATCGCAAGGGGTAGCTCTACTGGGAGTCAATGGGGAAATGCCAGCCGCGGGGAATTTCCCCAATCTCGAAGCGGAGAGAACTGTTCTGGGGGAGAAGGTCTTGTCCTTGAATCATGCTCCCATAGCTCAAGAATTTCTGAAACGCGGAGCCCCGAGAGCTTTAAGGGGCCAACTCTGGTCGCTTGTGCTGGGATCAATTGTTAAAGACACTGTAATATTTTTTTATTCGGTTATGTCCCAGTAGCTGACAATACTTTTGATTTTCTTTATTTATTTTTGGCCGATTTTATTGAGAAACTGCGGCTTTTGTGCGCGGTTTTTTTCAATAGAAATGTTTAATGGGAATTATTTTTTCTAACAAAATTTCCAAAGAAATTCAACAAAAACTAAATATGAAATGTTTTCGTGCCTGAAATGTTCAACTAAGGGTTCAGCTACTGGGGTGCGCCTTATTAAACTCCCGAAGAGAATTCAAACTCCCTCCTCTGCTTGCCTTCAATAACTTTTGAATTAGGACATCGAATACTACGAGGAACTGAAGAGTATGGTTCTTCAATACGATATAATGGTGGACAAATTGATCATTAAGGACGTGCAGTTGACAGCCAGCAATGACGATCAGTACTTCGTCTTTGAAGACGTACTTTACAAAACGATGTTATGTTTTTCGCGGGATTCGGAGGTTTTGGCGCCTGTAACGACGGACAGAAGTGCAGGGGGACAGGTGATTCACGCGGTGCTCCAGGGGAAGCCTGCCGCACTGGAGAATACTCTGGTGTTTCCACCGAGTGGAGTCATTCCTTTTCATGGTTTCACGATGTATGGTGAGATCAAATTGAAAATATCAATGGGCTCTTTCTTTTCTTTTTTTTTTCATCACTTGTGCGTAAAGTGAAATTTTACTTTCCACACATTGAAAAATAGGGTTCGACACTCGTGGGAAAAGTGTTCTTTGACTTTTGGGAGGATAAAAAAATTACGGTGAAACTATTCTAAAAAAAAATTAATTAGTAATTTCTATTTTCGATGAACTAATCTTTTATTTTAAATTTTTTCCTGCGTGTGATATTTCAGCTACACCTTTCTGCTACCTCTACGACGATCCCTGCACAATGTACTACACATTCCGGGCATTTTACCTGCGATATTGGTTTCGCCTGCATACTGTATCGAGTCATGAACAGGGAATCGTTGCATTATGCTTATTATTCGAGAGATTACTCCAGTGTCACGAGCCCCAGCTCTGGGCGCATTTCCGCAGCATGCAGATACAACCGTGAGACACGTTAATCCACTAAAATTCTAGCCAGATGTCTGGAAATTCAGGCTTTCTTATGAAGAATATTGTTGCAGTGTTAAAGTCGTTTTTAAGTGGCTGATGAGGGGATTTAGTGGGCATCTGCCTCCGGAGCAGCTTCTCTACCTCTGGGATCTCATCTTGGGATATGATTCACTGGAAATTATTTCATTGCTAGCTGTCACCATATTGAGCTTTCGAAAAGAAAATCTGCTGCAAGTTAATAATCTTCATAATGTAGAAGTGTGTGGTATTTTCTTAATTTCAATTAATTTTATTCGAACAATTTCGTGTGAGTGATCTTTGGTTGCTCCTCAGGCTGTTCTGGCTGATTTATCATCTCTCAAAGTGATGCCTCTCCTTCAACTCGTTCTAATCAAGGAATGAGTGGTCAACATTCAAGAAGTTTAGTGAATTTTATCGATGAAATTGAAATTGTAATTGTCTTTGATCTGGATTATTGATATCAAATAAAATAGACATGAGAATGAACTTTTTGTGTTATTCTTTCGTTATAGAGTCAGATTAAGCGAGCCCCCTAGTATAAAGGTAAAATTCTATTAATACTTTCAATAAGATAGTTTACTATTGGACACATTCAACAGAATCAGGGAAAAACAAATATCATTTTCAACAGAACTTCAGTAGAAATCCCTCCCAGTTTTTTCTATCGAATTCGCTGTGTTGTTCTACGAAATGTTTTCCCGCCTTTGTTATTCTCATTTAAATTTTCCAATTTATCAATACGCATGCGCGAGAGCCTCGTTATTCTCAATCGGTCATTTATCCTCAGTAAAACGGTGACAATCTGAGATCGAAGGGTGGGGCGAACAGTAGAGAGACGACGCTTTCTGCCCCATCGGGATAAGAGCAACGAACAAGGGGAGGTTTTCCGTTTCCGGCTGTCATACTACTGCGACGCCTGCCACTGTCTCCCAAGCACTGGCTCTGTTTATAATAAGTTGAGTAGTCTGAGATTATCGTCTTTTAATCGTGAATTATCGCCAGTGAAAGTTAACGAAGACTGCACGACTCTAGTCCAACGGCATTGTTGCAATAATACGTGAGTATTCACTGTTGTGAGCGGTCGGCGAAATATTTGTTTGTTGTAATGCACAAAGCGGCCTGTGTCATCCCCCCACTGTATAACCAACTTTCTGTTACCCCCCTTGGGGGTGAGGGTGGGGTAGCCACCGGGTTCTCTCACCCCATGCGATTATTAGTCATGCACAGCCACCGCTTTAGAAGAAAAAACAGAGAGTACGATCATTCCAGTCCCTTACGTTTGTTTTCGTTTTGATGGAATTTTTTCCTGCTTCCAACGGTGGAATTATTGGTGGAGTGAAGAATGGGCAAAGGGCTTTGTTCTTGTTTTGGAATTCTTTGTCAAGATTTGTTTTAATCGATGGGGTTTTGAGATCATTGAATTGTATTCAATTTTAAGGAGATTTTGGAACTCCTAGATTAGAATTAAATCATGCAAATTACCTCGTTGGGTCAGCAGATATTGAAGATCTTTATTTTTTATAGCAGTTTGTGGTAGGATTATTTGACTATAGCCACCTCTTCACGAAAAAATGGAAAATACAATCCTGGCAATCTTTTACTCACGTTTGTATTCATTTTGCTGTTTTTTTCTGCTCACAATAGTCGAATTATTGTTGGAGTGAAGGATAGTTTAAGGGCTTCGCTCATGTTTTGGTTTTTTTCCTCAAGATTTATTTCAGTCAATGGTATTTTAGTATTATTCTACTTTATTCAATTTTATAAGACTTTTTTTGCATTTTCAAGGGTTTTGCGAGCTCCAAAATGAGACCGAAATAATTTAAATCGCGCCGTTCGCTCAGCGGATATTGAACTACTTTTTTTGACTTCATAAAATCAACTGACATTAAAAATTCAAAGACCCTCATTTTGCTAATTTGATATTCTCCAAAAAAGAAATACTCAACAATTATATTTTTCATCAAGTCGAAAACCAATCCGTTTATGCAGCTAGAATAAAAATTCAAAAACTCTCCATTGACCCACTGATTTTCAGATTACATGTGTGAAGAATTTGTAATCAAATTGGAGTAACTAGATATAAAAAAGATGGCTTGGAGATTCAAGGCATCAAAATACAAGAATGCAACACCAATAGTGCCAAAGCCAGAGGCATGCATTCGTGATATATGCGTCGGGTCTTATCAGACCTACGGGAACAACATCGCAGCGTCCGCTGCATTTATGGCATTCAATGTTGATCACAATGGTAATGCAGCCCACATATATTTTTTTTAATGTCATCCCTCGGAGTTGAATCAATAAATTGCCCATTCATCCTGCAACTTGCTTACATTAACTAGGATCTAGTCTGGCTGTTTTGCCACTTGAGGACTGCGGCAGGAAGAGCAAAACAATGCCTCTCCTTCATGCACACGCTGACACGGTCACTGATATGGATTTTTCCCCCTTTCACGATGGACTATTGGCAACTGGCTCCCAAGATTGTCTCGTCAAATTGTGGCACATCCCGGAGGCTGGACTCGAGGAGTCACTCTGCAATCCTGAGGGGACATTTTCACACAGACAGAGACGAGTCGAGGTTGTACGCTGGCATCCCACGGCTGAACATCTCTTGACCACTGTTTCTTATACTAATTTGTCACTGTGGGACGTCGTGTCGCAGCAGGAATTGTTCTGTAAGGATTTTTTAAAATTTATTTTGTGAAAAAAATTGATTCACCTCGCGAATTCGGTGGAAATTTCTATGAAAAATATCCCAATAGAATAAGTTCTATAGAAAACTCGAATCGTATAGATTTTTTCTATAGAATCCTTTCCATTAAAAAAAATAATTTAATTGTAATTATTAATGCTATTAAATTTTGTCATGCGTGTTATTAAAATTATTAATTTATATCGAATGGAACGCGATGAATCAAATATTATCTTTTTCTACAGCGAACAATGAACATTCCGAAGTGATTCAATCAGTAAGCTGGAAGTACGATGGCTCTCTCCTGGCTACCTCTTGCAAGGATAAACAGGTCCGCATTGTCGACCCACGAGGATCAAAATCAATCGTGAACACTTGCTCAAGCCACCAAAGCATCAAAGACTCCCGCATTGTCTGGCTGGGGAACAGTGACAGAATCCTAACGACTGGCTTCGACGCTGCACGACTGCGTCAGGTCTACATCAGGGACCTCAGGAATCTCTCCGATCCTGTGAAAACACTGGAGCTCGACTGCAGCACTGGGATCCTCATGCCACTGTTCGATCAGGACACCAATATGCTGTTTCTAGCTGGCAAGGGGGACACCACGATTTTCTACATGGAAGTCACTGATAAGGATCCCTTTTTGGTGGAAGGAATTCGTCACAGTGGGGAGCAGACCAAGGGAGTCTCCTTGGTTCCAAAACGTGCACTCAATGTCATGCAGGCTGAGGTCAATAGGGTTCTGCAGTTGACGTCGAATATGGTCATTCCGATCATGTATCAGGTGCCACGAAAGGTGAATAATCATTTCGTCATTATACATGTGCACAAAAAAATGACTAAAAAATGCCATTACATTTCTGTTGGGATTCCCTTAAAATTGTTGCAGAATTGGATTTATTAACAGATATTTTTTCAATTGAAAAAAAAGTCAGTGAATGTCGATTATTCTAAAATTAGAATTATTCAACAGACTTGTAGTAAAATTATAACTGACTTCTCCTGCAAGAGGAATGGGCAGAGTCAAATTGAAGGATTTTTTCTCAGGAGTTATCCATTATTTAAAAGTTAATTTCCCTCCATCTCCAGAATAAATCTCAGAATTTAAGAACGACAAAAAAATATTTGCTGAGGGGGAAATCCAATAAATTCCCCATAATTTTAAACTTCAATTTGTTTATTTGAGGAATGTCGTCCAGTATTGAATCGATTCCCCCATTAATTCGCAGCATTCTTCAATTACAGACATATAGAGACTTTCACGGTGATATTTATCCAGACACAGCGGGTTGCATTGCTCAAAATACTGCCGAAGCGTGGATCATGGGTCACAATGCCCCAGTTCCAAAAATATCCTTAGATCCTGCCAAACGTGCTAAAGGAGAAGAGCCAATAACTGTGAGTATCAATTGCATCTCCATCACTGCAACCCCTGACATTTATCAGACACATCAACAGCAGCTGCCACCGTACCATTACGTACTTTTGTTCTGAAGTAGTGTTATTCTTGTTTTAAACTAGTGGCTCATCGATGTGAATTATTGGATTTTGTTTTTCCGCTGGCGATGTACTTGTGTTTTGCATATTTTATTTCAGCTCCTCGTATTTTACGCAGTTCTCCTCTTATTTTAGTAATCCTGAGTTGAAAATGTGATTTTGGCACGTTGGAAAGAGAATGAAACGATCGGTTTGTGTCTGTAGTTCACGTTATTCGATGTGTAAGTTTCAAGAATAGCCTGACATATCGTTCCACTTCCCCTCCGATAAAACTTCGCTTCGTAAAAAGTAATTGGAGATCAAACAACACTTTACCTAGTTAACGAGCGGAGTGACAAACATCCACAATGTTGAGAAAAAATGGAGATCGATAATGTCATTCATGAATTGGGGTCGAGGGCAAGAACCTCAATTCGTATCTGGAATTAATTTCGATTAGCACCTCATTTTATATCTATGATGATAATTATAAAAAGAAGACATTTTTAATATTTTTGCACTTTGTTTGCTCTTGTTATGGCACCGTAGTTGGATAAAACCACCCCATAACAATAATACCCCGGAAAAATCTTGAAATAGTCAGATATACACGAAACTTTGCGAAACTGAAACAAACCATGCGGGGCATGAAATCTTTATGGAATTTCTGACGTTTGTTAAAGAATGCATTAAAGTTTCTCCCTATCGAAGATTTTTGTTGAGAAAATACTCAATAATTCGATGTATTTCATTCAAATCAAGGGAATGCTCATAAAATCCATGAAGTGAATCGAATGATGTACTTAAACTCGATTGATAAAATTATCAGAAACTCATCAAACGACTGATGAATAAAAACCGAAGAATCTTCAGACGTCGGAAAACCCCCCTCATTCCCCCCACAGTAGACTTCACTAATTGTTTTTACCATTCTGCCAGTATTTTCGCACTTTGTTTGCTTTTGTTATGGCATCGTAGCTGGACAAAACCGTCCCCATAAAGATAATAACCCGGAAAAATCTTGAAATACTCAGATACACAGAGGAAACTTGGCGAAACTGAAAGAAAGCCAGCAGGACATAAAGGCCGAGCAGGCGAAGGCAGCGAAGAGTCTGCATTCCACACCGAAGGGTTTCCTCCAGCCAACAAGGGTGCAATCAATCGTACAAGAGCGCGAGGAGAAAAAGGAGAAGCGCATCGAGCCCGAACCGGAGAAGATGGAGAAAATTGAGAAACCGGAAAGACCAGACAAGAATGATGAAACAATGAGGCCAATCGAGACGGATGATGACAAGCAGAAAGTGCAGAATGGCCAGTCGATGCCGCCAAAGCCATTGCCAAGGTCTTCACGAGCTAATAGCATCTCCGAGGAGGAGCCCAAGCCAGTGGCTAGACCGAGAACATCACCCAGTTCTGGGACAGTTGTTACTTCAGTCAATCCTAATATGGTTGGAGGATACAAGGTCCGAATATGGAGTGAACGAACAGGAGACGATTGTTATCTACTTTTTCTTGTCGTTTATTTGTTTTAATTTATTTAATTAGGATTTTAATTCAGCTGATTATGTTGGGAAACATGAAGTAATTGCGATTAATGGGGAATGCATGAAATAATGGAACAATACGAGTTTATTCCAAGGGAGATAACAAAATTTTACTAGTTGCGAACTCTTCCAAAATGAATGGAATAATTTTCGTACGAATTCTTAGAGCACAATTGTAAGAATATTTTCTACGTCTTCTCCCCATGATTTTTTCATTCACCTAACTTCATGGATTCATTTATCAAATCAGCATCATTAGCCTTATCTTTACAAAGCCAATTGCTCTTAATTTTCAGCCCCGACTGGGTCCGAAGCCGTTCCAAGCGAAATCGGGGAGCCAAGAGTTCTCCTTCGACAAAGTCTTCTCGGTCCCAGTGGCCCCGAACACCGACACCAACGGCTACCCCGCGGAGCCGCACCCCATAATAGACAGCACGCCCCCCGATGCCGACAAATCCCCGACCTTCGACAACGACCGAATAAAAGAATCCGAGAACGGAAAGAGCGACTCGTCCTCAATGGAGGAGGACGCCAACTCCAGTGACTCTGGTTACAAGCCCAAGACGCCGAGCACCGCTGAGCGTCGCAAGTTATTCGAGACCAAAGTGAAGGACGAATCCCCTGAGAGCGAGGAGACCCCAGGGAGCCTGGAGCGTGGTGGACTCAACAGAAACTCAATAGCAGAGCGCCGAAGGCTCTACGAGAGCAGATCAGTGTCGGTGACCGACGGAAACCTGGCGGAGAAGGCCCTGGGCTCCCCGACAGCCCTTCGTCGCAGGGACTCCTTCAAATCCAAATCCGAAGTTCTGAAGGACGACGAGAAGAAGATCCCCATGCTGCGACAGCAGAGCATGGACCCTCGCCTGGAGAAGCCCGAGCCCATCACGACCCCCACCCCCAAGAGAACCTCAACAGTCTTCGGAAGAGTCTCGAAATTTCGCCACCTGAAGGGCACACCAGGCCACAAATCGACGCACATCGAGAACATCAGGAACATAAGTCGACAGATATCAGGGGAGTGCGATGGATTCCACGCGAATCCCGACAGAGTGGCAGTCCCACTGAGTGGTCCAGGGGGTAAAATAGCTGTTCTGGAGCTGAAGAAGACAGGAAGACTTCCTGACGGAGTCATGCCAGCTCTCGTTCATGGAGCAACAATCATGGACTTCGCCTGGGATCCCTTCGACAATCAGAGGCTAGCAGTGGCCTGTGACGATGGCATCATCAGACTGTGGGAGGTGCCTGCTGGGGGGCTGGTGGAGCCCACGAATGAACCCAAATTCACGGTTGAGGCTCACACTGACAAGATTTATCTCATCAAGTTCCATCCTCTGGCTGCTGATGTCCTTGCTTCAGCGTCGTACGACACTACTGTTAAAATATGGGACCTGTCCAGGATGGAGGAGGGGGCGGTGGCTAGGATCACCCTGGGGGGACATACTGATCAGATCTTCAGCCTCGCGTGGTCACCCTGTGGACAGTATCTGGCTACTGCCTGCAAGGATGGCAAATTGAGGGTTTATAAGCCCAGGTCCAGCGAGGTTCCCATCAACGAGGGGAAGGGGCCTGTCGGGACCAGGGGGGCCAGGGTCGTGTGGGCCCTTGATGGCAGGTTTCTCCTCGCTATTGGCTTTGATAAGGTCTCGGAGAGGCAAATCATGATGTTCAAGCCTGATAAGCTGAACTCTCCCCTCAATACTGTGGGCCTTGACGTCTCACCGGCCATTCTCATGCCATTTTACGACGAGGACAGCTCCACTCTGCTGCTCACTGGTCGTGGCGACTCCACTATTTACGCGTTTGAGGTCACTGAAGAGGCCCCCTACATATGTCCACTCAGCCACCATCGCTGTGCCAGCCTTCATCAGGGGCTCTCGTTCCTCGCGAAGAACAAGTGCGATGTCGCCAGTGTTGAGTTTGCGTCTGCTCTGAGGCTCACCAACAACACGATAGAACCCCTCAGCTTCACTGTGCCCAGGATCAAGAGTGAACTCTTTCAGGATGATCTGTTTCCACCTACGAGGGTCACCTGGAAGCCCAGTATGGGGGCTGGGGAGTGGTTCAGTGGCGCCAACAAACAGGCGACGAGGATCAGCTTGAAACCTCCGGGGATGGATTGCCTGTCGGAGAATCAAGGGTCTGGGATTGTCACTGCACCTGTCTCTGCTAAGGGACAGTTCGCCGTCTCCCAGCAGGCTTTTGGCAGACTCAACTCCAATGAGTGGTACAAGGCTAAACATGATGAGGTGAGGTTTGGCGTGTTCGGTGCATGAAGTGGTTTATTGGCTTGTTTTTTTTTCTTGGTACTTGATTTATTTCGATGTGATTGGAGATTCGGAATTTTCTTGGCTGAAAATTCGGGTGGATTTATCAATTCAGTGCTATTTTTTATTTTTTCCAACGCGTACTTAAAATTTTATAGAAAAACCAGGAATTCGCTAGAGAATTCTTTCGTATTTTTTATTGGAAATTTCGATGAAATATAATCGATGAAAAAAATTGATTATTCCCATGGAACATGTTTCGATAGAAAAAAATGTATAGAAAGATGATTTTTTTGTAAAATAATTTCTGTTGAATCCACTAGGCTTTTCTATGAAATTGTTTCGTGCGAGGTCGAGCAAAAAATTGAATCGATTAAGTAGATAAAATGAACGATGACGAATTAAACAGTCATTGATTATGAGAATCAGCTTGAGTGTTTATATGTGTGTATCTATGTTGTGTGGTAGATCCAAAAGAACATGAGCAACAGTCTGGGGGAGATGATACAATGCTCGCTGGAGCAGGACCACATGGAGGGGGTGGAGGAACACGAATGGGTAAAATTAATTTCGTATTCAACAAAATGTAAAAAAAGACCTCCCTCCGTCGCATTTTACTCCCTCAATTTTCTTCTTAAAAAAATATACATATGTTCAAGCCACAAATTAAACCAGACAATTTTCCCCCTTCAGGACGATTAAACAACACCACGCATGAATGACCAGCTGCTTGGAGCGGAACGCCACTACAAAAAAGAACCAAAAAAGAGAGAAAAAAAAATCGAAAAACCGTCGAAGTACCTCCGAAAATGATTCATCGGGCGTCTCGCTTCGGTGCGTGTCACTGAATAGCCATCTCCGGTCATTCTGGCTCCCCATCGTTACCCCGTAAGCCACTGAAAACCGCTCTATCCATTAAATATTCAACTCAACCCAATATTTTCGCTCCTCATCAGCAGTTAACTTGCATTTTTCCACATTGTGTGCCACATTCAGAGTTTTATTTCTATTATCGTTAATCTATATCAATTGTGCAAACCGAGTGCGATTTATTTCAGGCATATTAATTTATTCATTAACGTGTGAAAAAATTTTGTAGAAAAAGCTAAACGTTTCTTTGAAATATTCTGTTGGAGTTCTGTGAGAATTCTATTAGTTTTTTCAGAAAATAATTTTTTTTTCAAGTTTTTTCTTGAATCTTATTATGAAAAACAAATTAAAATACAGAAATAAAAAGCTTAGAAACCTTACGTTCAAGGATTTCTGTAGAAAAGCTAAAATTTGTTGACTATTTGATATTATTGAATACTATTATTGTTATTATTATTCAATATTATTTAATGAAATCTCAAAGGAAATATAATTGAATTCTTATAGAGTTCTAATTGAAATTCGATTGAAAAATCTGAAAGATAAAATGATAAATTTCTTAATAGAATTTTTATAGATTTTTGGTAGAATTCCAATAGAATATCTTAAAGAAAGCGATAGTTTGGTCTATTAATTTTTTTTCACACGTGTCCAAACGCCTCCCTTTCGAGGATTAACGTGTGATCATAGCTCTAGTCTAGAATGAAATACGTTTTCGTCACTTTCGCCTGTTCATTATTTTTACTCTGTAATACGTATATTAATGGTAATGGCTTAGTATAATTGTCATGTAGTTTAGGAACCAGGGATTCACTGGAAAAATATCGAGTGAAACTCGAAAATTGCTACAGAAATTCGTGCGTTTGTTTTTACGTTTTGTAGCAACGTATTAGGACGAACATTGAGATTTCATTCTACGTAATTCAAGTTGAGGAATTTCGAGGCGATCTTACTGAGATTATTGATATAGTTCGTAATGGAGCAATCAACATGATGATTCGAGGAGTCGAGACATCTCGAATTTTCTTAAAATGGTGATGAATAAATCTATTTATTAGCGAGATTGGGGAGGCGACAGCATAATATCGATTGAGGTAGTTGTTTCTCGAATTCAGTTGATGGTCATGCGCTTTTGATGATCGTTTCAATTAAATTCGTTTATAATTCGATGGAAAAGCGATGAAATTGAATGAATTCATTTCACTTCACATGAGTTTTGGGGAATTTGTTTAAACGAAATATTATCAGAATTGATAAGCTGTAAATGTTTAGCAAAATATTCACATGCAAATGTGAGAACTTTTTTTTGTTTTTTTCATCATTTCGTGTTTTTTGGGAATGGAAAGATTGCGAATTCGAGTGAATCTTGAAAATTCAGGTCGTATTTAATATTGATATCAAATTGATTGATATTGAATTGTTTTGATAATCACATAAAATAAACAGAATTAAAAAGCCAATTCTATTTAACAATTTCGCAGTGCATTTTTTTAATAGAAATGTCCATTAAAAAATATAGAATGTTGTAATAACATTACAAAACTAATGGCAAAGTGAAATTCTCTCATTCATTTTTACGACTTTTTTAAAAGAAAAAAAAAAGTTTCATGACTTCACTGAACATTTCGAATAATTTTTACTGAAATTAAGGATAATTGGTGATTATCAAGTATTGTAAATAGAAAATTCGCGATTTCAGTTCCTCAGTCTGGGACAATTCCCTGAATAATTCGATAAACGAATTGAAATGAATTTGACTCGATAATAAATAATGAATACCCCCTGAGAAATAACTACTTTGAGATCACGTGTGTGTGATATTTACTGAGTGATACTGTTTTCCCCCGATGTTTACCCCTTGCACGCACACTCATGAATAATTTACAACTAAAAAATAATTGAAAAAGTACGTGAGGATAATAGCAATAAGGGTAGTTGAGGATAATACGTGAATGCACTAATCCATGATCGGTTGAATAAATTGAGGACAAAAATCCATATCGAGTATTAAAATATTAGTCCTGACATGGTGGTGACTCTCCTCACCTCCGATTAATCAGAGTATTCACCGTAAATACGATGAAAGTCATGTTTTTTTTTCGTCATGATTCAAGAGACTGTCATGAATTCCTACGTAAAATGCTCGGGGAGATAATTTTTCATATTCTCACCGGCAAATAGAGTAATTGAAACATCTTTATAATTCCAATTTTACACTTTTTACATTGATACATAATCGATAAAGCCATTATTTTTCATCGATGATTATGGAAATGACTCCAACGATTTTTGCTATGCATATATTTTTTAGTAAATGGGAGAAAATGTGAATTATTTCGTGATGTAAAATTTTTTACATTTTTTAAATGTCGTAACATTATTAACTGTATTGTACAGAGTAATGTAATTTAATGTGGTGCTTGCCATCCTGCGTAATTGATGATGATTCGTCCGCTGCATAAATTTCCAATTGTTCTAATCCACCTTTGCATTAAGAAAACAAAAAAAAATTAATGAGGAAAAAAAATTGAAGTAGAAATCAGCAGAAACCAGATTACAAACGTTTTCCATTTTCCTAAAGTGTCGAATCAGCGTTGATTACGATGGTATTAGAGTACCACAAATCCTTTGTCAAAGAAGCGACCGAGGTGCCAAAAATGAAATTTCCACTGAAACTAATCATCCAAAATTGAGCCATTCCATGCGAGCCATTCCATGAGAAAAAAAATTTCCACTCATTTTATACTCGTCCATAATCCAGGATGACAAAATTAATTCGATACATTATTCACTTATTTTTCTAATTCTGTATCAGTGCTAATCCGACATTACCGAGATATTTAGTAGTTGATTTGCTGAAGTCCTTCCTCGAATAATGATGCAGTACCAAGAGGCATTAAATTTGCGGAGCCTAAAGTACCTCGGAGTTGATGGACATGTGACTAATGCATGTCATAATTTTAGATAATGAAGGTAATGAGAGAATGGTGATCCGCCAAGAGTAGTTTTGTCGTAGTAGTGACGTCTCTTTGTATCGACTTTATATCTTACCATGTATTTCATCTATAAGATATTTCTACCAAATAACAATGGAGGCTTTAATATTCAAACGGACTTTGTCATATTTCTTCCTCGCTATTCCCAATCAGGCAATATAGCCAATATCCTTACAATTATCCTGAGTTTAGTTAATTTATTACTAAATGGGCCTGATAGATGTGAGAAAATGGAAGTAATTAACAGGCTTGTAACGAAAAAAAAATTTAATTTGATAGAAATACGTAATCCATTAAGGTTTATTCAACAATGGTTCTAATGACAATTTGTTCACATAATTTGAAAATGTATAATGGATATTATTCGTTTGTTGATATCTGTCTCCAACTCGTGGAATGTTTTATTTATTCTCTCATCATGCGTGGGTGTTCAAAAAGAGTCGTATAAATTCAGATAAATCAGTATTTCGTTAATGTACAAATGAATTATTATTTTGAAATGTATTTAATTTAACTGCTCCCACCCACTCGATCTCTGGGAATAAGCCTGAGTTCAGATCCGTGTTTCAGGAATATATTGCCTGAAATTGTGAATACGTAACATAAATCAAGTTAATAATCTCAAAATCACTCAGTATGAGTTTTTAAATTTTTTTGAGGGGTTAAAAACGTTACCAGCAGTCTGTTGAGGATTAATTCCCATCCCATCATCCGTTATAATAGCCGAGGTTGCAGGTGTAACCTTGAACTCCTCAGCAGCGAATTTTAGAACAGCAGTAAATGGCGCATTCTCAGGTACACTCAGTCTAAATTAAACTCCAATTCAATTAATAACCAAAGAACTCTATTTTATTCTCTCGCTGGAGTGGATATAAACCAAATTTACAGTTTTATTATCAATAAATTAAATCATTGAATTTAATTTCACACTTGCAAATTCTTCAGTAACTTTTTAAATCATAAAGTTCTCTAATAACTCTTTTAATAACTTCATGACGAATAATTCTAACAGACCTCAACATCCCAATAAAATTCGTCCTTCACACAACTATTCCATACATTTCATTCCCACAAGCATCCTCAAGCTCCTCCCATATCCTCCCCCCCTCCATCCCCTTCGCCATCAGTATCCTATTCTTAACAGCCTCCAAAATCTGCTCATTAATACCCATCAACCCCTTTAAACTATTAACAATATCATCGAACGAGAATCGGTGACACCCACTCCACCGTCCCCTCTCAAAATTCATGCTTCTTCCAAAGTAGAAAATGCTGTCTATATAATTCAATCGAAAATCCTCATCATCCAACAGCCCCTCGAGTACTTTTCTCCTGACCTTGAACACCTCTGAACACACATTCTCATCGTAATTATTAATTCTACTGCTCAAACTCTGGATTATGAGCTTCCTCGCAGGGCTCTCCTCACTCAACTTATCTAAACTCTCAATGACTTCCTTGACCAATCCATCGTCAATCATCCTATCGATGCACCTCACGACCTCCTCCCGATTGCCACAAGAGGCCTGATTGTGCCAGAGGAAAACCCTCCCCTCGTCCTCGATCACAGACTTGTCTAAACGAAGCTCTGTCATGCATTCCAATGCAGCATTCGCTGTCAATGACTCATTGAAGAGAGCCTCGAGGAATTTATTTAATCGCTTCCTACCACAATCGTTCACATAAAGAGTCAAAAGTCTGTCGATAATGTCCCCTGTGACTCCAGCTGTTTTCATCAGCACTTCCACGAGTTTATCACATGCACTGTGCAGTGTCTCGATGCTGTACGTGTGCACACGATTGTTCATTGACCAGTGACCTCGCAAATTACTCATCAATTCATTCATTTTGTTATCCTCTTTGGCACGCAGCATCGTTCTCTCGATGAAACGCGAACAGCTGAAGGCTGTTGATACATTTCGTATTGTTATTTGCTCTATTATTCTCGGGTTTTCGATCAGAGTCACATAATTGTCGAACATCTTTAGAATCTCTGATAGCTGATCTTCGTCCATACTTCATTCATTCTCATGACAGGCCTCCCTTTCATCTTCTGGCAAATCTTCAACGTCTCATCTGTTCCGAAACAAAAAGAGAGTCAATGGTTTTATTTCTTTTATTCATTTTTTTCAATTTTATTTGATTCCATCATGAAGTAAACGTAAATGTGATTCAGTGGTGGAGGGGAGACAGATTAGATAAATATCTCTGCGAAAATGTTTATAATTATTTTGCATTACGAGATTGCTCCTGGGAATTAATGTTTCGCAGGGAGTTGTTGTGGTTTTTTCATCTCAAATTAATTTCAGGAGAATTTTCTTCAGTTTTTGGAGAATGGAGTTCAATTTTTGAGAAACACTGCAACGAAAATGGAAATATCTCTCGTGGATTTAGAGATATTTTTATATACTTCAGGTGGAATTGACTTTTGATTTTTTTTTCTAGGTCAATTTAACTTATAGAGGATTTCTTGATAAATTTAACAAAACCTTAAAAAATCTGCCAAAATAAAATCGACTCATTCCTGCCACTTCACAACTGAATCCATAAATTAGGTAGAGTCGAGCGTTATATTGAGCGTTTGATCTCGAGCCAGAAGAATCGGGGATTGACACTTTCTCATAAAAAAAAATGAATTCATCCTTGAATAATCTACTTACACCTTGAATGGCAGCTTTGGATCCGACGTCAACGTGATTTTAAAGGTGACTTTAGACCTGGAAAATTTGTTTTCTCATTACGTTACGAACATATGTTTGACGTTAGTGAAGAGGTTAGGTCAGGGAAAAAAACTTGTAAAAATCCTATAAAAGGGGAGAATAATTTCAATTTTAGGGGGATACTCACGCCATTGTTGCAGCTGATTATTAACTCGTTTAGTTTAATTTAATTTAGTGTAAATAAGGGCGATATTGGGAGTGAATACTGCAGACGGGAGAGAAAGTAACTTCAATACTTCAGTCGTCTTCCCCACTTTTCACTCTGGAGCCCTTAGGATTCCTTGATTATCGACTCGCATATACGAAAAAAAATCAAACGAAGCGAATGCGCTAGAAAATTCTCAATAGAATTCGTTTTTTTCTACCACTATTCATATATTTTCTATATTAGAAAATTCTAATGTATATCTATTAAATTTTAGCTGATTCTATTGAAAAGTAGAATTGGATTTTTCTATGAAATATTCAATATTTATATTTTTCTTAAATATTTTAATTATTTGTATTGTCAAAAAACAGAATAATGCATAATTCTTCAATAAAAACCGCTAAAGGCTAATAGAATGTTTAATAGAAATAGAAAGCGTCCGAATCATTTGAATGCTTCGAGAATTGTATAATTACGTTTTTATTCCAATAATAAGATGTTTTTCATAATTATAATATTAACATAACGCACCGCGGGGTATGACCCTTTGTCTTTACGTATATATTCTAATTTAAAGTGTTTGTTGATTAGACTTTAGTCTTGTTCTTGTAAAAGAAAAGCTCATTCTCCAGTGCATTTCGATGATCCTCCGAAATTTCATGATTTCATCGATTTTTCATGATTTTTAGGTAATATTGTATCCATTATGATTTTTCGCCCTAGGGCGAATTGATTCTCTCAGTTAATCGAGTCTATCATCTAAATTTTCTAGGAAACTCTTATACTTCAGAGGATTCTTCTCACATTTTTTTTATTCATCTAAAAAAAAGTACTGCATTTTTCAAAATTTATTATTGTATCGCTTCGGTGATTTAGGTCCGTCCGACGACCCGCGCCGTTTTCTTTTAAACATTATATTTTTCGAGTCAAGGTGAAAGTCATGGGTTTTTAAATTATTGCACGTATAACTATGGACGTTCGAGTTGCCTTTCTCTCGCAATTTCTCGGTCTTGAATGAGTTGAATAGTTTGATGAAGGGAATAGTCCTTCTCACTTCTTATCTCTGCGCTTCGAAATTCTTTTTTTGCGTCCTGCGTTTGCGTTGCATTCTCTCTGACTCACTTGATTCATTACAGGACATGCACGAAAAAGTTTCGTAGGAAAACTTAACGAATTCGATAGAAAAGTGTATTGAATTTCTAAGTTATCTTTACTCTATTTTTCTTCTCCTTTAGCTCAGGAATTTGTATAGAACATATTTCGATAGAATAAGTTGTATAGACAAATCGAATTTTAGAAAAAAAAATTTATAGAATATTTTTCCTTCGAAATTTGTATTGACAAAAAATCTTCAATACAATCGGCTAAAAACTAATAAAAATTCGAATTCGCTAGGTTTTTCTACGAAATTTTTTTCTAGTACACGAATAGTTGCGGTAGAGCACTCAGAGATAGTTCATTTGAAATGAATTAGCTTTACTTTAATCGTATGAATGTTTATGAATTCGTTTATTCATTTTTGAAATGAAATGTTAGTAAATTTTTCTCCTAGCTGAAAAATCCCCAACGCAAAATGTTCCTTAAATTTTCCTCTTGAAAATCCTTCATTATCGAGATGAATTCCACTTGAAGATTGATTTTAAAAAATTCTTCCATCGAATTTTCGGAACCAAGTGCGCAGCACCTGGCGCATCACCACCAAAATCCCGATGTCATATTTCCCATGAAAATCGATAGACGCAATGACCATGAGCATGAATAAATAAACCCTCGAGCGACAAATAAACAAAATTATTCTCTCACTTGTTTTCAGGTGATTTTTTTTTATTTTTTATATAAAAAAAAAGAAAATTTTAATGTACATTCATGAGTTCGTGTGGACGGGGTGAAGAGGACGAGGTGTCATAATTGATGGGAAAATTGTTATATCAGAATTATTCTTGATACACACGTCTACTATTAACTTGTTCACTTAAAAATGTTGTTTTACGATTTTATCGCAAATTTTTCCACCTCTGTGTTGTAATATTACAACAGTGGCATCGAGGGGGATTCTATGCTCTACAATCAGGTGCTCCATCATGTTTCAAATAATTCCAATACACATAAAATTTTCTAAACGATTAAATAAAAATTCCGTGCAGTTTGTAGATGAAAATTATATCAAAGGGAGTTGATTATGATTTTTTAATGCTGGCGAATGATGTACCTATTAATTCAATGAAATATTCTGCATTTAATATTAAAGAAAAAAATAAAACATTGTTGATATAATGCAATGAAACGATGCTTATTTAATACGATCAACTTTCTCCCACAATTTTCTCATGGTTACTTGTTATTGGGGTAGACTTTTACATTACTCTGATGATTACATGTTGTTTCCTCCGATAAAATAAGGGACTTGTACAAAAAAATAACATCTACAATGATCGGAAGACGAGATCCGGAGATAATTATTTTAAATTCACGCACGAAAATATTTTACTGGAAAATTCTGGGAGATTTCTATTGAATATTGTATTAATTTTTGACCGATTCTTTTGGGGAATTCCACAGCTCTACTGTGTTTTTTTACAGGACAAAGCACTAGAATTTCATCTTTCTATACTTCTTCTATTCAGACATTTTCAATGTTAAAAATTGAATCAAAAATATCTCGATAGGATAAATTGTATAAAAAATCGAATTCTATTAATTTTCCCTGTAGAACATTTGCCATTGAATATTCAGTTATGGAATTTTTCAATAGAATTATTCAAAATTAATAGAAATTTCAATAGAAATCCAACAGAATTGTCTACCGGATTCACCAATTTTTTCGTACGTGTTCCATCACTTATCGTTATTTTCACCGCAATTACTCTAGCTCTCCTCAAATGTTGAGAATACACCAGCGATGGGATTTTATTTAAATTCACACATTCCCCGAGATGATTTTCCATTCCTCGTGCCAACTTTTTCCACCGGATGTGTCCAGGAAATTATGCATTTTTTCATTTCATCTATTTCTGTTCATTATTCTTCACTCTCACAACTGTATCCACGGAAATTCGGCAGCACCAAGAGACTCGTCAATTCATCTATTTTTGTAGCTCATTATTTTTTTTCATTATTTTTGTATTTATCTATGGCATTCTGCTGGCGCGTGGGTGAACGCACGGAACGAGGTCGAAATATCGCAACAAATGACGTAACGCTCCCGTTACCATTTTGAGCATCGTCCAAGATACGTCACGTCGCCATACAAAAAATAATCGTAAATCTTGGTGAGGCTTATTCATGGATTTTATTACATCCAATTTGATAGATTCATCTCCGCATTTCCCCTCAATTTTCCATAGATCTTATGATTAGTTCAGTGAAAATGCGCGACTCAGTGGTGTTTGATCAACAACACTTGAGTTTTAATAATTCATTCGATCGATCTCCACACATCGAATACAACAAAATTCACTTTATTTCTATTCATCTCAGACTGGCTACAATTATCAGAATAATCCTCGGTAAGGGCTAATGATTTTATTACATAAACAAGTATGAATTTATCATCTATAATATGACGAAACGATAATTCAATGGAGGGACGAAACGAAATGAGTTTATTTTATTTTAGAATGAGAATTTGATCGAAAACCCAGAGCTTTTTTCAAGAAATTCTATTGATAAGTCCTTCTTGTTCCAAATTTATTAAAAATTATGCCAATTTGAATGTTTTTTCATAGAAAAAAGTCTATAGATTTCGATGTCTTTATAAAAACAATTGGGTATGAATTTTCCAATTTTTTTTGCATTTTATTATTCAGGGAAAAACTTGGAAAATTTGTGCTCAAGGTTATGGAAAAACCAAAATCCATTGGCTTTTTAAGTCATTAGCCCAAAATGTGGAATTCTTTAATAAAATTTATTTAAAAAAGTTCTAGATTTTTCTTCAATTTTTTTGCATGTGAACAGACAAGGTCTTGGAGAAGATCCCGAGATCTAAAAAAGACGCGGAATTTTTTGTCTGGATTTTTTTGCTGCTTTCATTTTCACAAAAAATTCCCCATCTCCCTCAGGCCCCAAGACATTCTCCATGAACTTAAAAGAAAAATGAATTGATTCATCTCGTTTCACCACTGAATGCACAATTACCAAGTCTCATTGGAATCCCCGAGTTTCGGTTTCGTCTAGATTACCTCAATTTCCATCTCGATGACCACCCAGTTATCATAACATCGAAATGTGCCTTAAAAAAAATTATAAATGAGGAAAAAAACATTACGCTCCGGTTATTTCTCTCGTCCTCCTCTCCATGAAGTTCGATCGATTGAGAAAAAAAAAAAGAGTGATGAACTCCATGGAGGATCCTGACAGTGATCAATGATTATTCATCGTATACGAAAAAGGGGAAAGGAATAAAAAGTTGTCATTTACTTTCTGATGCAGGGGGGGAGGGGGAGGGGAGAAAAGGATGATTATTTTCATTTCTTATTATTTTTTTTTTTTCATGTCTGAAGAGGTCTTAAAAAGATTCCTAAAGTCTCCGCGTCGTTAATGAAAAAATTGTTAATCGACCTCAGTTATGAATTCACTTCTTTTTGGTTTTGTTGTTGGGCGCCCTTGGCGGCGTTACCGGCCTGCCGGAATTCAGGCCACTGTACGTAAATTTCCTCTTGTCAGCTGGCTTCAATATTTGAAAACTGCACATTAGTGTATCATCGACGGACATCATGGCACCAGCATTGTCGAATTCGCCGCAGTAATTCGGGGCTGAGAATAGGGTTACCAATTGTCGTTTGGCGAAAAATTCGTAGCCATCCTCCACGACCTGGTAATGTGAGTGAAGAGTTGGGAGGGGAATTAGTTTAAGATGATCGAAACGAGTTTAGAAAGTTGGGGTGGGGGTTGGAGAGGAAGTGAGGAGAGAAAATGGGGGTTTCAAGGTGAAATGGGAGTGATTTCACTTGTGGAGAGGTCAGTTTTTTATGAGTATAGAGATATTTTTGTTGAAGAACTTTTTTGTAAATTTCTAGTTTTTTTTTTTGACAAAATATTCAATTGAAGATGAGTTCATTTCGCTTGAGAAAAAATATATGGAATTGGTTTTTAGGGCGAAATTTTTACGAAAGCCTTTTTTGTTGTTCTTATTTTATTCCATGAGAAAATTTCTCATGAAAATGGCCCTATTTATGTAACATTTCAAGATATTTAACAAGAACTCAACTTCAACATAAGTTAATGTATTTCGAGAAGAAAATTTGGGATTCAGTTTTTCTCAGACATTTCAGAATTGAAGAGAAACACCACTCCCCAAGTAAAACCGTCACAAGTAAGTCCTAAAGAAAAATAATAATTACCTGGTGAGCACGGCATATGAGATCGAAATCGTGTTTATGAAGAAATTTGGCAACAACTTCAGCTCCAAATGTGAAGGATACCCCACGATCATTCTCCCCCCAGCCCATGGTATCTTTATCCGGATCAGACCAGAGTAAGTCACAGAGTAATCCCTGATCCGGGACATCAGTTGGTCTCATAATGCGTCTTATCTGTTCCATACTCTGTAAATCAGGACTGAGACCACCATGACAGCAGAATATTTTCTCATCGACGATAGCAGCAACCGGCAGACAGTTGAAACAATCCGTGAACGTTTTCCATAACTTTATGTTGTAACGACGTTTGCCTATCGTTTTAAACAATGATCAACAGAGGGACAATGGTGACTTCAAAATGAGTAATGAGAATAGTCGTAAAAATAGGACTGATTTTTATTGATCACTCACACTCGTCGTAGAATCCGTATATCCTGTTGATGGAGGCACACTCGTGATTACCTCGCAGGAGAAAAAAATTCTCTGGATACTTGATCTTGTATGCGAGGAGGAGACATATTGTCTCTAAGGATTGTTTACCCCTGTCAACGTAATCACCTAGAAAGAGGTAGTTGCTCTCTGGTGGAAAACCACCGTACTCGAAGAGTCGTAGTAAGTCATAGTATTGACCATGAATGTCACCTAAAAGTCATGTATCGGGATAAATATAGCTTTGTGGGTCTGGAGAATTGTGAGAATACTGCAGAAATCAAGTCGTACAAAGATGGATTGCAATGTTTTCTGCGATTGCTCTTTTATCTCGGAAAAAATTGCTCCAGGGGGAAATGTCAAGCGAATTTTTTGTACACTGAAGATTAATGTAAATGACTTTTGATGAACTTCCTCCTTTAGAAGGAAACATCCAGTTAATCACGTCTGATTTTTTGATAATGAATCATTTGTCTCGTTAATGAGCCATCTTGAAGAAAAGTGTTAGGGGAATTTAAAAACAAAATTCTTGACAATTTTGTTAAAACTCTTTTTTTAGGAGATGTTTACAACTAAAAGCGATAAATATATCTTCGTAGGTCTGCAGAATCGTGAGAGCATTTTAATGACGAAGTGGTGGAAAGATGGGTCGCAATGTTTTTAAGAGAATTTTTTTGCAGATTAAAAAATCATCTAAATGCCTTCTAATGAATTTCGCAGAACTTCCTCCTGTAGCAAATATTTAGCAAAGGAATTGATCAGGAATTCTGTTCTCATAAAAAAACGTAATAAATCACCCTCGATTTTCTGATAATCAATCATTTCTGTCGTCAATGAGTCATTTTGAAGACAACTGTCACATCTTTTTTGTAAACTAGAAAATTTATTTTAAACGATGATTCGATGAAACTCATCTAGAAAAGTCTTATTCATATTTGTCAAAACAAAATTCCTCTTAAATTTTGTTGAAACGATTTTTTTACATGTTTACAAAAAAATTGATGATGCATCTAATTTCCAAAATTTTTTACTGTTACTTTTCCACTTGACAAAATTTGGAAAAGAAATGGGAAATGAATGCCAGAAATACTAGAAAACAGTATGAAAATGTTTCTCAAGCTGTATTTTCGCTCTGAAACCCAACGAGACCTTGAAAAATAGTATTCCCCGATTTCACCAATGGAGTTATGATTTTAAAAAATCATAAGAACCGCAACACGTCGTACAATTCACCATTTTACGACAAAGTTGAAACGTAATTATGCCAAGTATGCTAATGGCATTGATCAGAATGCTAATTGTAACCAATAATTGCACCGGTCTGTTGTGTTCCGTCATTTCTACCTTTTGTAATTCGTCCGACACGTTACATAAGAAAAAACACAACGCAGATGCAAAGGGGGAAACACGGCGGAGTACGTGATGGATAAAACGAGGAAAAATAAAATAGCTGAAAACTCACCGCATATTTTCAGCGGTGCCTCCAATTCCAGGAGAATCGGTTGGGACAGAAAAATCTCCCGCGACTTCAAACAGAGTCCGCGAATTTCAATCTCCGTCAGCTGGACATTCTTTCCTGGTCTGGATCCTCGTACTGTAGAAATCAAAAAACACCAGGAATGGGATTTAAAAATAAAACAGTTGTACAACACCTAATGACTGGTGTCATGCGTTATTATTGTAACATAAAGTGTTTTGAAGGCAATCGATTTGTAGCCAAGAACTCAGACCCTACCGAATACAACCAGTCACCACTGCCAAGGTCAACGGACGAATTCTAACGTAAATCGATTAGGCAACGTCACAGCCACATTTTCCCCTTCCTCATAGTTAATACTACAGCAACAACAAATCAATCTCGCGATAGAAAACGGTTTATTCTAACTCACGTGAGTGCTAGATAGTTTATCAAAATTGTGGATTCGATATTCGAAATTAATGAGTTGATGACGTAAATGACAGCTGAATGTCAAAGAACATTAGCTACTAAACGTATGAAAAAATTTAAAGAATTCTACTGGATTTCTGTTGAAATTCTATTTAATAATAATATTTAATAATTCGATTAGTTAGATGGAATGCAAGAACTTGACAGCCACGTTAGCCTTTCTCATCGTCAATACTACAGAAGCGACCAATTAATGTCTAAAAAAAGCTTCATTTGTTCTAATTGTAAGTTGCGTGATAGAGAGATACTTCATTAAAATTTTGTACCCTTTGATATTTAAAATTGATGGGTTAGTGACGCAAACGAAAGCTGAATGTAAAAAAACATTAATTGAAAACCTAAATACAGCGCTAGTCTCTAAGGAATTCTATTGGATTTCTGTTAAAATTCTATTCAATAATGCCATCAGTTTTATAATAGAACTACATTTTCACCCGCATATGCTCCCATTCTTCATCGTCAATACTACAGAAACAACAAATCAATTTCTCGAAAAAAGCCTGTTTGCGTGATAGATCACACTGCATCCAAATTTTGTATCCTTGATATTCAAAATAAATGTATTAGTGACTTCTAAACGCATGAAAAATTCAATAAAAAAATCCAGCGCTTTCTTCGTGCAATTCTAATTCTATTGGAGCTTTGTTGAAATTCAATTAAATAGTTCCATTAGTTCTTTCCTCTTCTGTCGCATGTCATGTTTTTCGACGAATCGAATTCATAGTACTGAGAACAAAAGTTAAATTGGAGTAAAAAAATCGTCATCACGAATGGAATTGCTGCTGTTGCAAGTTAATTTTTACTTTCATGAATGAGTTTTTTGCTGATGCAACTGGAGTTTTCAAAGAAAATTTTTAAAGCGGAAACAAATGTAAAATTTGCGTAGTTTTTTTACTCAGTTATAAGAATACGAGAAAATCAAAACAAACAAATAAAACCGTAAAACATAATCTCCAAGAACTTCATCTTGAAACGTTAAGACCCCATTCATCGCTGATGAAATGGAATAATTTCCCCTGAAGAGCACTCTCCTTTCTCTTCGTAATGACCCCAGTCTTCGTTCAATTGACCAATTTATTCCCGAGTTACGAATATGAAAAAAAATTCTGAAGTCATTTTGCCCCGCCGTCCCCCACTGACTCCCTGTTGCTGTCGAACCCAAATAAACCCTGACAGAAACGATTAACTGTTATTAACAAATGAATTTGGTTGGACACTGGGGTTTATTCGGTCTCACCAAATGTTCATTCGTTAATAGTCAACAAATGCACATTTGAGAAGCCTCGTTTGACTCGACTTTCACCTATCAAGTGAACCATTCCTCAATTATTAACGAAAATTTATTTGGTCATATTCAACTCTAGCATTCGTTAATAGTCAACGAATCTCTATTGGAGTAAATGAATCATTCTATCAGTGAGCCGCCAGAAATAAAGCCAAAATAATAGATAAAATCGCCCATAAATCCTTCCAACAGTCATCACCCCTCGAAGCCCCATCCCAGACCATTCGAAAATTTCCCGCCCGAGCCAATTCCGAGGACCTCGCCCCAAAATCGACATCTCCCTCTGCGGTTGTCAACGAATGTTTCTTGTAAACAAACTCATCCATTCCCCTCCATCCGCCAAGGCATCATCATCACCCCCGAGTCCCCAACATCTCCCCAAGCCCTCGTTACATAACACCAAAATTCCAAAACCCAAAAAACCCTCCAAAAAAATCAAAACCGAATTTTCACGCTCAAGGGAAATTTCGGTGGATACGTCACAGCTAAATATCCACGCAGTGCGGAGTATCAGATAGCATGGGAGGGGGAGGACCTCCGAGGGGAGGGGAGGAGTGGAATGGAGGAGGGGAAAAGGGTGAGGTGGAGTTGGAAGGCAAAACGCGTTTTTCTGGGAAGAGAGAAGCGGAAATGAAGGACGAGAGGAGTCCGAGGGAATGACTGGCCAGAGACAAATGTGATGGTAAAGAAATCGCTGATGATGGAGTGATTAAAATGATAATTTCAATTACCTTCCAAGAGACGAGCAATGATGCTGTCAATATTCAATTTGTCGGTTTCAGCCATCGGGCCGTTTAATCGTTTGCGTCCCGGGCTTCACACGTTCCACCACGCGACGTCGATAATCAAACTTATTGTTCAGTGGTTAACAGTTAACGGTTTATTACAGTATTTTATTATTTTCGGTGGGGTATTTCCGCCCAGTCCCTCCCCCGCCCCACTGGCGAGTGCCTCGATTGATTTATATTTATTTGGAGGTTTGGGAGAGTTGACACTGGGGCCGTTTTTATTTTTCAGCGATCGCCGGAGCAGAGGTCGATGGGCTTTTTTCAAGTCGACGATTTGGGGGCTTGAGTGGAGGGCTCAACGCGATTTTTCGTCGACTGTGGGGTAACGCTTACGCGGCTTTCGGAGGAACAAGGTAACACGCAATGGCCGCCCGGACACGAACCGCGCACTCCCTCCCCCTTCTTTGGTTTTACACCCTGCGATGGACTGGCGTTTTTCGAGAGACTGCTGTCCCCACCAGCCGCGTTAGCTCCCGTTTTCAACGACTGCCAGTGCTGCCAATCTCCTCGCTTCACTCGAGAAATCGATTTACGATTGACGAATTGTTTAGCGCGGGGCGGAGGGGGAGGGGATTAATTTTTGCGAGGGGGTTTTGGGGAGAAAGGAGACTGATTCACCCGGCGATTTAGTTTTTCAGGGACTTTCAGGGGAATGACACTCAGGGAATTTTTTAAACCGGCGACCGTTGGCCACGCCGCCATGATTGTTGCCAACTGAGGGGTGTTCGGGGACTGGCAATCGTCATTGGCTGGCGGACGGTGTGGCGAACGATTTTAGGTTTTCAGGGCTTTGAGTGGCTAATTGCGGGGCGGTGGGGGGACAGCCGACCAATGGACGCCCGGCGGTTTGGATGGGACGGAGACGTGCGAGAAAAACCCGCCGTTATAGCGTTGTGGATTTACGATTGTCAGAGAGGATTTGGAAACGTCAGTTTTACCCGGGTTTTTAGTGTTTTTGGAGGTGAACGATGCCAGAGAATATGGTGAGTTGAGTGGACTTTTTGGATTTTAATGGGAGATTTAGGGTTTGGTTTTTCGGGAGGTTTCCGGAGGAGAATTGGGGTTTTAGGTTAGAACATGGTCGGGAGGTTTTGGATTTGCGGTTTAGGATTTTGGGGTTTATCGGGGATTTCCACGTTCCTGTGATCAAATTTATTTTTGAAATTACGGTTTTCGATTTTCTTTTTTACAATTTCGTTCTCAAGAAACTGTCGGAATGTTTTTATTTTTATTTTTGCGACAGGGATTATGATCTTGTTGACACAGTTTTAATACAGAAACTGACCAAAAATTGTTGATTACTCAATCATTAATTTTCAGTAGTCATGACTTTAAAATACTCTGAATATTCATATATATTTATATATAAAAAAAAACAAATGTTCTGGAATGAAAATAATTCATGCCACAAACTTTTTCACGCAAATTAAAAAATTTACCAAACAAGAATGGATAATTTTCAAAATCATCTCTCAAGTCTTCAACAATTAAAAATCATTGAATAACCGAATTGAAAAAGCAAAGCTTCGTCTTTGTCAAAATTGTCATCGACAACTGAATTCCTGACATCTTTATTCAATGATTATTCAGCTTCAGGCAAATGGAGAAAAAACGAATGGCCAACGAGAGGAAGAGACCGAGGAAGTTGACGTGCATTTCGAGCCAATAGTCAGCCTCCCCCTCATCGACGTATCGAGTAATGAGGAGGACGAGATCGAGATGATAAAACTGCAAGTTCCATTACTTTTCCCCCCATCATTGTCCCTGCTAATGCACGGAGATAATGTTTGTCGTGTGATTTTACAGGCGGGCCAAGCTCTATCGTTACGACTCGACGAGCGAGCCAGCAGAGTGGAAGGAGCGTGGCACTGGAGATGTCAAACTACTTCGCCACAAGACGAAGCACACTGTTCGCGTCGTCATGCGACGTGACAAGACCCTGAAAATCTGCGCCAATCACTTCGTCACACCCTGGATGGAGCTGAAGCCAAATTGCGGGAGCGATCGTGCTTGGGTGTGGAGTGTACTCGCTGATTATGCTGATGAACTGCTGAAGCCTGAGCTTCTGGCTATTCGATTTGCAAATGCTGAGAGTAAGATCTTTATTTTATCCTTATTTATTCTTTTTTTTCGTTTTTGCTTCTAATTTTGCTTGGAAATTATGTAGAATGCCATGAAACGTGAAGACATGATGCAATGTTGGAAATTGTCGAGTGATAGTTCCACTGATATTTCAAGGAATTTGGTAATTGAAAAATTAACGTTTTAATGAAAAAATTTGTGGAAACTGTGAATTTCAGTTTAATTATAGCATAAAAATTAATAAAAATAATAAAATTCAGGCTAATATATTCTCCAATTTAATTTATCATCATTCTCCTGAAAACACTACTAAACTCTCCATGAAATGTCAATTTTCATTACAATAACTACAAAAATTTCGATTCATTATTGAAAATAGACTCTTCTTGAATCAAACTATCTAGTGTTAATTTCATTCAAAATGTTTTTTTACAACTAATAAATAGTAATAATTATTAATAATTAAATAATGTAAATGACATTATCACAGCTTTAAAGTTAAACAGTGCAACATTAAATCCATTCTACCATTCTCCAATAATTTTTAGATGCATCATTATGGAAGGAGGCGTTTGAGAAGGCAAAAAAAATCGTTGGAACCGAGTGTTCAATATATTCCGGCAAGAAAAACCCCGATGAACAGGATGACAGCTCCAGCGACTCCTACGTAACGTACAGTGATGACAGCGATGAAGAGAGTGAAGTAAAAAAATCTCCAGACCTGGAGAAATCCCCGAATGATGAAGAAACCGCCGAGAAACCCAAAGAGAACACCGAGGACAAAGCAACTGACGAAGTCACGGAGGTTTTGGAGAAACTTGAGGTGAAGGACGAGGAGAGCAAGTAACAATGACCAAAACTGCTACTCCAGCACTAGATGATAACATTCCCCCCCCCCATGTACACAACACAAATTCTATTCAGATACGGATTTACCAGCTTAAGATGCTAATTATGTATTCACAGTTTTTTGTAATGAATTATTGGGAAAATTTTTACAAAATCGTTGATCGTCTCACAGAACATTTTTTAAACGCATTTTCATTATTTCGGATGTGACAAGTGATTAGAAATAACGAATGTTTTGTAATAAATGTTTGCATGATTATCTGTGATTTCTTCTTATAAGTGCGTACCGTCTGCTATTGTGCAGCTTCATTTTTTTCTCAATGGAGAAATAAATTTAGTATTTCAATTTCTGGCATTTTTTTGTTCAATTTTTATGATTAATCAACAGACTTGTATCTTTTGAAACATCGTAGAGGATTTTTGTTAATTTTAATCACACTTTTACAGAAGGTTATCGTTCAGAAGTGAATTGATGTAACGACATTCACACAGCGATTCCACTGGAGCGTTTGTTTTCATTGAACACCGAAAGCTTTTCCAATGTTCATAACATTTTTTCATTGGAGAAATAAATTTAAAAAAGCAGTTTATGGGAAATTTTTTTATTCAAATTATACAATTAATCAACAGACTTATAACGTGAGAGCTTTAGAATCATCGTCGACGATTTTTCTTAATTTCTAGAAAAGATATTTGATACGAGGAATGTATTTTAATCACACTTTTACAGAAGTGAATTGATGTAACGAGATTCATAAAGCAATTTCACCCAAACTCTAGTTTCCATTGAACATCGAAAACTTTCAATATTCATTGAAAATCGAGTGGATGTACCACTTCATTCTTTTGTGACAATAAATCAGACTTTTAGTTTTCAACTCGAAATAATGAGATCTGCTGTACTGGAACTTGAACCGTAATTAATCAAGAATCATCGGAAAATGCTGATCAGTGAGTTTATGGAAATTCAAGCCAGTGCGTTCACAATTTGAAGATTTGTTTTTCCTCATCAGTACTTGCAGCTCTCAGAGTTCGTCCCTGTGGTGGAACGACTGAAGAATATTCCTCTTCTCCTCCATCGAGCGTTTCTTCTCCTCTGACAACTTTCCCTTTAACAAACCCTCGATTCTAGTCTGCTCGGTTTGAACGAAAACATCTCCACGTTCTAGTATTTTCTCCATCATCTTGACGTACACCTGGGCAGCTGCTCTGTGAGCCTCGGGGACTGTCTCTTGGAATACTTTAGCTTTATTCAAGATTTCCTAGAAAATATCATTGTTTTTCATCTTGTTCATTTTGTTTTCAACCCCTTGAAAACAAAACTTATTATTATTGTCCAATAATTTTGCTAATGAGTATTTTTAAAGCAAAATGTTACCAAATTGTTTCTGCAGTTGATGTTGTTTTCAACAAAAAAGAAATGTCAATTAATTTTTCCCTAGAAATTATCGCGAAATTTAATTATTTGTTAAATCATCAGGAATTAGTAGTTTACATTTTCCCCTCAGTCAATTAATTATCAAGAGAAGTGAGAGAAAAATATAATTTAATTAAAAAATCGAATAAAAATAAGACCTAGGAATTAAAATAATAATTTAGAAAATTGACCAACTTGTCTCTCTTTCTCTGGACTTGTCTTGAAATCCTCAGCAAGTCTGTCTAGCTGTTCAACACACCCAGGCAGGCCCACGTAGACCCCAGCTTTGGACCTGATCAGTCTCTTGAGATGTTCGACGGTGAAATCCTGGTCGTGCCCATCCATCAGTTTCAGGGGCTGGCTCTGCCCCTGGAGGAACAGCATAATAACCGGAAAATCCTGCCTGTCGATGTTGAATCGCTTGGCCAGATCCGAATTATCCTTATTGCCGTAGTCCTTGACGCCGACTTCGGCTAGTAGGAGATCCCCAGTGTCTCTGGTGTCTGCAGCTACGCTGGCATAAGCCTCGTGTTTCTCGCCGTATGGGAATGCCACGTCGAACTTTACTACTGACGCTTTAAACTTGGAAATTACCTGGACGCACAAAAAATTTTTTATAGGAAAGACGTGAAGTCTATAAACAATTCTATTGGGTTTCTATTGAAGAATTCCGCAGTTGCACTGTGTTTTTTTATAGAATATGTGAAGCAAAAATTATTTTACAGAAAAAATTAGTAGAATTTTATCTTTGTATAGAATTTTTTCTATAGGCATTCCTGAATGTGAATTTTCCAAGCTTTTTCCATTCTCTCTTTTTCATAAAAAAAAATTGGAAAAATTAAGAAAATTTGAGCTACGGAATTTTTACAGGAAATATCTCAGTAGAATAAATTGTACAGAAAAATCCAATTGAATTGATTTTTTCTGTAGAATATTTTCGGAGTGGAAAAAACTTGGAAAACCCGTGCCTGATACTTTTAATAAAAAAAATCTCAAGAGAAAAATTCAAACAGAAAAATCGAAACCTATTGAGTTTTTCTTATCAAATATCTAATAGAAACTGCACAAAAGATGACTAGAATTTTAACGAGAATTCTCTAGAATTTTCCAGCGAATTCGCTAGGTTTTTCCATAAAATTTTTTCGTGCGTGATCTGTCAAAACAACTAGACTCCAAACCCAAAACACTAAATTAAAACCAAATACCCCAACAATCCCCAACCAAAACAAATTACCTTATCAAACGAATAAGAGTCCAAGGGCACACACCCCTTGCAATCTTCCCCGAGACTGAGTCCCACGAGGGCCGCAACGACAACCAGACCCGGTATCACTGACCTCATGATTGCAGACCACTTTCCCCGAACAGAGGACCAAAACAAATAACTAAATCCGTGTAACGAACAAAACGAGTGTTTTTTCAGGACTAAAATCGAACAGAACTCTTGAAAAACGAAAAAACCTCATTAATCCTGGAATAAGGGCTGGAGTAATCGTCAATCGTTATCGATAATCGAGAAAAAAAAATTCTATTGTCCACCGAATACGAAAATCATGACTGAGCTGGAGGACAACCAGCTGGCGGTGCGTCGGCCACACGAATCCATCCAACCAGCGCAAGCCACGAACATCACCACCACAATTTCCCCCTCACCCGCCCGCTGGAAATGCCCGGCCATTCGCGCAGGCCCCGCGCCCGGTGTTCGTCAGTGTGGGAAGACCCTCTCTGGGTATCATGTATTAACAAATTTACACATTTTCATTCCTTTGCTCCGTATCCTGAATAATCCAATCTCATCCCGTGATTGTTACCCTTCTGTTTTGCCCCGACTCGCCTACTCACGTTTCAACTGCACAACGCGCCATGCATTATTTATTCTTTACGAGCAAATAGTCGGGTTCATTTGAAATGGAGATGTCGGGGTTTTATTCTGCGGTAGACTGATTAAATTGAATATTTTTGGGGGAGGGGAGGGGCGTCGGGTGGTTGCACGAGAGGATTAGTTTTTTAATTTTATTTTCTCAGACGGGGAAGTCGATAGAGAATTCTATTAAATTTCTATTGAATTTTTGTATTAGTTTTGGACGGGTTCTGTTGAAAAATTCTGCAGTTTATCCGGAATTTTTTTTTAAATAAAAATTCTCAGTGGAAAATATTCTATTTGAAAAATCATATTTTCAATAAAATCGTATTTTTTTGAGTGAGGAAGAATGAATTCTTGTAAAAAAATTTATTCCCCCGATTCAATTCAATAATAGATACAGCAAAGTGATGCAATTAAACTTGACGATAATTTATCACAAATATCTATGCATCGTGTTCCTCAGAAAAACTCTCAATAACATTTTTTCTACTCAGTTTTGAAGATATCCATCCAAAACCGATCCCAAAGTGGAATGAAGTTGTCTAGTCTCCTCTCTCTGCTTCTAAATTAACCGATATACCGATAGAAAAATATCAAAACAGTGAAAAAGATCAGTAATTAGAAAACAAGTGATAATTGGCTGCAGAGAACTAATTCCACCCATCTTTCACGGAATTTTCGTTGTTCCGAGACTTGTCTCGGTGTCATTGATCTCCTCCTCCGCCGGAGTGGGGGGGAGAGTTTGAGGTGGACCCCAGGAGCGAAACAGGCGCTCCTCCTCGAGGAAGTAGTCACGTAGGTCGTGTAATCTACGACTGTGTTTCTCTGAAATCATAATTATTCGATAATTCAGTAGTTAAATAGAGCATTTAAGCCGAAATATGACATTTTCGTCAATTGTTTAATCGAAAGATCTACTCATTAGACTAATTAATTTTTAATGATGAAGGACTCACGACAATTTTTCTTACAGTCACGCGTTATCTAGACGATTGAATGTTCAGTAAAACTTTCATGAAAATTTTCTTCGATTCTTATTCCCCTTCACATGCGATTGATTTATTAACATTTCTAAACATTTTCTGTACTTTTTCTTCCTTTCTTTGTAAACAGAATTGATGTACCTGCTCACCTCAATTCTCATAACGAAATAAATGTGTAAATTAGTTTTTAAATGACAAATGACAAAATTTAATAATTCTTTTCGTTAAATTTCCTTAGCAAAAAAATTCCCGGGAATTTCTATGAAAAATATTTCAATAAACTAAAATGTATAGAAAAATAAAAAATCTGTAGTTTTTTTTTTCTGTTAAATGTTTACTATTCAATCATTTTTTAATAGTGTGGCAACGGAACAAATGAAAATACCAACAAAATGAATAATAAAATAGTCAACAGAGCTGAGAATAGTCACTACAACTGAATTCTCCAGCGAATTGTCATCCTTGAATAGAAGACTAGTGAAGTATTTTTATTTAATAAATTACCATGCAACGTTTCGAGACATTCCAAATCCCCACCGAAGTCACTCGGAAGGCACTCAGGGGATATGTGCTCGTAGATGTCAGACACATCGCCCGTGTAGAGGTGGAGCTAAGCGCAAAATAAACACGGAATTCGATAATTAGGGGAATGTTATGTGTAACTCAAATAATTAGTAATTCACTGAGAATTACCCGGAATTGACTATGATTAAGGGTTTCAGGAGTGTGCAAAGTAAATTCTCAACCGCAAAGAGTCTAATTATCACGACCCAGTGAATCAATGAGTACGAACGCGAATTTGTAAACCATAATGATTTAAATTCTGAGTTTTGTTAATTATACGTCCTTAAACAAGATTCCACGATTTTACGTGTTGAGATTTTTTTTGGAGATTGGAAAAATTCTGTCGAGAATTATTTTGAAGAGATCATCACGGTCTGACACAATTAATTCACAATTCCGGGAGAATTTATCTTGTCTGGATCTTGAGATTATCGGTTTTTTGAGTTCACGAGACGAGACAGATATCGAGACAAACATTTGAAAACCAGAAAATACTGAAACTCAGACGTGAGGAATTTTTCCAAATTCGTGACGAGAATCACCGATCCAATGTCTTTCGAGATTACGACGATTCCTAAACTTTCGATGTTGTTTTGACCGTGATGATGATCTTTCCAAAATAATTCTCGTTTAGTCTCGACGGCATCACTAGTTGCGATGTCTGATGAAAAAATTTGATATGAAAAAGTCAATATGTGTCGTATGGGGGGAGCCAGTTAGAAAAAAAAACTCACCATATCAAACAGCTCTCGCTTCATAAAAGGCCGAACCAATGCCAATACTTTGTCCATGAACCAAACAGCATTGAGCACATGTATACCCCTCAATCTAACGGGGAGTCCCTCCTGAAGATACTCGAAGAATCGTCGAATGCTAGTAATTGATAGCCTCGTCAAATGGCCCAATCGAACTCCCTGCATGTCGAACAAAAAGATATAACCAGGACTGCATCCCTCCCTGTGCAAGCTCGCATCCACCGACATTTGTAGTAACTTAACTCCGTCATTGAAAATATACTGGTTGGGTCGATAATCCGCCAAACGATGAAAGATTATTCGATTGCCATTTCTATCCGGTTTCGGTAGAGCCACAAATTGCCTGCAAAAGATATCGACTCAACGATAAGAAAAGAATACTGTTGCTGACACATTGACGTTTCTACGAGTAATTCATGGTAGGTAATTAGTCTTATCGGTGAGTGGGGGGTATCATCGTGGGGCAACAATGGGCTTTCATTGCGGGAATAATGAAGTTCAAATTTTAACTCTTGTAATGACGTTTCAGGGATGTTATTTATTGGGCCATTAATTTTCCACCGGGCTCGTTTAATTCACCGGCAGGGGACCGTGACGAAATGAGGTCGTGTATATTTTCACCCTCGATTTTAGTGGGGAGGAATGCGTTGCAGGATTGTACGTGTGAAATTTTGGAGGAAAATGTTCTGAATTTGCCGGAAAATTCTAGTGCGTTCCTGTTGAATTTTTATTGAGAAATTCCGCAGCTTTAATGGGCGCTTTTATAGGAAATGGGCAGTAGAAAGTATTTTGTCGATAAAATTGATAGATTTTGATTTTTTTAATTACCTTTTTTCATTGAGACATTTTCTGTAGGAATTTTTCGAAATTTTCCAAAATTTTCAGACTCCATTTTTTTCTCTCATTAAAAAATGGGGAAATTCATGCCGTTTATACTTTTAATAATCATTTAAAACAAATAGATTCCCCAAACAAAATTCTAATAATTAATAAAAAGAAAGACTTCTAGTTAATTAAACTAAAATAATGTGATACTAATGGACAAAATAACAGCAATAAATCATCAAGTTAATTACACCAGATTGAAATAGTTTGATCTTGACTCGAAAATTATATCCACGAACTTTTTAATCTCTGACTCTTCGCTCCTCCTTCCGCGAGTAAATTGAAAAAGTTGTTTTCACTTTGAAACTTGGTCAACATTTTTTTCAAGACCATTTTAATAAGAAACTCACAGGGCCTTCAAAGAATGCTGAATGTGATCCGAGGTGGGATCACGGTTGGCGAAGAATTCTGGTACTGTTGAACGTAGTTTGTAGTACACATTCATACATCGTTTAGCTGCCTCCAGGTCGAAGTAACAGCTGTGAGCAAATAACGCGAGTTTCTCATCTGGCACTTGTGCAATGCCCCTTTCTTCACAGTATATTCGTAATTCTTGGAGCAGTTCGTTCGTTAATTCTGGATATTTTTTCTTCGAGTCCTCTATTGTGTGGCCCAGTTCCATATTTAATTTATTCTGGCGGAAAAAAATGAGAATTCAGGGGTGAAGTGCCATGAGTCGATTTCACATATATTTTGCTGCGAATTTTTAATTTTTAATTTCAAGAGAAAAAATTATGGCGATTTTGAGATGAAATCAGGATTTTATTGAAATTATTTTGAAAAGAATTTTTAACATTTTTTTAATTTGTTGTGAAGAGAATTTAAATAGATTACACTACATAATAATTTTATTGGAGTTCCATTAAGGCTCGATTCAAATTAATTTTTTTGTCTCAATTCTATGGAAATAGTTTTTTTACATACAAAAATCTATAGCTGTTGATTTTTCTGTAAGAATTCTTGGGCATGAATTTTCAGTTTTCCTTCCTGGATTTCATTACGAGAAAAAAATACAAATACAGTAGGGAAATCTCATAAAATTTATGCCCAGGAATTTGTGATCGAATGAGCATAAAATAACCGATATAAATATTCAATAGAATTTTAAAAATGCAAATAGACTTGTTATAGAGTTCTAATAGAAATTCAATGAACTTTCTCAAAGAAAGCGTCAAGTTTTCCTACTAAACTCTTCAAATTTTCCACGAACAACTTCACATTTTATTTTGTTGCATGAGTGAGTTCAAATAGAACAGCTAATCTCAAACGATTCATCGAAACAAAACTCTCCATGATCGATTTATCGATTACATTTACCTTCGGCTCTACAACTCCCACTGAATAATGTCTGACTCGCCGTTTTACCCCAGTCTATTCTCAATCTTCATAAACTTTTCACGTCGATTGACAGTCGATAATTGTCATGCGATTGAAAAGAGCCTTCACCCGATACTACGATCGATGTTAGCTCTCGAGGTGCATCACAATTATCAACTCGTCGTCAACAACTCTCGTTAGATCACACTGAACACATTTGGGATTTTTTTTCTCACTGGTGGAGCCGATCCTCCGAGACAGAGTAGTCGACGGAGAATGGGGATCGAATGGCTCGGAAAACCGGTTGTATTCGAATTGCACTGGTAATCAGCGATTTACGCAACTATGAGGTGAAGGAAAACATTGAGAGACTTGAATATGGAATTTCGAGAGGTTGAAAGAAAATTGCGGAAGGGAAAGTGATCGTGGCGGTCCAATCACTGACGCAGTGATTTTTAGATTTTTATTTCGTTTCTCAACGTGGAAAACTGCACAGGGACAAGACAATATTGCCTCAATTAAAACTAGATTTTTTCAAACTTGTTCCCATTTTTCAAATATTGAAAACAATATTTTTTGTTTTTCGTTATTTTTTTGAAAATGTTATTCTCATTTTTTTTAATATTCTAAGGAAAAATTTTATGTGAAACGTTAATAAATTTGAAAAAGTTCATCGATTCTAATTTCTCTATGAAATATTTTTTCAGTTAAATAAAAATGATATGTTAAATAAAACATATTTTTTAAAAAGCCAATATATTTGGACTTTTTTTGGGAGAATGAAAGTTACGATTTTTTCTCCATAAAATTCTCGCTTTAAACTTTCTCATTTCGTTTTTTAATTTGTCAACATTTCCCATTGAACAAAATTGTGATATGCAATTGAAAATATAACGACAAGTCCATAGATTTACATCTCTCTATAGGAACAATCGGGCGATTGTTTTTCCATAAAATTCTCGCCTTAAATTGTCCAATGCTGTTATTTAATTCTTAAATAATTGAAAAAAAATCAGAAAGTATCTCAATATTTGCCTATGAAAATTAAAATCAATAGAATATTTTTAAAAAAATGCAGAGCAATCAATAAAAATGTCTCCATCGCATGAGAAAAAGGATTGAAGTAAAAATTTCATTTGTAAAATATTCCACTGATGCTCGGGTAACGGTCACTCCTGACAATTCCGCATAGGACAGGTATGTATACCCGACCGCCGGAAGCTGAACGTACGTTCATTGATAAGCCCAGCCGTACGACCCAACCAAACCGACCAGTTTCCCCTCTGGGGTACCCTCGAACAGACGGAGAAGGCACGTCAAACACTCCTGTGTGGATGACGTCACTCGTTATGAAGAGCAGGTGAAGCACTTGTCCACCACCTACGCACCCACCCCCGGGTCCACGCGTGCGCATCGCACTACTCCCGAGGGAGTATTTTCCCTCACCCCTCGAGGAAACATATTTCAAATACCACGCATGCGATGTTGGGGCTATTCCCCTTAAAATGTTCCTAGACCTTCCCAGGAGTTACTAGCACATTTACGTGCTCCTTTGTCGAGTAGTTACGGATCTAATTGATTATTCTGATCTGTCGTGACGAATTGTCGAGCGATAGGAGCAATTGTTTAGTTAAGGCCCGGCTGGATTATCTTGCCAACGTTATCTCCATTGTTTTTCCATCTTCATGATGTAAAATCTATCACAATTTCCATCGGGTTTTACATCACGCAGGAGTCCCTAAAATTTATGATTGTACAAGCAAAAAAAGTAGAAAAAAAACTGAACAATTTATTCTGAATTTGTTTGCAATTAATTAATTATTTGTTTCAGGTCATTAGAGCATTTTCTTTGAAATTAATAGAGTTTATTAATTTCGAATGAGAATAGTGCTAAAATGGGTAGAGAAATTTCAGATAAAGAGTTTTGTTTGATTAAAATGTTGATTTTTCAGAGCTTTCGCAGTAATTCGTCATCGGGATAATCGTTAACTATTCAACAAGGCCAGTCCACTTTTCTCAATCTGTCCTGCGATAAATTGCTTCCGATGTTGTTTTTAGATACCCAATTTTTCCAGAAACGAGTGTTTTTCTGGGAAAATCACTTGACCCGTTCGGTTGGGGAGAGCGTGGAAAAGTGGAGCAGAGGGTAAAACCCTTTGGTTGTTGTTTTTTTTCGTCGTATTGGGGGTTGTCACGGGTTGCCTCTGATGGTAATCTGCGAGCATCGGGCTACACGCATGAAAAAATTTCATAGAAAAATCCCGAGCGCTCATTAGAAAATCTTATTTCAATTTTTTTGGAAATTTAGTTCAATTTTTAATTCAATTTTCCATTTCATTTCCATTTAATTCAACCCTCCTAATGGTCCTCTCCTCCTCCCCCAAAAAATTCCTCGCTCTCTCGAATCAAAAATTCCAAAAGATTGAAAATTGATTATCGATTGTAAAAAAAACAAGTGCCCATTATCTCAAAACGTCTACCAATCTCATTCCCTCCAAAAAAACCATAACATTAGCATACCGTCCTCCATATAATAAAAACCCCAATAGCATCCTCCCCTAAAATATTCAAAAAAATCGTACTACATCCCCTAAACGCCCACTCTTCCCCAAAACACGAAAAATCTGTGTTCCTCTCCCCCCCATCTCGAACCCCCCAAGCCCTCAAAACCCTCCAAAACCCCTCCCCCAAAAAATCCCCCTCCCCCTCC